GTAGTCCAAGGTTAAAAAACGTAAAATTTTCAGAACTTATTTAAGATTCCAAGATTCGTAATGTAATAAATTTTACGATCGCATTAAAGATGATGAGTTACAGTAGCTATTCGTGATTCCATGTAACAACTGATTTCCAAATAAAATAACTATGAGCAAATGTCAGCATTTTCATTACAAACAGGTTGAGGTTGGTAAACATTCCATGTTTAACGATTACGAGTGCAAAAATCCTACTCACGTTTTTGTGCTCAAATACTGTATGCTGAAATAGGCCTATCACAATAACCTATCAATTTCGAAGCATCCACGGAAGAAGCAATCAACTAAAAATGAAAATGTCAGACATTCAGTCATCAATGTAATTTGTAAAGTATATCTGATTTTCTTATTTTATTTCTAGTTTTTCGTCTGTCCTACTGGAAGTACAAGTACAAGCCCCCGAGAAGGCGTCCCACTTCCGGCACTCGTGTCCCAAGTAGGCCTAGTCAACTCTTTTCTCATTAGTCCCCACAGTTTTCGACTTTGGATTGTCCCATTGTTTACACTCTCCACCTATTGTTACAACTTGTCACTTCTGTTTGCATGTAATGTTTCCGGCTTTTAGGTTAATGAGTAAGGTCTGATTCAATTGTTAGTTTGAAATCCATTACACGGAAAGTTTATTTTCATAATAAGTAAAACCTTTGGAAAGGTATGAAGTTGTTACTACTGTACTTAATCTTTAGCCAAAGAATAAATAACGTATCGATCACAGTTAACCTAAAGACTATGCTAATTTTCAGCTGTTTTGCTTCATCTATGTTTAGGTAAGTTTTTATTGAATTCTACACATTTTCCACATTTATTTGAGAAGTTATTAATTGTATTTGAGAACCATTACTTGTATTTAAGAAACTATCAAATGTATAAATGAGATTGGTTATTAGAATTTGATAAAACAAAAAAACGTATTTTGAGAATAGTCAATTGTATTTGAGAAAGTATTACTGTATATGGAATTGAGAAATCGTTAATTTTAATTTGAGAAGTTGGTTATTGTAATGGTTGGCTATACAGCTCTACTGACTATTGTCATTTAGTTTTATGTGTTAATTGTTATTGTTTACTTCTAGTTGATATCTTCTATCTAAGTTATACTATTATATAAAAATCTAGTGGTGTCTGTCTGTATGTGTGTTACTAATAGGCACATAAACTACTGAACTGACTGGGCTTAAATTTTACAAAAATATAGCTACCATACAAAGGACCATTATAGGTCTATTTACACTTTGATACTGGCCGTGGTCTTTGCCCCTTTGGCTTTAAAAGTTCTGAGGTGAGGATTTTAAAAGTAAATATTGATTGGTCTCCATGGCTGCCATTAAAACACACACAATGTTTACAATTTGCCATGCCACCCAAATGTAAACAAGCTGAACTGTCAAACCACATTAATTCACAATTCTACAGCTGGTTTATAAATATAATATTCTCTACAATCATGTGACATGATTATTTATTCTTATATTTGATGGTTCATTGATTATTGGTTTTATGAAATAAGTGAGATTGTATATCTGTTGCTGTGTCTAACCCTAATTAATTATTTAAAATTTCGCTAATGTGAATGGTTGTATTGAAAGATTTTGGTGTAAAAAATAGTAAAATTATAAATAAGTCGCATTTACTTGAATCATTATAACATTTTTGAACACTTAAATTGTGTGAGTACGGTACACACACCTTTAAAATTGAAACTTTTTTCTCAAGGAGATGATTAATTAACTTTTGACACTTCCTGTAGATTTCACATTCTATTCTGAATAACTTTTTACGAGCGTTCCATGGTTATTACTATTTTCAACCAAGTTCCTCTTAACTTAACTGACCCTTGACATAAACATTGTTTGAATGACGTTAAATTTCCTAATTCTAAGCTATATAAAAATATTTCAATTTAAAACAAACAATCGGGTGGATTTTATAACAAAATTTGGTCTACCTAAATCTTCCGACTGATGATGAACCTACGGGTTTGAAATTAATATCGGACCACAATAATAAGGATTGTTAAGGTAAGACTTTACTATTTATTTGATTTAAAACAAACAATAAAAAACTAAGTTTTATATGCACTTGCCTTTGGTACCGGTACATGAATAGTAGGAGTTATAAATAGTAGGGCTAAGTATGTTTCTGTTTGTTTTAGTAATAAGAGTGTTAATGTTTTTGTTTGTTCTCATAGTAGGTATATAATGAGATATTTTTATAATCAATGCTTAGCGAGCAATGCTTTTTAGAAACAAGATCACATGTTTAATTTAATTCAACCCGTAATATTAACCAGATGTTGTAAATTATTGTTTGTCTATGTTTGATTTTATCATTTAAAAGTAAGTAAAAGCTTTGAGGTTTTTACTTGTTTTATTGTTTGAAAATGTTTTTTTATGTAATTAGTAAGTTAATAGTTTCGATAGGTACATTTATTGGAATTTAATCTTATTTTACTCCTTTTTCATGTCAGATTTCAAAAAGCACCATTTGAACATAGGCTACATCAACCCCAGACGAAGGACGGGTCCTCTACTAGTATACTAATAAAAATACTTTTACCTAAATTATTCTATCATGATAAATTCAGATTTTTATGAGTTTAATCAGCTGAATTTTGAGTTTTTCATGATCAAATCACAATTTCTCAAATACATTTAACCATTTCTTAAATATAATCATTGACTATCTATACCTACAGTAGGTATATATAGTCAATGATATAATTTACTGCTCTTAAATTATTTTGATGCCTTCTCAAATTCAACTAACTGTTCTGAATTTCTAAAATATTTTTGACGAATCTCAAATACAATTGATATGTTCTCAAATAAACATAACTGTTTCCCAAATAAAATTTGAAAAGATGTAGTTCCAGTACAGTTTGATTGATACAGTATTGGTACAGCGATACAGTTAGATTCACCGGCACAGTTTGGGTAAAGTATTTTAATTTAACAAGTGTTGGTACAGTTTAAACCTCAATCTAGATACAATAGTTGGATTCAAAGGGTCTCGGAACATTTTAAACCACTTATTTCAGGTACAGTTTGATTCAAACGGTCTGCATAGAGTTTGATTCACTTAGATTAGGTTTGATTCCCCAGGACAAGCCGCAGCTGGTTATGCTCTGGTGAGTTTTTAGTCACAGTCGTGTGGTAAGGACTTCACGCTTTCCCCCAGATTTTAAACAGTGTTGACAAACCTTCTATCTGTTTCTACTCCAAAAAAGTGTGAATTCATTTTAAATTAGCGTCTAGCGTTTAAGTAGCCTTTTTAACGTATTTAAATTGTTTAACGGCAAATAGTCAAATCCGTTTTATTAAACATCAATATTCGTTTTGGAGAAGGTCCCATATATGGAATGAGCTGTTACTCATGTTAAGACCTGGACCCGGGACCAATTTGTTTTTTCGTTTTGAGGTCCCTAGAGGACAAAAAACACCATCCGTTCGAATTCATATAGATATATATATATATATATATATGTGTGTGTGTGTGTGCGTGTCCGTTAGCACGATAACTCGAGAAAAAATGATCAAATTTTGATGAAATTTGGCACAAACGTATAAACCTACATTTATTCTAACGAGTTCGCGAACCAGTATGATTGGACTACGGGAACGGCGGTTTTTATGGGGTAAACATTTTGGTTTTTTTTTTTGTAAAAATGGGGTTTTTCCCATTTTTTTCTCTCTGAAAACATAAAATTTTGCAATTTCTTTCCAAACCATTTTATAGAACTCAAACTTGTTAAACTAATACTATTTAAATAAGGAATAAATTATATACTTTTAAGGAGATATTTTAGTGTATATCCAATCAGGCAAATGGACATTCGCTTAGTCTGCAGGTTTGCTGTGACGGGGATATTTGGTTGTATAATAGGTATAGACATCCCAAGAACAAAACAACCTGCGCAAAAACGAAAAGATCACGTGGTTCGCACCGGTACTTGTGGCGTACCGGGTACCCTTCAAACCTGCGCGGCTCGAAATGGCCGAGGGTTCTTTTGTTTCTGGTAATACTATAATAAACATTTATCGAAGATTGAATTAAATTCAACGTACAAGCATTGTTGAAAGGCAATTCAGTAAACTTTTTTAAATGTTAAACACTTGTTTATACACTCTATAATATTCGTTCTAAGGTAGATGTTTAAGAGAAATTCATTCCATGGATAATGATCAAATATTCATGATATAGTAAAACGATCTTGAGGATGCAAATTTATTTTTGAACCCAAGACCTCAGTCTACAGCAATTACTTTCGAGCATTGGGAATCAACTAGGTTTACAGTACATATAGCCAACAGAATGAGAAGTGGTCAGTAGTGGAATGTTTAGTATGTGGGAAGGAACAGCAACAAGCCAATTACATTCCTAATTGACTGAAGGTGTTCTAATTGAATTACAGACAGGATGGCACAATTAATCGACGGATCAAATATCTTAGACGTAAACATTTGTTTTCAATTGCATTATTGTTTACATTTATGAAGCTTATCTATTAAATTAAGATTCTTGTTAAAAATTTATCAATTTGAATTTGAATTTTCAAATTTTAACTAGTCACTAATGTTTATTCATGGAACACATTGAAATTATCTAAATAAAGTATGATTGATATAGGCTAAGTCAATAACATTTACACTACATATAAAATACAATTCACCGAATACTAGATATTTATTTTCAGTTGGTTTAACTTAAATTTAAAATAGTTTTCATGACTTTAAATAGTTATTAAGTTTTGAATATCTTAATATTCAAGCCTCAGTATCCTTTGTGAACTTTACAAGGTGTAAAATTACAAATCTTAGCCTTGAATTGTTTATATAAATTTAGGTTTAGGCAGGCCTGTACAAAAAACTTCTACTAACCAACTCATCTTACCGCCTGAATCATTCGGGGGAGTATTTACAAAATTTATTACATCAACTTTATATCCGTTAATTTTTTTCTGTCCTCAAAAATGACCAACTAGCCATGTTAATAACTGTAATTATGTATAGTAACCTTAAAATAACAATCATATCACTTTTTAACATCTACAAATTTTCCCTTGACAGACACTTTGTGCCCCAAAAACCCCACAGCAACATATAAAACCTTCTCAACATGATCTCGCAGATGTTTTTGCTTGCAAGAGTCTGGACGAAGCATCAAGCTGCGTAAACTTTCCTCCACAATCTCGCCAACTTTTTGTAAAACCTTGCAGATGTTATACTCAAAGTGTATCATGGTGTTTCCAAAACCTTCAATAGGAATTACAACACTTTCGCCTCTGTAAGAGCCCACTTCCCTTATCGTACTCACTTCATTTCCAATTCCCAAGGAAGCGATCAAAGCTGACATCAAATTATGGTATCTACCTTCCTCAGTTTTTAAATCGTATACCTTAGAATGTTCCAGATAAATTTCTAACTTGTTTGCAAACTTTTCAACATCGTGATCTTTTAAAAAGTCGATAAGTGTTTGGCTCTCGGTTTCAGTTACATTGAGTTCTGTCGCTATCCAGTGCTTGAACCCAGCTGCGAAAATTCCTTTTGTTTCTACATTCGGGATTTGTATTCGCCAAATTTCCTCCTTAGCATAACGTTTTGGGGTAATCAAATTCAAATAGCCGAGGTTTATGAAAATGCTGTAAAAATCTTTTCCAACATTTTCTGACACGATTGTTTTTGCATATTTCTCAATAACTACTTCTTTACTTTCACCTGAAAGTAATAAAAAGTCTTTGTACTGCGGGGATAAGAATCCCTTGTATGCAAATTTAACTAAGTCTGAGTTACTTTGTAGTAGATAGTAATCAAATTCTTGTTTAGTTAAAAACCCAACAATAGACCCTGGATTGTACATTTCTGTTTTATTCACAAAAAATCCACCATACCACTCTTTCAACCTGTCCATTTGATGTACATTTTGCACCAACTTACCCACTTCTGTTTCTGTGAAGCCAAAATAATCAGTAAAAGGTTCGTCAAAAACAGTGTCGTACAAGACATATTGATAATCAAATTCGCCAACACCGCTCGGAACCACATCAAAATTCAAACTCCCGGTTATGACAGCTTTTAGTAAATATTGGTTTTCTTTAAATGTATAATCGTACAACCTTTTAAACATCTCCAATACAAAATTGAATTCTGATCCTTGTCCAAGGCTACTAAAAGCGTTGATGAGTGGAAGATCGTAGTCGTCAACTAACAAACAAACGTAAGATTCAAAATGTTCAAACAACAACATACTAAGGAACTCCAAACTATCGAACATATACTCTTTGTCAAGACTACCCGATAGAAAATTGTCCAACCTTGGTATTTCATCTTCATCCAAAATTGTGGTTTCATTATCCAAGTATTTCGCTAGAAATGGATAACTTCTGTATAAATTTACAATAACTTTATTTAGCTTTTTTCCTATTTCACTAACACTTTTTCCTTTCACTTGGCTCAAGTTCAGGTAAATTACAGGATGTTTTCCCATTTTCTCCATTGCGGTTTCAATTTTAGATATCTTCAAGGGTTCAAGGACTTTGACATCATTTGAGATTTTCAACTCACCACCATTAAAAAATATTGTATTCTTCCTCTTTTCTTCAGGCAAGGGTTTTGCGTTTTCATCTGATTCAATTTCAAAAAATGTCTTAAGCATTTCCAAATTCACAGTTTTTCCCCACCTCCTTGGTCGTATGATCTGAAACACTTTTTCATCTCTTTCCAAAAGTCGGTTGATCAAAAGACTTTTATCAACATACATCCTGTTTAATGCTAATGTTTGGAAATCAGTAAATTTATGTTTAACTTCCTCAGTCAGAGAGTATCCAAAGAATATGAAACAGAGATACAACAACGACACTTTACAGCGAGAAAAACACTTGATGGATGAATCAACGGCATTATACATTATTCAAATTACATGATGGTGTAAAAATAATATTAGTAATACATTAAGATTGTAATCTAATCACCGAGATGACAATATAGGGGCAATAAACACAAACTTAAAAAGTTATTTTTATTTACTCCTATTTGTAGGCCTATTACAAATCTTATTTCAAAATATTATCATTGTGGTTTTTTAATTGGATTAAAACATCCTAGATCCGTTTTGGATGAAAAAAAGCTCTCAAATGATAGTAATTTTCATTTACTCACTGAGTTGAAAGCTGTGTGAACGACACTTAAATCATGATTTTTGAAATTGTTAAAAATACAGCATGCAGACATTGATTGTCAGTGTACTCCACGACAGGCCCGCAGCTGGTTAAGTGAGGTGGGCTGCCAGACTGATATCTCAAATGACCTTGACTCACTTTCATGACCTTGATAAGTTTCCTGGTCTCATCCATACCCTTGAGTGTCTTTCCATTCATAGCATAGCAGGCAAGTGGGCAAGTGGAGTGAAGCTCTTGGCATATCACCCGAGTAAATGAGCGATTTCCTGGTTTGTCTAACAGAAATTTCTGCTCATTGGTCTTTGAATGGTAAAAAAAATACTTTGAACTTAATCGATGTTAAAACATTTTATCTACGGCTCAGGAGCAATTAATATGAAACTCCTTAAAATGGCAACCTCAGTTAATCCAAAACCAAGTGTAGTAGTAGTAAAGATTATAAAATCCATACTGTAAACACTCTGTCTACTAATCCTAAATACAGATTATATAGTCTTACCATAATAACCTACTTACTGTATCAACCGTTTCACTTTAGCCATCCACTGATGGTAAGACCAGTTGAAATTTGATTAAGTGTTACTTCTTTAACCTGTATTATTAAAACAATAAGTCAATAAGGTACAAAGCTTCATAACTAAATTGTTTAAAGACGTTACCAAAGACATTCCTATCATATCTGCCTCATAGTGCTAGTGACAACCGATCCAACTGTCTACTATCCAGCAGTTGAAACAAAATGCAAAACAAAACAAACAATGCTAATTCCATTTAGAAATTTGGAGCAGCCTCAAACAATTCTAAAACCACAAAAGGTGGAATGACTCATCCCCCATAAACTAATAAAATATTCCAAACAACTCATGATTCATAACAGCAAAAATAAATATTACATATGCCTATAAAAGTGCCCCAATACTTCCAACGGCACAAAGTACAATATCGTATCAATTTAAACTATTATTGGGTAGGACATATCAATATCTGTAGGACAGTTTCAATCAATGTTTTTCCCATTTCTAATGTGTTTATAAAAGCAGCAGAACATTTGGCAGAAGGCCCAACGGCTGGCCGAGCTGCCAACTAGGCCTACGCGAACTAGGGCTGGCTACACTTCAGTTCCTTCAATCAATAGCTTTCTATTTAAAGTAAAACAGAAGTTATCTGTACTTGAGTAGCTTGTATAAGAGAGTTATAATTACTGAAATGTGCTTCTGTTCTGATTGACCAAGCCTTAAATTCTCTCAATTAACTCAAGCAAAGGATCAATTAATATAATCTTTGACTACGGTATTCTCTATCCAATGATATAATTTAAAACAGTCTACAACAATTAACACCTGATAGTCAACAAAATTACCATATGAATCTCTTATATTGCTGTATTGAATAATAAGGTTATTACAAACCGTTGTTAGGCTAATGTACGTGTACTAAGTAGATATCAAAGTATTAATTCTGGTTACCCTTAAGTCACTGCCATTTCAGCTATGCTGGCTATAGCAATCCATTTAAGAAGAATCCCACAAATGTTGGGAATAAGCTAAAAGACGCAAAGTAAATAAAAGATACGTCTAATAACATTTCAAACATATATAAGCGTGTGCTGTTAACTCACAAGACGGTAAATATACATAAAAAATGGTAAGAGGTGATCGATTTTGATTGGACACTCCAATCATCATCAGACCCATAGGCGGATGAGGGTCCAATAGAATTTGAATTGGAGTGTCCAATCGAAATCGATCACCACTTACCATCTTTAAGTCCACAACGTCTGGTGAGTTTACAGTATAAGCGTTAATATATGTTTTAAATGTTACATATCTTTTATTTACTTTCAACACATACAATGCTGATCAAGAAGTTACTAAGCTAAAAGACTAAAGCCTACATCCATATTTTACATATTTATTTTTTATCCTGTAATTTACTTGTGATTAGCATTTATACTGTCATACTTTGAACAAAAAGTTTAACTGAATAAAAAGACAAACTCTTAATGTTGAAGCAACAAATTGATTATATTTCTCATAATCTCGTAATGTTTAAAAGTGTCATTAACTCTAACAATTCAATTATAATTGTTTCATATCAAAATATCTCAATCAATATAATAGTTAAATATTTAAATCATAGGGAGGATTTATAAAGTTATGTCAAGTCAGAGATTTGGGTCTAATGCGTGGGCTTTTACCGAATTTCTCATATCAGGAATAAGCTATTACCGTAGGTCTCATAATAAGACCTGGACCCAGGACCAATTTACATTTTCGTTTTGACGTCCCCAGGGCCTAAAACACCATCCGTTCAAATATACAGGGTGACAATTAAGTCTTAAGACGACTTAACTTTAAATTAAAACCGAAATAGATATCACAACCAAATTTGGCATATCATTACGTTAATCAGGAAGGTTGATATGTCGTCAGGCTTGATTAAAGGGTATGCATGTTAAGGGTAATTATGCATGATGTATCGAGTGTGAGGTAGTCGGGGCTCACCTGTCATCATGACATCATAATGATCATCGGGATTTAGCACTATCGGGCTCATCGTCTGGTAATTCCCTATTTCCTATCTTGACAAATTTGATCCTAAGTTATTCCTTTGTTTGCCATTAACATGAGTAATTCTTAAGGACAGTACTTAGATTTTGTTGGAAAAATGCTAAAAGAACCAGCCTTTGTTCATGAAATAGACACTTGGTGCAAGCGTGGTATCATTTTCAGATTTTTAAACAATCAAAATCAGTATTGCACTAGGCTACCTATTAAAAAAATTAAATTAAATCCGAAAACATTATTTAGGTTAAAGAAGATTAATCAAACGAGAATCTTTTACCGGATTTCACAAAAAAGTGACAAAGACGTAAACTGCGAACTCATAGGCTTTCAAAATCTCCACCTTTACTAACAAAACCAAAATACCGTACCCGAATTGCCAAATAAAAAAGATAAATAAAAAGTCCTGCTTTCCCTGTGTCTTGATTGTGCTTGATCCCTTGCAACAGGTTAGCTACTTACAAATTAAAGTTTTTACAAATTTACTGGTCCCCTCGAGAATAAATAAACGACGAATACGTGAGGACAACCCCAGTAATGATATTGTACCAACATCTTTTAGATATTCATACCAGGCATTCTCATGTCTATCATAACACCCTCACCCTACCAACCCAACCACTTTGAGAGTGGCTTTGCATGCAAATTTATCTTTTCTGTAAAAAATACCTGTGTCGCAGCAAACCAGCGGGATAAGAGAATTTCCATTTGTATGATTAGCCTACTAACATATCTCCTTCAAAATGTCTGGTTTATTCCTTATTGAAGGTAATAATTATTGAAGGTAATAAGTTAGTGTTTTTTTTATGGAAATGGTAATAGTTCAGTATGAAATAGCCTGAATTAATTTTCCAAATTTGATCAAAGTATAACCAACAACACAACAAACAAACCCACTCAACAACAACACGCAACACAACAATTATAACAAGCAAACTACAACAGTTTACTTTTTTTTGGAACTTTCTCCTTGAGTAGGCCTATTAGGCGTAAAGTATAAAAACGCTTAAGAATACTAAATTGTATGTTCTTAAAGCTCTAAAAAATGGTTTGGAAAAATAGCAAATTTTATGATTTTTGTATAGGCCTAGTGGAAGTATACTTAGTGCTAACGAAAAAATATTTCCACATTCAGCGTGAAAAATCCTGCAAGTAGACTCCTAAATTAAAATGTTGTTAACTTAGGTGAAGTTGTTATTCAAACTATTCAATGTGTAATTTATTGAGGCCTAATTGAATATTAGCCTATACATCATTTTAAATATTGTCTTAGATATTGATAAGATTGAGATTGATAAGTTATATGTTTTTGATTCTTAAGTTAAGACTACCTATTTGTACTGACCAAGCCCAAGTTACCTAAGTTAGGCCTATAATAGCATAGGGCGAAAGTTAGGCTACATGTCATGCTAAACAATTAACTAGGTTCATTAACAATTAGGGTCCAAAAACACTTTGAAACTACAGTACATGCCACAGGGGAAGAGAAGCATAAAATATAGAACATATGTTTGAGAAAAGGCGCTATACTAATCCTATTCAATTCAATCGGACTCAACTAATATTGTCCCTTAATCTGATCCTTACGAAATTTGAATCTAGGGCTACTGTATACGGTAAATTCATAACACAAAATAAACCACTTAGGCTAACTTAAATAATTACATGATTAACATAACATTAAACTGGTTCTTGGGAAAAGTACCGATACCGAGAGTCGTTGTCAAAATTTGACTGTGGATAATTGGGTAGGCTTACGTACCGGTACCAATAGGATAAATGGAGCACAGGCCTATGGTTCAGCGCATAGCAGTGCAATATTGGTAAGTCGAAACCGAAAGTGACACATTAGAAATAGGTACCATTGTTACGATCAAAGCGAAATCGCAAAGATATCCCAAGATCGCAGCAACATCCGCAATCACCCAGTGTAGTTGAGATTTTTTACTTGACACTTAACAGCATTTGGACCACCGTTAATGGTGGAAACCTCAATTGTAGGTTTTTGGCGCCGATGATTTATTAAAAAATGTAAGAAGTTTCTCAGTTCTGTACAACACTGATTCACGGTCTTCTTCCAGGTTAAAAAAAGTCAAGCATAACTTGATAGGCCTACACACAGAATCTCCGGTTCCTGACCTGGATTATGACTAAAGTCGGGACCACGTAAGTTTGCAGTTGGTGGCAGCCAATCACAAGACAAGGCTAGTGCGACGTTGCCACATCGCTCGTTGACAACACTAATTAAAATATATTAAGCAATATTTTCAAATCAGCTGGTATTATTAGATTTGGCAACACCGCACGGTTATCATTGGTTAATTCAAATACCATATGGGAAATAGGCTCCTCCCTCAACTGCAAACTTGCGTGGTCCCGACTGTAGTTATTTTATTTTATTTACAGTTAAATATTAACTAATGTACTTGCGATCAAACAAACCCCTTATGCAAACCACATGGTTATTAATCTCGGTTAGTTTTGGATTTGCTTACAAACGTGATCGGAAATGGTTAGGTAGGCTACACATCGTAAACAACATTGAATAATGTAAACATATCAGTGACAGCACTGACAACAACTAGGAAAAAGAATCTTTAGAAGAAACTTTTCCAAACAGCTGTTGGTTCGTTTCATGGATGACATATTTTCTTAACATTCATAAATAACATATTTAGTACGGTGTATATAGAAGGACACTTACCTTAATCACTTTGTACTTCTTCTTAGTGGCCGTATTGAGATCTTCATGGACTTTGTCTAGTAGCCACAACAAAAATTCCTGCGCATCGTGTTGGTTGTTCCCTCGATACTGGCTCCCGTACTTGTCCACAATCAGTTTGAACTTGTTCGACATTTCTGGATCATACTGACACGACCAAATAGCTTTTAATAATAATGCTAATTGCTCCGTTACCTCTCCTTTGGTACCATACTTTTTTGAGTTCAACTTATTCCTTCTTGACAAATCTGCTTTATATAGATCAAGCACAAAATATTCAGCCAAAATATCGGTGTGGCTCAGGCACTGCAATACTGCATTGATAAAACAAGTGTTACCATGGTTTCGAAGACCCATTACACCGGGTACTTTATCACCATTACCGATAAGAAGAGGTTTGGTTGGCGGTACTCGAATATCAGATGAAGAAAGTGACATGGTGTACCTTCTGCGGCTACTGTAAACATAATTGGGACATGCATTCTTGTTGTTTTGAATGCCTAATGCAGAAACCTTTTGAACCACTTTGGTGATAAACTTGTTCCACGAAGGACGTCGGAAAAGTTTTTTGTTTTGCTTTTGAATGTCCATGTTTTCGTTTTCCTGGATCACCATCGAACTTTTATTAGATAGGTTATCTTTGCTGTCCTTATGTTTTGCTTTGCGTTTGCTACACCTTGTTCCACTCAAAGCATTCCTAGTTAAAGTGAAGGTTCTTTTAAGTTTTGATTCTTGTAAGTTAGAAATTAGTGACTGATCACAATTGTCAGCATCATTTGTAACATTTAATGCTTGTCTATCACTATGTAATTCACCATCTGAAGTCGGTGTTTTTAACGGGACACCAAGTGCCACCTCCGACATACTATGCACAACTCGACCAAATTAATCATTAAATATTAACTCCACTGAAGACACAAATAAAGCACAGAATCACACACAACCTAATTAGTTAATTCAAACACAAATTTTCACTAGACAATTTCGCCATGACAAATGCACAACCAGAAGCACTTTCAGTTGAAGTTGAGACTTGACAAGGACCAAGGACGTCAAATAAAACACTGAATTGTGGGTAATGTTATGGCAAGTTAGGCAACCAACAAAACAAATTTGTGTACCACTAAGTAGATTTTTAGATTATACATCGGTGGATTTAATCATAGTATTTTATTTCTTCTTATTTAGTTATACTGCAACAATTTGGCTAGTTTTTTTATGGATTTCTAGAAAAGTAGAAAAATTAATCTTAAGCTATTAAGCTGACCAACAAGGACATAAGTTAGATTGTTGAACAAAATTAAACTTGTAAAGTCGTCTAAAAAAACCTTGTTTATATCAGGGTCATATATCACCTCTATTGTTCTGCTCATCCCCCAATCAATGGCCACAGTCCCGCTCCTCCACTATTCCCATCCCTCACCCAGGTCCAAGATTTGAATCACAACCTCCATACGCATAAGCGTCGTTACAGTTACAGTATCTTCAGCCAAACTGCACCCCTGGGATTTTTTACTCTTCTGCTTGTTTATTTTGGCCTTTGAGCTATTTGATTTATTTCTTATGTTTGTGTGTGTTTAAAAGGGAACGGTCCATACCCTTATATAGAATATCTTATAACTATACTTTCTCCGACACACCCATTAGAATCGATATCACTTGCCCATTGTCATTGTACAAACTCAAACTTATTTATTTACGACCGTTACCGGTACAAACTGCATAATATCATAGATAAAACAAAAGGGAGTATGTTTTATCATAGATAAAACGTGTTTTATCTATGATAATATTGTCAACAAACATTCCTCTTTAAGCAAACAAAAAACAACCCTTCGACAACATCTAAAAACTGAAGATTCGTTATAAAATGTAAATCGCTTTTAAGGTGTAGTGGTTAGAGCGCGGGACTTCGGTCCCGGGTTCAAATCCCCGCCAAATAACCATTGGATTTTATCTAAGTGATAAAATGCCGCAACCCTTAGTTCTTGCCTGAAGTAATGTGAAAAACACTTCCGGGCTCGTGCCTATAGCATCCGAGAGAAAACGGTCATTATATGTCTGATATGATGAGTGATGATGACAAAAAAACGTTCACGGCTTCTCAAACCATACAGCCGTAAATTGGAATGGCGACAATACAAAGGTAGGTATTTTAAGCCAAGTATGAATGGAGATGAGTGTTGGATGAGTGGCTCGATTTTGATGGACAAGTTCTTAGACAAAGCTGTTGATTAATAAGTTTGATTTATCATAAGAGATAAAGTAAGAAATTTTGGAAAAGGTCAACATTTTTCGTAACAAATACCAGACACAATATACAAAAAAATTTGAGTACCATTGGCTGCTTCCAAACAAAACAGCTGTTAAAGTAACACCACTTACGACGTTGCCACTTCGAAGGCCGCGGCCTGGAGTTAAAGGCGGCCGTGCCGTTGTTCTTCCCAATGCTTGAAATTCCGGGGATTTAATTTTTATTGCTCGTAAAAAGCATATTGTTTTTGTGATTAAAACATAAAACAGAGAGCAAGGACATTGATTATAGAGCATAAGTGTACACTGTGTAACTTACATAATATAGTATATATTATATGTATACTATAATGTATAATAATTTATTGTTCTATAAAAGTCATGGTGGAAGGAAAGTACAATTTGTATTTTCCTTCCGCCATGTATAAAAGTTGAAATCGTTAGCCAACAATTAAATTCATTGGGAACAACAAATAATTAATTCTATTTTCCAACCGAACCGGCGTGTAGTCTGTAGTGTGTAAGAAGTAAAACATGATAAAACATATAAACTGTAAAGTAAACAACAGCTGATAAGGATAAGGATAAATAAGGCTGTTTATTTTTCATTCATTCATTTGAATAAATAAATATCGAGAATCAGGGAATCACTATTCAGCAAAATAACATAGGGAAAGCGGATTATTTTAAATAATAAACAATGTAAATGTGGTGTCATTTTTTTTATTGATGGTGTAAAAATTAAAATAGGCCACTAATGACATTTTGGTAAAGCTTTTTGAAACTTGTTCGTTCTAGTTGGGTATAATAGGCCTATTTACAATTACCTCCAGCCATTGTTAATTCATTCTAATTAATTCAATGCTACTGTATTTCTGAAAATTAAAATGGCTTTGTCATGTGCATCTTTATAAACAAGGCATAGGCCTAACCTATTAAACTGAGACTTCAGACTAGATAAAGGTAAGGTTGATACCTATTTCATTTAATTAAACAAGGCCCTACAACATAGGCCTAGTCTAAACATTTTGAACAGTCAAATTGAGAAGGCTAGCCAACCGAATTGAGCTAACACCTTAACCTAGGTCTAGGCCAAGGCCTCGGCTACTATGTTTTTATCAACCAGGCCTTTTACCTTTGATGTCTTCACTACAATCCGTAGATAGGGGGATAGTCATGGTTCTTCCGTCTGGACAGGTTTTCCCTATAAGCCTTTAGTTAGTTCGGGTACAGTTTCTTAACTGGGCTACGCTAAAACTGTATCGATTGGAACTATCGATTTGATTAAACACTCATGCGAGTTTTCCGCCATCGGCAAGTTTGGTTGGTTAGGTTAGGTTATGATAGTTTAATTTTATAATAGATATATTTTAAAATATCGATTAAGTTATTAGGCTAATCAATATTTTAAATTCGGTAGTTTCAATCGATATTAGCGTAGCCCAGTTAAGAAACTGTACCCATTTGTTCAGCTAATTTTGCTTGGACTGCCAGTATTAATGAGACCATCCCTTGCCCAAAATTAAGCTAAATTCTAGCTCAAGTATATATGATATTATTTTAAATTAGCCTAGTAATAGCCTACTACTCTCTGTCAATTGGCAATCATGGTTCCAGGGGGTAGGGAGGCTAGGACTAGTTTGTAGGAAGTAAGTTACATACATAATACATGATGTCTCCATCCGCAGTCCTTTGCCATAAGGAATTGGACAGGGCAGGGGCTTTACAAAGAATAACTTGTAACCTTGATTAACTTATCTGATCATTTGTTTCCTAGTGTTCTATTTATAATTTAAGAATATTAAACACACATCTTGTTTCAACAAACTCTATTTCCAAACTAAACCAATGTTTACAAAAATCATCTGTCAACAAAAGATATTTAAACACAAATAAATCATATGACTAAAAGAACAGACTTTTAATACAACATCCCGCCTCAAGATGTCTACATCTTCATGAAGCTCGAGGAAGAGAAGCATCATCTCATCATTTAGTTCACCCCATGCACACGTTTTCGCAAGGCCATGCAAATCTGTTATAAATTTTTCAGATGGATCGCTCCCTTGCTTGTGTCTCAAAAATTTTGATCTCTCATAAATTATATTCCGTCTTGGCACAAAGTATTCATCAAAGGCCCGAAGAGCCTCCTCATAAGTATTAGGTTTTGGTGAAAACGAATCGAAAATATCTTCACTTCTACTACCCATTGTAAACAAAAGTACATCGATTTGCCGAGCGTCAGAAGTGCTATCCAGACCGCAACCCCGTCTGTACCTTTGAAAGCGATTCCTCCAGGAATGCCACTCATTCGGAGTAAAAGAGAACGTTTCCGGAGTTGGTAACGTGATATTGATCATCGGAGTAGTAGTACACATAACTGCATTATTTTCTCGGTTCGTATGTACCAATGCAAATCCTCGTGACTCATCTTTAGTCTTTCTAGAGTCCCTTTCTGAAACGTAGTTGAGTTCACTTTGGGTGTCGTCCTCACCGTTGTCCTCATACCTTTGCCTCCGAGTATTTCGTTTTTTTCTGCCCTTACTTGACATTATGTGTGGTTTTAGACTTTAAGTTCGATAAAAATCCACTAAGCTGCCACCATGTTCTATTTATAATTTAAGAATATTAAACACACATCTTGTTTCAACAAACTCTATTTCCAAACTAAACCAATGTTTACAAAAACATGTTTACAAAAATCATCTGTCAACAAAAGATATTTAAACACAAATAAATCATATGACTAAAAGAACAGACTTAATACAACACCTAGACTAGTTAACTTACCTTTTTTCTGTGCTATCCAATCTTCCCAGGCGACGATTTCAGAGTAACTTCCGAGAAATTCAATACGTGTAGGCCTATAAACTTCACATACCATACTTTTGTGTGATTGATTAATTTACTTAACACTTACATTAGTGGTAAAATGGTCAAAAATTATTTAATTTCTTAAGGTAAGTAATTAAACTAAACACATTTGATAAGAGTAAAGATCATTTTCATGTTATAGACCAACACAGCCATGGATTTCATTGCTCCAATCAAGAGTTTGTGGGACAGTAGTATGAGTCATGTGTTCTTTCCTGTGCTTGCGGGAATATCCATCATTATCCTAACCACCCATCTCTACCACCATTTGAAACCCGAGACCCACGTACCACTCAGAGACACCAAGAGCCACAACTGGAAGAGCTCCAAAGTGGTAGGAGAAGCAACCCATTGCAGCATCTGTGAAAACTTGCTTTTGACTAAAGGTTTGTGAAAAATAATAGCCTAGTTAGTTCATGAGTAGGCCTATGAATATATATCAACTTTAATAATATCATAGGTTAATATGATGTCAAGCCTACCGGTACTTAAAACATTGTTCATTGAAATATCATAACTTAGGTAGGTATTCTGAATTATTACTGTAGGCCTACACAAAACAGGTTTGGTCATCCAGATGCATGGTGTCTACTATCCAGGAAAACCGGGAATTCTAAAGGAATTTTACATTACCTTGAAATATATTGGAAAACTCCAGGAATAAACCCAAATTTCCGGGAATCTGAAGCCCAGTCATCCGAATCCTCGGTTAACCTTCAAGCCAGATTTTATATACCTTGAGAAGTGAAAATTATGTGAACCTCATAAAGTGTAGCCTATTATTTTTATTTAACCTATGTTTCATCCAACATTTTACCTACATGATATTCTAAACTTTAAAATAACTCAGTGAATGTAAATCCCGTCTTTTATACAGGTTATTACTGTGACAGCTGTGGAGTGGCAGCCGATCCACCATGTTTAAAAAACGCTGACAAAACATTGAAATGTAAGAGCCTCTCTAACAACGAAAAACCAATGAAACATCATTGGGTCAAAGGTAAGTCTTTTAGAGCAACTTTAGCAAAACTTATCAGCCAGTTAAATGAACAGTAGAGTTGACGAAAGTTTTAAACAGGTTTAATCACATTAGTACCAATGATACGCTAGTAATTTCTAGAAGAGAAGTTGTATGTTTGATTCTTAAAAAGGTTCATTGAACTCACACGTCTACTCTACCCAAGTGTCAAATAAATTTCATTCTATGAGAATGTTCTAGCCTAAATGAAGTACTATCACAGTAATATTTTTAACATCCCTTCAATTACTCATTGTTTTCCGTGATCACAATGAAATTATTCACAATGAAAAAACCGACAGCTAACTTTTTAAACTAACCCATCCCAAATAAAAACTAAAAAAAGCCATTTATTTTGCCAGAGATTTTAATTAAGCAGTTCAAGGGGAGCTGGGGTTGGCAAACACTGTTTTAACCCTGTAAAGAATACCCTCAAATTACTACTACGTGACTACTGAAACTACTGCTGACGGTTTAAAAACCGTCATAGCTTTTGTAAACAAACAAAACCCTTTTTGATGTCTGCTTCTGCTATTTTCACTTCAGCACATCCAGGGCTTGAGTTTGATCATTTCTGCAGGTAACCTTCCATCGTATGACCACATCTGCCGAGTGTGCAGTGATGCGTGTGACGATGTCGGCCTAACAGACTATCAGTGTTGTTGGTGCCACACCATTGTACACACCAGATGTCTTCCAAAGGTGGCACAGGTGAGGTAGAGTGTGCTGCCGTCTGTAATCTGATAAGTACCAACCCCAAAGTTGTAAGTCACAATTTGGTCGCGTAATCAACTAAGGGTAAGATGACAGCATTTTTCATTGGTAATTGGCTTGTATTAAACAGTGTTTATCCCTCGATTTCAAAAGTAATTTGGTTTAATCCGGATATGTAATGAACACAATTAATTTTTTTGTCAAACCTTACGTGACATAACTTGACAAATGATAGCCAAGCAGGCCTGCATCCAATGAAGGAAACGTCTTCAGTCTCTAGAATAATATGAATAGTGTAGTGTTAAAATAAATTAATAATGTTTGTCATGTTGGTAGGAGTGTGACCTGGGTCAGTTCCGTCAGCTGATTGTGCCTCCCTACAGTGTAGAAGTGATGTCCCGTCGCACTAGTATCAGCCATAGACTGATGCTGTCATCTGTAACTTCACCAGATTGGGATGATTGGTCTCCTCTCATCGTTGTTGGTATTCTGATTCAAATTGTACAAAAACCTTTGAGTGTTCAGTTATTAGACTTATCAAGTATCTATTTCCGTGTTACGGTACATAAGTGTTACATATTTAAGTATTTTTGCTGTTTTTCACGGTAAATATATTTTACGGTAAATACATATAAAAGATGCTAAGTGGTGATCGATTTAGATTGTTTACATTCACCGATTGGGTCTGATGATGACTGGAGTGTCCAGTCTAAATCGATCACCACTTACCATCTTTTATAGGTAAGGACCTTCTGCGTCTTGTGAGTAAACAGTATAAGTATAAATACATTACAACCTTTATTTGACGTATTTTATACTTTGAGGTAATCTCTACAGGGTGAGGCAGACCATCCGTACGTAATGCATAGCGGCCAAACTAAACAAAAAAACAAGGTAGATCTTTTGTAAAAACTTAAACCCTCCTATTTTTACCCCGTAGAATTTGGAGAATTTATTTGAAATCTCCCAAACACACCGAAAGGGTAGTTTTTTAGGGGTGGGGCTAGATTTTGGAAAATTTTCAATCGCATAGTAAGTGATACCTCATTTTTAAGGTATTTGTTCACTTAACATTTTGATATAAAAACATTAAACTTATTATTTTAATAAAAAACCAGGGTGTTAAAAAAAGTCTGAAATTCAGGGTCATAGCGTTAGTTTTACTGCAACCGCCTACAGTAATGTAGGGGAAACAATTTGTTATCCAAGATTAATGAAAAGGTGCCCTTTTCAATAATATCCTTAAATGTACCAATGCAGTAGGCCTACTTCAAAGTTTATTAATTTCCAAAATTCAAGACATTTTGGAAAATGTAATGCAAGGACTTTACCCTACAAGTAAATAAACTCAAATAGCAACATAGGTTGTGTAGTACATTAAAAATATGTTTAAAACTATATTTTTTACATTTTTTAGTTTGGCTCTATCTCCAAAAGTTTCAAAAATTTAGTCTAAAAACATATTTTTCAATTATTCTTTTGGGTTTTTTATAATAAAGTAGCCTATCATATAGAAATAGAGGAAACCATGAGATAAAATATCTTTTTTGTACTTTTTTCAAATCTAGATATGTTTTAGTATTACCGTATGACATACAAAATATTTACCATGTACTATTTTCATTACAGCCAACCGCAAGTCTGGCAACAACGATGGTGATTTAGTTCTGTCGTGTTTCCGGCGCTTGCTCAACCCTGCGCAGGTCGTAGACCTAGCACAGTGGCCACCACAGGTAAGAACTTACAAATATTCTTGTTTAGCTTAAAGTTTAGTTCAATTGTTTTAACAATAATGATTTTCTTAAGGTTAAACTCGAATGTTTGTCTGTGATTAGGCTGCACTGGAGTGGTGCCAACTGCTAGGTCCGTCTCTAGCAACACCAGCCGTCGTGTTGGTGGCGGGCGGAGACGGTACAGTGGGATGGGTGCTAAATGCCATACACCAATTGAAACTCAAGGTAACTTAATGATTATTGGTATAATTTAGAATAAATTATCATCTGTTGTTTTGTTTTCCTAAAATCCTTGAATCAAGTGTGGTAGATAATCACAGGGGTTTTTTGATTACTTTATATAGTTATCGGCTACAGCTGAAAAGAGGTTTTTTGGAGGCTTTTAATGCAAAGTGAATGCAGCAAGTTTCACTATAGGCAAGAAGCTATTGTAGTGGTTTGTACAGAAAGATCTAGATCCAGGACTGATTTACTTTTTCATTTAGATGTCCCCAGAGGCCAAAACACTATTCAATAAGTAATAAGTGTTTTTCCTTTAACATCTATTTTCCATCCGTCCTCTTAATCCGATTTTTACAAATTTGAAGCTTATTATCAAGGTGAGTGATGAATGGGAATGAAAAAGTTGATTTCCTTTAGGGATTTGTCCTCCTTGCCTTTAATTTGTTTCTAGAGTTCTTTCAAGGATTCAGTTTGTAACGAGTTATTTTTCCTAGGGGGGTATATTTTCGCTATTTGGCCGCGTACCGATTGTAGAGGTAAGCAAGCGGCGGCGGCGAACCTAGCTAGCACCCTTTGACCCGGCTTATCAGTTCGGATAAGCCTGGGATATCCTGGATCTTCAGCACAGTCTAGGACAGAGACATTCGAGTCGTGGATCCTGAAGAGTGAGCAGTTAGCGTGTGTCTAGTGAGACGTCAAGTGATTTGGGTGACATCGGATAGTGTGGTGTCTTGTGAAGACGACTGGGATACGTCGGTGGTGTACGTAGAGAGGAGTGTACGTGACAGTGGTGTCGGAGTACGTTGGTGGTGTGATCGCGCCGAGTGTTGGTGTAAGTTGGGTACAGACCCACTATTGGTGAGTGGACGACGTTCCTTACATTTTGGTTTAAGAGTTGATAATATTAATATCTGATTTTATTGCGAGAGTTAGTTGTAACCAAACTGGTCAAAGCCTGACGGTAGTTAGGATTTATTTATTAGTCAGGAATAATATCAAGGTATATTCCTAACGGTTCTGGGCAGGTGCTAAAGCGCAATTAATATATTTTATTGACTATAGTAGATATTATTTTGCGTTGTACCAAGAGTTATTTATATTACTAATAACTGTGAGGCCCGACAAACCTAGGCTGCACGATTTGGCGTGCGTAGTTGGAAGCACGTGGCCAGTAGGCTAGTAGCTAATATTATTAGCCTATTAACAGAAGCCCAGCTAAGTAACATAAAGTTGGTAGTAGCAGTAGCAGTAGTAGGGTTGTTATTGTTTATTCATTTGATTATTTTAATTTAACCTGAATAGCTTGTTTGGTAATCCAACACGTTATCTTGGTAGCTTGGATAGCGGAGTACCGGCTATCAGATAATATATTTATCTAGTGTTTGGAACGTATTTAATATTTATTTACCTGCTACTAAGTAGCTCAATAATTTAATAGTAGTGCAATTGACATCTAGTTTTTGCTTGATTAGCTTGGTATTTATTGAGACCAGCTGCTAGAGGTGTAGTCTCTCTGCTTATAGTGCACTTGTATTATTATATGGTATTATTATTGAGTAAATTGTCTGATTCTTAGCTTGGGCATTAGAGTTGTGCATTGGATTATAGTGGCCTAGTAGACCCCGCCTGGTGATAACGCGCGTTGTGGTTTTTGTTGGCAAGTCGTCGTGTAACTCACTGTGTTTTAGGCACTCTGGGCTTAACTATTGGATAGTTAGAACGAAGCCCGAGTTGCGTAGTCAGCAACGACCCCTTAGGAGTGTGGAGAATCGGCGTAGGCCTGGTAGTGATTATTGCACGTTTGTTTTGGTGACTTGTTTTTTTACTTGTTCACAGTGCCCGTGTATGAGCCAGTCCTATACCGGTTAGACCCGGCTTTTGGCCTAGTGGTTTCCCTGACCTTATCGCAGACCCTGGAACTTAACCCAGCCATAGTAGGCTGAGCTATCCTCAGCAAACGGTTGCGACGACCGCACTCTTAATATTTTTTTACCAGTGCAGAAAGTAGCGTCGCAAGTTTTGCTGACAAACTTTCTTTATAGCCAGTTAAATGCGAAATGTAAATCAACATTATAAAATGGTTAAATAAGACCTAATGATGTTATCAAGTGGCTGTTACGTATGTCGCTAGGTGGAGCCAGTAGTGGGGATCGTTCCACTCGGCACTGGGAACGACCTGAGTAGAGTGCTGGGGTGGGGCAGTGAACACTCGACGAGCGACATCACCGGAGAACAGATCCTGAGAAACATCCAGCGTGCGACGCCCGTTAAACTGGACAGGTACTGGGAACTCAGATATGCTCAAGCTGTACCTACTGTTAAATCAGAAAACTTTAAACTTATCAAGCATTGCTTCTAACTAGTGATGTGTCAATACCAATATTGATCGATTCTGGATACCAATACCTGAAAAATCTATTCTTGATACTGATACAATTTTTTATTGTTTTGCCAAATTGTCTGAATTGATTGGTTATACTACACCAACCCCTGTCTTTATGTCCTTCCATTAAGTATTTTTGAGGCAATGGAATGTTTAAACCCAACTAGATAATCTATACTTATTTAATACGCAAGCAGGTTTTTTGTGACAATTACTCCTCCGAAACTACTGAACCGATTGATATGTTTTTGGTGTCATTGGAAAGAGCGTAACGTGAAGTTGTGCAGGAAACTTTCTTTTTAGGGAAATAATTAGAGAGTGAGGCCCTGGGACCCTTTAAATTTTCGTATTTCTCCATAAGATTAACATGGGAAACAAAAATTGTTATGAAACTCCAGCTGTTGTCAGAAATTAAAAGTGAGAAGAAGAACATGTTAATTGTAAACAGTCAATAAGTTTGCCAATTTAACAGTTTGCTACAAATATTTACTGACTTGGTTAAAATGAAACATTTACTATTTGAATTTGGGTTGGCATAAATATTACAACGGAAAAAGCGAGAGAGCCTGGATAATTTGATATACTAAAAAGAAAACTGAATTAACACTGTGCTGCATTTCTTAGTAATGATTGAAAGAGCCGATTTGCAAACTATGGAAACATAGGAAAGTCATAGAACACCACCAAGGAGAAGAAATAGAAATAATGTTTTTTTTTATATATTTGTAATCATTATTATAGACAACCGAATGCGGCTATGACTTAGGCCATTTGTAGAAAACACAAAAAAGATCATTTTTCAAAAGTACATCATTTATCATTTTTGAAAAATGATAAGATATATTCAAGAAACGTTGATTATATCGATCTGTTATGTACTTGAGTATTTCCATAATCTTTGAGTCTAATCTTTTAAAGTCATCAGAAATTATAACTTTCATCCGTTTTAAAATAACTCCCGTAATACTTAGAAATTGCTCGAAATCGAGCAACAGGGACACTAGTTTAAGTTTAAACCCTTCTAAATACATAAACAAAAACTACCATATTAATAATAAATGAAGATCTACAACAAAAAGAAAATGATGTTACAGAGGTGTGCTTGCCTGACAATTTCAGCCAAACCAAATTCGAGGTAATAACGTGATCATTGCCAGAGGTCGTGGGGATATCATCTTCGTCTTCTGGGTTTACTGCAATATCCAAAATATCTTCCTCAATTACGGAAACATCATCACTGTCTTTCGTGGTTGCGGAAAAATCATGGACGGTAATTTTCCTATTGTGCGGGCGTCATGTCCACGTCACGGGTATCGGTATCAAAATCGACTTTTGACGATCGATTCTCTTTACCGATACCAATGGCCAAGTATTGGTGGTATGGAGAATCGACACATCCCTACTTCTAACAATTATTTTGCTATTGAGTGAAATGTTAACAATTTTACCAGGTGGCAGGTAGATGTGAGACCGTTTAGCCACATCTACCGAGGACACAAACAGCTGTTGATGTACAATTACCTCAGTATTGGAGTGGATGCTCAAGTTACGCTAGACTTCCACACAACCAGGGAGTCGCCTTTCTATCTCTTCAGCAGTCGAGTGTTTAACAAGGTAATGTGTGAAAGAAGCGATCACGTTGGCTATTTATATTAATATTTTTGTTTTAGTTTTTTTAATCAAGATCTGGATCAAAATGTAGGGAAAGGAATATTGAGATAAATAGATTATAACTAGAGTCACTGCTCTCTGGTTAAACATTAGAGAAAAACATGCCACTGTTTTTGCTGGTTTGTTTTCGGCATTCGTGTTGTTGTTGTTAGGTTGGCTGAAGTGTTCACAGTGATTTTTAAATGTGTTAATGTATGAGTCATTGACGATCCAATGACTTATGTGAATGAAAGGGTAATAGCAAGAATTAGCTTTGAATGTTTTGATACTAGATTCTCATATTCTGAGCGTTGGCTCCACTGTAAAATTATAGAGGTTAATATAAATAGTATGAATGAAAAGTGAGTTTCATGTAATAATTTAGTAATGTGTTCAGCTGCTGTACTTGCTATTTGGAACACAACAGTGTGTGGAGCGGAGATGTCAGGACTTGGAGAACAAGCTGGAGTTGTACCTGGACGGGGTGAAACAGGAGCTTCCTGAGATAGAGTCTGTAGTGGTGCTGAACATTCCCTCCTGGGGCGCTGGGGTGGATCTGTGGTCACTACTGAAACAAGGTGGGTGAGAACGCTGGGCTTGCAGTTGGCAAGCTCGGGTCAGGTCATTATATTAGAGGTGTGCAAGCGTCTTGGAACTTTAATTCTATACAAGATTTCTATGAAGATTTCGAGAGATGAAAATGATAAAGCCACATGGGATGATAACGATTTCGCTGTGATCACCGGAGACATTGATGATTTCATCGCAATCACAGAAGATCGTAGGCTACAATATTATCCAAGCCGATTTAAACAAATCAATACTTTCTAAAGTAATGTGATTTTGGCCTGAGATCCAAAGGTGAAAAAGTTTACCTAACCAGACCTTAAACAAAAAATCTAGTAAAATGTGAATAAATTGCTTTAAAAATACTAACATACTAACATACTAAATCAATTTATCTTTGAACGGAAAAAAAAACTTGAACGTACAACTTTGAAAATTCTGGTCAAAATTAGTTCCTGTATATGATGGAAATATAATGGGCAAATATGATGGTTGCAGACATGCCTGATCTTCCTGAGCAAAGTATCAGTGATGGCAAGTTGGAGGTTGTCGCTGTTTATTCTTCCTTTCACATCGCACAACTTCAAGTTGGTCTTTCGTCCCCGCATTATATTGGCCAAGCATCATCAGTGAAGGTAAAGTCTATATTTTTAAAATTAAGCTTTGAAACATTTGTTGCCTTGTGAAACACTTTTAATTGCTTTGTGTTTTTCAGTTTGCGTTGGCCCACTTGCTGTTTTATTCAGCATTTTTGTCACTTTTGCTGTGCACCATTACCAAAAAACACTAGATTTCAGATTGCTGTAAAAACTGCTGTTGTTGTGAGAGTATCAAAATAAAAACGTTAAAATATATTTTAGCAAAATATATCATAGAAAAGGACTTTATTATAAAAAAGAAATCAGGTCAGTCCTACTCATAAATTCTTATAAGTTACTCCTATATTCTCTATGCCTCAGTCGATATCCTGTGAATTTTCCAAATGCTTTCAAGCCTAATTCAGTAGTGTAAAAAATGCTGGATTATTGTATGTTGGAATAGTGAGATTTTAATGCACTTCCATTCCTAAAATAATCACCACACTATTTAGGAAGAACTAAAATTTGTCTGTCCATTTTGCAGATTAAATTAAAAAACAAAATGGCAATGCAAGTTGATGGTGAACCCTGGAACCAACAACCAGCGGAGATCAACGTAAACTATGTGAACCAAGCTTCCGTCCTTCAATTGGAGGGTGAAGAAGAAGAACTATCGTAGAAAACTTATTGGTTCCTATCCTACCCTGGTAAAACTTATGATTTGTAAGTTTCTCCAACCTTTACTAGATTCCTCTAATACCTCATGAAGTACTTCCTAAATTTCTATATCAACTCCTAGTTCTTATATACATAACCAGTATTTCCAAATCAAGTGGAACCGTTTAAAGTTGTGGATAGTTTTTGATAAGTCAAAAGATGATAGGTTTATACAACTCAACTCTGCACTCTATGGAAATGATCTGTGTTGAATTATGCAGTTTTGCTCATATTAACCCATTGACAACAAAATTTGTTTTATTTCTCTATTAATATTTTTTTAGGTTATGTCCTTTTATGTATATTATCATATAATGTACATCAACTTGATAATTACATTTCTAACCATTTTTAACCAAAATAAAATCCAAAAAAGAAAAATCTGTGTCCTCCTCTTCTATATTAGTTGTCCAGTTCTATATGAGTAGGAAAAAAATCTAAACAGGTGTTGCATGCAATCCTTATTAAAACTCACTAATGCCGTCAAATCCACTCGCGGCGGACACCGTTTATTTGAGGTGGGACCTCCACTCCAGCCAAGCCACACATTACCAAGCTAAATATGGAGTGCACATGTTCAGGATTCAATAGAAAGACCTTAACGCTACACTCATCAGTGCAACACCTTAGCCAACTGAGGTACCATGCCACCTTCAGCCAAACGGGTCAATTGCTGATATAAGCTCACGACGACACTAGCTCTCCTAGGTTAGATTTAACGTACTAGAGGGCCAGTGGGTTAACAGTACCACTATCTTGTGGCGAAATGCGGTGACGGGCTAGACTCACGAATTGTTGTCAATGGGTTAAGGTAATCGTTTATCTTGAATGTTTGTTATTTTTCACTATTCTTAGATAAAGAGAAATATTTTTAAGTCTTTACGGCAAAAAAGATTTTTATTTAATTTATGTTAAAATAAGTAATGTTAAAATTCCGTTTTTTCTGGGGCATTAGGCGTTAGTCAATGTCTAAAGATTATTTGGTTTCTTTCCAAATTTAAATTTGTTTCTTTAAGTATTTTAATGTATTTTTAAATATTACCTTCTTTAAATACTTAAATAAAATAAAATTACAAGATTTTTGCAACAAACTATGTTCATACTGAGCAGACGTAACATTGGTAAAACAATATATCATACAAGAACTCTTTGATTCTTACATATATAAACCAAACCAAACTTTGAGTTTCTGAAGAAACAGTGTAACGGCATGTTTTCTGTTAAACCATTTTTTTTTTGTTTTTAGCAAATTCCCCATATAGGGAATAAGCTATTAATTGTTGTTTCTTATATATGTTTGGTGAGTCGGTGGCTCAGTCGGTAGCGTCACGGACTTCGGGCCCAAGGCAGCGATGTTGTGGGTTCGGATCCTGGCCAATGCTGAAAACATTTTATCAATACAGTTCACCTTTGTACTGTACCGGCTCACCCCTTGCTTTGCTGGATACGTTCCAAGGGCAAATGCAAGGTCGCCAACATCTTAAAAAAAAATATGTATAGAAGCTCGTACAAGAAATAGCTTGTAATTCCAAGTTCAGTGTTCCTAGTTTTTATTTAGTAATTAAAAATATCCATTAGTTTCCATCCTTTAGACAAGCTGTAGTACCAAAGAACTGGCTTGGGTGGTAAGGAAATGTCCGTTGTTTCCAAATAAAAAAAATTGTATACATGAAATGCGATGAGTTTTTACTTATAAAAGCATAATTTAATCTACTTTGCATTTTGCTTGGGATTTTTTATCCTAAAGATCAGCCAGAATGAACCAATGAACTATAAACCTTAAATCTTCAAAAAGCATTCCCTCTACTTATAGACCTCAAAAATGTCATCAAAATTTCTGTCCAGTGCATAAGAGTTTTAAAAATTTACAAACATTGTCACTAACATTTATATTTGTTTGCACAAGCAATGCATTTTACTTTGGATTTAGATATGTTCAAAACAAATTTATATGTCTTCATAATATCAGTTGTTTGTTTTACTGCTTTGTGAAGCATATATTATGTCCTGTCACTGATAAGGTTATCTCTTGAATCTTTCTCAAGCCTTTTGAAAGATTGAAATTAGTTAAGCTAGAACGTACTCAATTTTATATTTTAAAAATCAGAGTTAGTTACACAGTCGTTTTTAAAACATGTATTTTAAAATAAGTATTAACGAGGTGTTAGCCCGTCCTACGTACGGGAGTAGTCAGTTAAAACGGTGTAGGCCTATAATTCAGAACAGCTAGTTTACACGTATAAAGACAAATTTTATTGCAGCCTACAGTAGAAAGAGTAATTATCAATTGAGAAGTGTATAGGCCTAGTCAATGATATCACCTTCCATCGCATACCTACCTCTTCCTTAATCAATATCACTACAATACAATTACTCATATACTATACACAATTTCCAGTAGGTCTGAATTGAAACTCCCTAAAATAAAACGAAAATATCCAATAAAATTAACAGTACACATAATTATAACGTTGGTGTCCTGACATCATTAAACGAATAGTCCACACACATCCTTTATGTCAATTTCACAGCATTAATTGCTAAATAAATAAGTGTAAACAAAGAAAAGTAAACACAACAACATATTATTTTGTTTTGTAAACAGCTGAGTCAAAAATAATATTCATTTGAACAAAAGAACTGGTCACATATTGAAGGAATAAAGTAAAAACGCTAGTAAAGCTAGTGACGTAATTAATTGTCTATGTTTATTATCCATTCCGTAATCAGTTCCAATATCCATGATAATTAAACCACCCTCATTGAATCAATGTACATCGTAATTCCCCATATTCATTTATTTAAACTATAAAATATTCAGCGCCTCCAAACGTAACCACAACTAAACACACGCCAAACAACTTTTTTAGATTTCATAAAAGGATGGTTAGTCTAATTGCAGTATCCTAGGTCAATGATGACGTTGTGTTCAATCTATGTCATTCATCTGTATATGTATATCTTTGGATAACACCCGTCTGAGGTTGTGGTGGTAGTTTAAAATCGTATTCCTGAGGATTCTTGATCTCCATCTTTATGATATCAATATTTCCGGGCCTAATCCAAACAAAGTTCAAGCATTCAAAAACATCGATTGTAAACAAAAAGCTGCCAAGATGAATTAAAACATGTAAAAATTGTGATTTTCCTACCCTTTCCAAAAAGGTTGAGCAGTAAAATAATTTGCATATCTTTTTTTATTTAACTCGTGTACAGAGCCTCGACTTGTACACATCGATGGTGTTACTTATCTCGGTGGTCTACTAATCTTACTTATTTCCTATAATCAATGACAAAATCAGAGTAAATAACCTCATAGTTCTATAGGGCATTTTTATAACTAACCAGCTGTTAGTTAAAACAAATTATATTGCTCTAAAACAAATCGAAGATTACAAAAATTGCTTTAAAAAAATAATTTGAACATCCTAGTATTTTACTATGTATATTAAATTAATCTCTGTCATCCTCTTACAGAAGAATTGAACGTATCAATGATTAGCATTACACATAGTATAAATAAGTCAACCCTAAGTATGTCTTTACATTTTTATCCAAATGCTGAATTTGTGACACAAAAGCTGAATTTTTACAGCTGTTATGTTAAGCAAATTATTTTATGCCAAAAGCTAGTTTAGAATCTTAGCGTCGGCTGCTAGACTTTTTAAAAATTAAAACTTAATTTCTAAAAAACTGGGACCCTAAACTAAAATTATGGTTTCGACATTCCCTAGTTCTCAAAATTATCTTTCTTTCAACACAAAAATCATGAAAATCCATCGAGTGGTTGATTCAGAATCGTGAAATAAAAAAACACACTTTCGTTTTAATATTATAGATTTGTGTACCAGGTATACGGAAATAATTGGTTTCCTTTTAACCAAAGAAAATCTAATAATCAGCTGACCTTGCCCTGTCCCAAACATTACTATTCCGAAACCAAACTTTTATTGTGCCATACAATCAATGTATATTACATATTTTCTTAACATCCACTCTAATGGTTTTACTTCATCATGAAAAACAGCCAAAAAAACTGTTTTTCTTCACACCTGCTATGTGATTTATTTAAAGGCAGGTTTCCTGAGACATCAAACAAAATCCTTTTCCGTATCTTTTCTGATGTAATGGTTGCTTTTAAATGACAAACACCAGTGTGATTTTGTTATTTGTTTTGACAATTCCTATGTTCAAACACTGCCTTTAAATAAATTGTAAAACTGTATTAGGTTTGGTAACCAACAACTTCTTGACTACGGAATGTTAAGTAATTACAAAGTGTTATTTGCATTATGATTAACAGTATTGTGACTATGTGCATGTGACAAAAGATACATCTCATGGCTCAACAGTTTTTCCACACTCCTTTTATGCAAATAAAATTGTCTTTTGCTAAAGTTAAACAGATTACCATACAGTATCCCAAAGATTTTCTTTAACGTTTAAAACAAAGGAAATATCCAACTGCTGAATACTCCGTTAACACTGCATTCAGGTAATTTTATGTTCAAGTACTTTATAACTTTTACCCCTATGTGTGTGGTTCATTATACATTCACAGAAAAACTAAAACTCTAATTTCATGGTATATTAGTCGACCTGTGTGGTGAATCACACATTGTTATAATATTAAAAATGCTTATGGCAACATTGAATTGTTGTTTATATAATTGTTGGTACATAATTATTTTATGTTGTAGGTGTGTTTTTAGGTATCAGGTTTTTTGCCTCCTTATTTTTTGTTATATATATATACATACTCCAAATGTACTTATTTAATCTTAAAGACACCAACTTAACTTAGTGGTGCTGTGAACAACCAAAAAAATATAGATTTAAGAGTAATTCTATTTATAGATTAGAATCATTATTTCTAGTAGTAACACTGATATTGCTTTGTTTGCAGTTAAAAAAAGTAAATGCAATTAATTATATGTTGCAGGACGATTTTATAATGTTTATTTTAATTTAGTAGCTTCTTAGAGAGAATTAGCAAAACATAGACTTAAAAAATGTCAGTAGCATTTAATAAATGCCAGTTATGTGTCAAGAATTTTAAACAATTAATTTCTAACTTTAAAAAAACACACTAAACCTTAGTCAATAGGAATCCATTTCATTAAAATTAATATTATTCGGCTAAGAAGTATGTACAATTTTAAATAAATAACTACTTGATACACAATAAATGACATACTAGAGGTCGTCCAGTGGTCGAAAACTCTATCAAAAATATGTAATGTACAGACTTCAATATTTTCACCCCATGCTGTTAATAAAACATGTGATTGGAATTTCTCCTGTTTGTTTTGATTTTCTGTTTATATTTCGTTGTTATTTCGTCACCAGCTAACCCATAAGGTCCATGTGATTTTTATTTATTTTAAATTCGTTTTTGTGCTTATTTTCTAGCCTATTTTAATTTATGGAGGGGTTCTGCACATCTACAGGAAAATATCTTTCCAACAGTATGCGTAGATTTTCCCTAACATACTGCAGTAGGCTCTAAAAGTATTTTTAAATGTTTGATTAAATTGTTTCAAAATTAGCATCTCTATTCGTGTTACTATTAGAAGTAATCATTCATTACATCTTGTGACATATTAATATATAGTGATCTCATTATTTAGATTTGATTTTGACGTTTTTGTGACTTAAAATTATTTTCTGAGTATCATATTATTTAAGTAAGATTGTTTTTATATGCTTTTTTATTATTGTTTTTATAACTTTAACAGTTGTTATTGTTTTGTTTTGTTTTTGTCAGCAGTGTTAGGGTACAAACACACAGAACACGGCACGGCACGACGCGTCGTCTCTGTGTGTTCCTTCGCATTACAAAGTATGTATTTGTTTTCAACACGTCATGACGCGCCGTGCTGCGCCGTGTCGTGTCCTGTGTGTATGTACCCTTAGATGCATTGCTTTATATCATAGAAGTGTAAGAAATGGTGAAGTTGTCTCTTTTAAATAATTACTGTGGTTGAGGAACGAATAATAGTTTTACAAATTTGTTACACTTAGTATTATGAACAAGTTTGATTGTTGTATAGTGTAATTTTATTTTAGAAACTTCCATTCCATGCAAAATATTTTAAAAGTTTCAAAAGCTTATTGATTGGTGTTAACTATTTAAGGAATATTTTCCTAGTTGTTTTTAGCATTCTGGTTTGGCTATTTAAAATTAAAATAAATGATTCTATCGTGAGAAATGTTCTTGATTTCATCCCCTCTAACATTTTCCATCCTGTATCGTAGTGATATTCCATTTGCAATTTTTTTTTAATCAGTTTGTAATCCATGTATTTAAAAATTATGTTATCCTTCATTAAGTTTTCCTTTAAAAATCATGTTGCACTTTGTTTAATATTATTTAAAAATGTTCTATCAACATATAAATAACGTTTAACCTCAGTTAAATATAGTTTTAAATTTATATATTATTTGATAACAACTTTGAGAATATTTTATTAATAATCCTGTTTGTTTTTAATTCTGTTTAAAACTTAATCTTTTTTACTGAGAAAACTTTTATATTTATATTTTCAGTATGTAAAGAAAATTGTCTCATTAACTATTTTCTAGGCCTATTTTTTTGTACTAAATTGAATTATTGTGTTTTTTATCACCATTCGATTCATCTAGAAATATGTTGCAAATTACAAGTTACAATGTCCATACTAAATTACTAAATTATCTAATGTAGTTTTTTATCAATCAATGACTTGATAATAAGTTGATATCAACGCAAATTTTCAGGTAATCTTCAAGTTAATGCCAGTTATTTTTGTGACAGTTAAAAACCAGGGGTACCATGCACAGTTTTAAACTGCCAGCTGTTGTTGGCCAGGATGGTTTGGCTGAGTCATGAGTTAGGTTTCTTCACTGTTTGTCCTTGAACGTGATACGTGTGGTTGGTAGGAATGCCAACCAACTATGTGTGGAAAACCAGTTTATCAATCAACATTTAGTTGTGGGAGTTTGGCAGAACTGTTTATGTAAAGGAAGTAGTCTCCGGGATTGTTTTGTCTTGCATTGATGTGATTGTCAACACTTCTCCATTCCTTTTTATAGTGAGTGCAAATATAATTAAACTTAGAATTAACTTAATTGATGGTTTAGATTTTCCACAATATATGTGGAATTGTGTGTGAAAATGTTTAATATAAAACAGCAATGTTTGAGCTGCAGTGTATGTTTTTCTTTCAACACACTAACTACCTATAACGTTAAAATTTATCTTGTTATTTGTTGTTATTTTAAATGAAAACTTAAAATCTGTATAGCAAACTGAATTGTTTTGCAAAATGTATTTGAGCTGTTATGTGAGCAGCTTAAAATAGTTTTTGTGTCAAAGAATATTTTTTGGTGAGGAAAGAGAGTTATTCTACAATGTTGATTAAAATGTTTGCGTTTTATGTTATTTTACAATATTAAATCATTGAAAAAACACTTGTACAATTAATTTATCTGGGTCCAACTATGTTTGTAACTTTATCGCTGTCAATTATCATTTGGGCTCAACATTTGAATTATCACCATGCTATAATTGGGTGGGATTTGATAAAAACCATCTGTGTAAAAGTGTGTTGAAGACATATATTCCAAACTTAATTTAATCATGGTTTTTAGCAAATTTCCATATGGGTAATAAGCTACTACCATAGGTCTCATGGTAAGACCTAGACCCGGGACCAATTTACTCTTTTGTTTTGAGGTCCCCAGAGGCCGAAAACACCATTCGTTCTAATTCATATAATATATTAATGAACAGATATGTCCGTTAGCACGATAACTTGAGCAAACATGAGCGGATTTTAATTAAATTTTGTATAAACCTACACTTATTCGAATGAGTTTGCGAACCAGCTTGATTGGGCCGTGGGAACAAGGGTTTATGGGGGTTTTATTTTTATATGGAGTAAAATTAGTTTTTCTGAAAAAGCAGGCAAATGGAAATTTGCTTAGTCTGCAGGTTTGTTGCGGCGGGGGTATAACTCGAATGCCTTTTCAATTCAATTCAATTCAATTCATTTATTTCCACGGTAACACCATTTTTACAAGAGGTACAGTAAGTAGTAGCATAGACTGTATGTTTTATCTAAGGTAGTAGCTATCAAACTCAAATTTAACAACAAATAAAGGCTATTCTGAATAAATTACAATAACAAGAACAAGAAAAACACAACAATGAAGATGGAAACCATGATAAACTTTTTAAAACAATAACAAAACAAGACTTAACAAAACAATAAATACACGGTTTGGAATCCTCTAAGCAAGACTTACATGACAAAAACAGATATAAATACTAAAGTGACAAAAATAAATAGCTGATCGAAGGTTGAACACAGTGCCGTTAACATGATGTAAGCATTAACTACAAATTATTTACAGAGAAGAGGCGACACAGATTGGAGCGGAAAGCAGCCACGCTGGAACGGTGAAAATCCAACACTGCGCCGACCTCGTTGCCGACCCGCAAAAGGCGAGGGATAGTGCTTCGCTGTAAATATACAGTATTGTAGTGCCTCCGCTCAAACGTATCCTTGGATCTTGTGCGGACAGGAACGTGGAATGGTATTCCTCCCAAAAGCTCAGGGCAGTCGATATTTCCACTTACAATCTTCATGAGAAACAGAGCGTCCGAAATTTTCCTCCGATCTTCCAAGCAGCATAGATTAAACTGAGATCTGATGAGATTCACGGGAGCATCAAGGTAGCGATATCCCATTCTGCAGCCAAGGACCCTAATGAAACGAACTTGAACTCTCTCCAGCGAAGATATGAGTCCAGTCTGATATGGAGCCCAGACAGGAGAGTTGTATTCGAGGGTGGGACGAACCAGTGCACGAAAAAGCAACACCAAGGCATTAATGGAGAGTCCTCGAGTGAAGCGGAAGAGAAAGCCCAGAGTGGAACTTGATTTGTGGCAAATTTGTTGGATATGCTCTCCTGGATGAAGTGTTGGAGTAGTTATTATGCCAAGATCTTTATACCTCCAAACTCTACGCAGAGGGTCGTCCCCAAGAAAATAGCCATGCTCATGAGTGTTCTGACTGCGAGAAAAGGACATAACGACACATTTAGAGGTGTTCAGACTCATTGAATTGTCAATGCACCAATTCATCACTGCATTTATTGATGACTGAAGACGAGTGAAGTCTTGAGCACTGGAGATCTCTAAGAAAAGTTTTGCATCATCCGCGAACAGAAGGAACTCAGAATCCAAGGTGTCGCCAATGTCATTTATAAATAAGTTGAATAGAAAGGGTCCGAGGTGAGATCCTTGTGGCACTCCAGATGGTACGTGGATGGGGTAAGAGTAAGCAGTCCCACATCTAACTTTTAAAGAGCGTCCCTGAAGGTAGGATCTGATAAACTGAAGCAGAGGTCCAACAAAGCCTAGGCCTTCAAGTTTGGCGAGGAGAAGCTTGTGACTAACCCTGTCGAACGCCTTAGCGAAGTCCAGATAGATGCAGTCGACTTGGTTGCCTCTTGAGAAGGCCGAAGTAATATAGTTTTGGAAAACGACCAAATTGCTTGTAGTAGATCTCCCAGTGCGGAAGCCATGTTGACGAGGCGAGATCAGTGTTTTAAATTCAAAATCGAGGCCATCAAGTACTAAGCTCTCAAATACCTTAGCTACCGCATTTAAGATGACGACCGGTCGGTAATTTTCTGGTTTTGCACGGTTGCCAGATTTGAATAAAGGCACAATAAAGCCAGATTTTAAGCACTGAGGAAATATTCCATTAGAGAAGAAAATGTTGAAGAAGATGGCGAGATGAGGAGAAATAACAGTGCTGCAAGACCTCAGTATTGATGGGGGGATGCCGTCCGGACCAGCCCCTTTGTTAGGATCCAGCTTTGAGAGTTTTTCTTCAATTGCTTCGGCAGAGATGCGCCATGATGATATTGTCTTGAAATTTACAAAGTCGAGGTTTGGAGGATCTTCATCTGACTCAGTAAAAGTTGACGAAAAGTAGTCAGCAAAGGCGTGTGAGATTTTGACTGGCTTCACAACAACAGAATTATTTACAAGGATTGAATTAGGACTAGACGACGTATTCCTCTGTTCATTGACGAAATTCCAGAAACATTTAGGGTTGTTTCTAATGGAAGTATCCATTCGATCAAGATGCCTTTGACGACACTGGGCGACCATAATGGAACATTGGGCACGAAGTAGATTGAAATTCCTTAAATGGGATTGGCTGGATGTTATCTTGTACATTTTATGGGCTTTTTTCTTCAAGATAATTAGGCGCTTCAAGTCCACTGAGAACCATCGAGGAAACGGTGATCTACCAAGCTTCATCAAGGGACTGCATGTAGATACGGCATTCGTAAGATCAGAACAAAAAGCTTGAAAATCCACTTCAGCAGACTCTATGTTGGTCGTAGGATATGAGAGCTTAGAAATCCAATCGTATACCATCAAATGGTCACAGCGTTTAGTGTCAGGGATGAACTGGATACCAGTAGATGAGGTCTGGTCTTGGATGGATATAGCCATTGATAGTGCCGGATGATCTTCCTCCTGGGGGATTAGAATGTCAAGAGCCTGCTCAACGGTCCAGTATGATACAGATGAAAATATCAAATCAAGAGTAACACCTCGTTTGTTAGATGTGGTATTCAGTTGGTTGAGATTGAAAGTTGAAGCAAGGTCAATCAACACTTGAGACGATTTATTCACACGTGCCCCTTCAAACGAAGTCCAGTCAGTTGTAGGTTGGTTGAAGTCACCAGTGATGATTATTCCTTCAAAGAAGTGGAATATTATTCCTTGAAGTTGAAATTACCTGGTATGTATTCCTATACCAGGCATATTCCTATATATTCTACATATACATGTTCATTTAAAACAAAACAATTATATGAAATTGAATTTTAAGTTCTCTCTTTTAAGTTTGTCTGCAACAGATAGACATTTTGAAATAATTAACTGTTAATGTCAATTAATTTTTTTCCAGATTTAAAAACCAGAATGATTGCAGAATTGGTGATTTTCATTATTTTTCTAGTACTTTTACGACTCTTTGTTTTTAAATCAAGAACAGAGAGAATGCTAGAGAAATTACCTGGACCTAAAGGTTATCCAATTATAGGAAACTTGTTGGATTTTGACTATCCTCGAACTGGTAAGAAAATAAAATTCTTTGGTTAAGTATTTAATTGTTATATAATAGTTTTATTTGGTCTATTTTATAATAACTTCAATAATAATAGTTATTGTAAAATTTGTAACTTTATTCAATACCAAAATCTTGTGCATTTATTTAACTGCCCAGACTTTAAAAACAATCAGGCAATATTAGAAAATTTTATTTTATGCTGTTAGTTCCCTTCCAGTAATGCCTACTGGTTTTGGTTGATTTAAACATTTACTATTCATAGGTTTTTTATTTGTGTACTGGGTAAACAGTAACAGTAAATTCATCTAACACTTTGCCCATATTATATCTCCAAAAAAGAAATATAATAAACATTGAAAAATATATACCTATACAGGTTTTAAAAAATCACAAAAAGAAACTACACAGCTAAAAACCTAATTACAATTTACAAAAAATTTATTTTGTTCATGTAACTGACAGTACACTATTATATTTAGCGTATTACAGTATTACCTTCTTGTAAAGGTAAGTTAGGCAACCAGTAGAACTTAAATATGAGCTATTTGTCATTTCAGACGTATAATCATGATAATTAGAGAGAGATGGAAGCTCAACAATTGTCATTGACCTTGATGGAACCATACACTTAACTCTCAACTGCAATTAATTGTAATTTCTCTTCCCCTACTAAAAACGGGGTTTTTCAGCCTGTATCATCGATGATTTTAACTCTAAACACACCTCTTGCCATGTCAAGTACAAGCTCAGTCGGTAGCGTCACGAACTTCGGGCCCAAGGCAGTGATGTCGTGGATTCGGATCCTGGTCACTGCAGTAAACATGTTATCAGTACAGTTCACCTTTGTACTGTACCAGCTCACCCCTTCAAGCTGGATACGCTCCATTCACGGGCAGATAGTCTGTGGACGGGTAAATGCAAGGTTAAAAGAGGCCGCCAACCTCTTAAAAAAAAAATAAATAAAAATTATGCATCCCAAACAAACACTTATAAATTTATAATTTTTTTACAGAGGTGACAGAAACAATGAAGCAGCTGTCATTCAAGTTTGGTTCTGTGTTTTGCTTCAAACTCGGCTTTGACCCAATCATTGGGTTGAGAAACCCTTCAGATATTGAGGTAGGCAACTAAAAAGTCTTTGTCTATCTATAGCAGTGTTTCCCAACCTTTTTCCGTTCAGGGCACACTAACTAGAACAACTTTGGAGTCACGGGGGCACACTTGTCTACAAAATATCATTGGTTAAAATTACATTTAGTAAGTGCATAAAAAATCTTTTTTTTTCGATTACATCTTACTCCGTATAACCTATTTTTTACTAGTAAATATATATATGTATATAATATAAAGGTGGGTTTACCAAGGTAAAAAATATAAAACTCACATTTGTTATCCAACATATGTACATTACAGTATTTAGTGTTTATTAAGTGGAAAGTTTTAAATAATAATAAAACATTGAGCTTGATTAAAATGTTGTATGAATTTACCAATAATGAGTGAGAAATATTAAATAAACCCCAGTTTCAGTTCTGGTGGGAAACTTGTGCTTGACGTATGTTTATTAAAAGTTTCTTTCTTGATCAAAAATTGTTTAACTAGGCCTACTTAAAATTTCGCGGCACACCTACAGAGAGGCCTACTGGCACAACACTGTACACTGTGGTGGTTGGGAAACACTGGTCTATAGGAAAACAATAGTGACATGTTTTTTTGAGGGACCAAGGTCATTCTTCCTCCCCCTTCCCCCTTCTACTAAACTGGCTTTTACCTTATTTTTTAGCTAATTTCAATATGGTGTAGCTATTACCGAAGTTGGCACGGTAAGACCTGGGCCTGGGACCGATTTACTTTTTTCATTTTGATGTCCCCGGAGGCTAAAAACACTATTTGCTCAAATTTTTATATATGTGTGTGTGTGTCCGTGAACACAATCACTCAAGTAATTTTTGTCAAATTTTGATGAAATTTAGCATGAAGGTGTTGGACAGGATAGACTTAAATGTTTTTGCGAACCAGCAAGATCGAGTCATGCGAACGTTAAAGGGTTTTGAAATATCCAAAAAAATGGATTTTCTAAATTTTTTCGCTTAAAAATTGTGATGCCCTGTTTTTAATACAAACACCGTGTAGAGCTTAAAAAACAAATAATTTTGTATATTAAAGCTTTGTTGTAAAATTGAACAATAGGCGAATGTCTTATGAATAGCTTCGCCTATTGGGTCTGATTATGATTGGAGTGTCCAATCGAAATCGATCACCACTTACCATCTTTTATGTATATATTTACCGTCTTGTGAGTAACAGTGTAAGCGTAAATATATGTTTTAAGTGTTACAAGACTTTTCTTTTATTTACTTTCTGTAAAAAGAAAATGTTTTGTAATTCACTTGCTTATGGATATAAGCTGATCAAACTTGGCAGATTTACTTATAACACATCAAAATTAAGCTCCTACCATTTGGACAAAAAACCACCTGTTTACCTTTCCCTTAGCAGCATACCTAGGTACTCATTAAATCCAATGTATTTTATATGGGGAAATAATATGTCTTGTATGAGTCCAATCAGACTGTTTGAAATTCTTTTAGTCTGCAGGTTTACTGTAGCGGGGGATTTGATCTTTATTGAATTTGTCCTTCCTCTTCTCTTCAGACGTCCAAGAGATTTCCTTCCATCATTAACATTCCACATTTTTTTTATAGTTTCTTTTAATCCCCTCTTCTTCTCTCACATGTCCCCAGCCCGACTTAAGCAACATGTCTGTTGATTCATGATTCCCAACGTACCTGCTTCCTTTAAAAATCAATAGGAAATACAAATATTCTCCTAAAGATTTTTGTTTTTGACAGTTAAGTTATATAAATTTTGTGATGTTACTTGTACTGGTTGTTGTGTTGCAGCTAGTGCTGGGCAGCACTTCTATAATTGACAAAGGTCCGCTATACTGGCCGCTGTACCCTTGGCTGAACCAGGGCCTATTGACGAGTGGAGGTATTTCAACTTTCAACCCTTCAATTACATTCACTGAACTATACTCATGCTTGTATGATGAGTATAGTAATTTTAAACATTGGCTCATTCTATTTTCTTTTTCAATAAAAATTGGCTGCAGCTGGTCCATACAGATGAGTCTACTTCAGTATCCAAAAGTCGATAAAACCAAAGATTTTGGTCTCATCTTTCATTCGGCTTAGCATTAAATGCGTAACAAAAAAAATAAATATGTGAAGCATTCTGAAGCGACAAAAAGAGGCTATCAAAATTATGCTTAAGCTTAAACTAGATGATTCGACAAAAGAACATTTTAAGAAATTACAAATTTTTACAGTTTATGGGCAATTTATTTATGAAACAATTCCTATCGCAAAAAAATGAATCTGATCAAGTAATAAATTCATTGAATCACTATTCATTTTATCACTGATGTACATGATTTATGAGGAATAAAGATTTTTGAATATGAATATGAATTGAATATGAAAGTAAGGAGTAATAACTCAAATATATTTGTACTACTACTACTAGGTATACTATAACCACTACGATTATTTTTCTCAACAGTTGACTAGCTAAATGCAAAAATGAGCACTATACAGTTTCCTGAATACTAATAAAGAAATAAATAATTAACAAAAATATTTAATATTTAATACTCTCTTTAGGAGAAAAGTGGAGGAAGCACCGGAAGATTTTGACTCCAGCCTTCCATTTTAAGGTGCTTGAGAACTTTGTCCCACTTTTCGGCAAACATGCTCAAGTCTTGACAAAGAAGCTGCTCACTCTGACAGACATAGAGGTTGACATCATGCCTATCATTGCTCTGTGTGCTCTGGATGTGATATCCGGTGAGTCTCTACACCGGATAGCGGATAGTACTGGTAGAGTAGTCACATCAATCTCAGGCATTCGCAAGTTAGAAGGGATTACGAGGTCCAGTTTTGTTAGGTTTATTCCTGATGCATGCTTAAACCAATATTTAAATTAAACTACTGTAAAATAACAGTGTATTTATTTATTTAACCATCAATAATAAAACGGTAATTTACCACAAGGAGTCTAGATCTTAACAATTTGAGGCTTTCGTAGTATTCATATCCTACACACGAGTTTTACAGCCTTGTATGTAATTTTTTTTGCCGTCCCAGTTTCAAGAACTTAAATTATGTTAGATTTACCTTTTTTGTTGCCTGAGCTTTTGTAGGTTAGATGTTTATTTCACCCTATGCGTTTCTCCACCTTGTGGCCCCTTTCAGGGGTCACTTAATCACTTATCACTAACATTATAGTCTATACTGTATTTACACACTCGCGGTCAGTAGTATCGCGGTCTAGTCGATCGGACGATGCAACGATGGACACAGGGTAGAGTTACGGCAGGACTTCTCCCATTTTATTTCTTGGATTTGGGCTGTTGGAATTTGAATTTTGCCATTTGACAACGGTTGAGGGAAGTTTGGAAACCAGGAAAGTTCAAAATACCCTCAACCACCGTGAAACCTGTTTGGCAAGTTAAAAAATCAAAATTTAAAAGAGCTAGTTTTTCTTGCATTATCATGTATTTTTTTTACATAAATCACATTATTGTGTGACATTTAAGAAATGAAAAAAAGCCTTCAAGCCTTGTGTCATCAATTCTTGACATAAGAAATTATTAATGGATACCCTTTCCCTCTCATGAATAATTGCAAGTATCCATCATGAAGACGTTGCAAGGAAACTAATGCAAACTAAGATATGCATCACAACAGACAAAATTATATTAGGAGGTAGCTTAGCATGAGACAAAGAATAGCGCTTGGGATTCTATAAGCTTAATAAGAAAATGCCAATATGGTAATAATTAACTGTTTCAGAAACTGCCATGGGACTGGAGATTAATGCACAGTTGAAGGAATCAAAATATGTCAAAGCAGTCAATGAGTAAGTTAAGTACTGTAGTAACAAAATCACACTACCTCCATTTTGCAAAATGCTTGATTGATAATTTTCATCCAGTTTAGCTGAGTAGTAGTTGTTTACATAAAAAAGCCCAGTAAAATGACCAAGTTGGGTAAAGCCAGCAGGAGCTCAATTAATTTACCAACCACACTTGCAGTTCACTTGTTCAACAAGGCACATGACTTCCTTCAGTAGGCTCTCAACAAAGCTACAATAAAGCTATAGATATCAACAAAAATTCACATTGCACTTTCATAATAATATTGGAAACTTTCATTAATTTTGGAATACTCTTCACTGTGAAAGCATAACATCAAAATTATGTTAAAATGTTGTGTTAATACAGTAGTATATAGTATTCTTTTGTTGTATGGTTAATGTTTTACTTCTTTTTTTTTTTTTTTTTGTTGCTCGTAAGTCCACACGGCAAAAGGTATTGTATAGTATGTAACCAACTCACCCAAGAAGTTGTTACAATACTTGCATGAGAACTTCCAGCCCATCTCGCACCATGAACACATACTTCCTGTCAGGGGGGACTCTAGGACCATGTCAAGGGGGGCTAACGGGGGTGTTCAACACCAGGAAGGGGGGTCTGGGGAAAATTATAATTTTTTAGACCCTTTGGTGACTTTTAAAGCCATTTTACGTCTAGAACTAAGTCCAATAACCTCTTGTTACATTTCTAAAACAAAATGTATGTTTATTTATATTTCTAGAGTATATTGGGGGTGCATTAGCCCCTATAGCCCCCCCCCCTTGCCACTATTCCCTGTCCTTGTAGCATAATTTACAATTAGAACAATTCAAAAATATATAACTACCTTAACTTTGTTGTGCTGAAGTAGACTCCCATTTATGGGTCAGCTGTAGCAAATTTTTTTAATTTAAAATGGAGCATAGTCAAATGAGTCAGTCACAGAGTGCGCTACTGTCAAGACTCAAGTTTCTCCCTTTGTTTCTGTTACGGTGATAGTTGATACATGAAACAGTTTACATACATCGTGGTCTATTGAAGAGTATACTATAGCATAAAACATAACACCTATACTCAGAGACCTCACTATATGAACTAAAGTGAACACTTGAGGGAATTCTTTAAATTACTGGTGGTCCTTTCAGTTTGGCACATTTAACAACAAATCTGTAATTGTCATCAATTAATTAGTTAAATTCAACTATATTTGTTTTCATTCTAAAACTGGCTTCACCTTTAACATGGGAATGGATGTCTACTACAAAAGTACTACCTAATTATGTAATATAAAATGTCTGTAACAGGCTACAAGAAATCATGGCGCATCGCAATTTTGACTTTCTACAGAGGAGTTTCTTGTTCCCGCTGTTGCCCTCGGGGCGGCGGCACGACCAGCTGATAGCTTACCTCCACAGTGTGACGGAAGACGTGAGTATAGAGTGCTTAGCAATGAATCAAAATGCAAAAAACTCGTTTACCAGCAACAGAAACATTATCTAGTGTATAAAATCAAATTGATTATCCTTTTTTAGGGTTGTATGTGGTGATTTTAAAATTAATGTTAAAACAAAACCAATGGTAGGGAACTTATGTATTACGCATAATCTTGGACTTATGATTGTCAAAATGAAGCTCAGCCCAGAAGTTTCAACTCTTTAATAAAGCACACAAGGGATGTGCTTCAGTAATGGTATAACGATGAATCTTAACTTCTATAGGTCATCCCATCCTCTGTAGTTTTTTATTTTTTTATTTACCTTTAAAACATGGGAATGCCCAATTTGCATTACAGCCATTATCTAGAGCTTAAAATAACAAATAATTTTGCTTATTGAAGCATTGTTGTACAATTAAAGGTTACATTCCAAAAAACTATACATTTAAAATTTTCATGTTATTCTTTTGGAGAAAAAGAAAACTTTTGTAGTTTGCTTATTTATGTATGAATCTACCTTTGAATATTTCAAGCAAAATTTCAAAATTTCAAAAATGGAGGTGATTGGATCGTTTATTGGTTCTAGATGAACATTATCAAAATTTTTGTGAACTTTTGGAAACAATATGATTTGGGCAGATCATTTTTGAAAATTATCATCCATGAAACATTAAGAGGTTCATTGACTATGATGAGAAATCATTTATACGGCAAACATCTAAATTAATCAGTATTATTAGCTGTTATAATCCTTCAATATTTTGAGCATATATATATTTTTTTCTGTGTCATTGGCAACCTTATTTTTTAAAGCAGATGTGTTTATTTTGATAAATAAATTCTTTTATATATTGATCAAATTTTGCAAATTTATTCATTTCGTACTATACAATTAACATTTGTAAAAAAATACCTTTTACCTTCCCTGTAGCAGCACACCTAAGTACTCGTTAAATCTAATGTTATTTAAATGGGAAATAATGGCTTGTTTAAGGAAATATTTGAGGAAACCCCTAATCGGACTAGATTTGTAATAATCAGCAAGTATTTTGATTTCTTATTTTTTTACATTTGATGAGAACATTGATTTTACAAAGAAGAGCTGTGGACTAACCTTCATGGCCATGGATCTAGCATAAAATGCATTAATTTCTTTGGTTACTCATATCAATACTGGTAATCTCTTTCCCACTGAATTGATTGTTTCTATTTTGCATTGTAAGTGAGAATATCACTTGTAGAAAAATGTTAAATTTACAGGTAATGAAAGAACGCAAAGCCAAACTTCTTGATACTTTGCCCTCTCAGGAAGAAGAGTCTTTTGAGGACAAAGAGATGGGTAATGTAAATACTATCAAATAAATTTAAAATTGTCAATCACATTTTAGATGTCAACCCTGCTAAAATATAAATGATATAGAGGTGCGAAAAGTACACAATGTGTGTGATATTATTTGTGGATTTTTGCTATTAACCTACCAAGTAAGTAGTTATTAATACTAATTAATTGGACAAAAAATTGGCTAATTATTTAGTTAACTATTGTTTACAAAAAATATTATTGCTTGACACCTATTATTCAAGAGTGCATCGTGCATCATCATTTCATTTAAAAAAAATTTTCTCTATGGATCACTTTAATTTTATGTTACTCTGTAGTTTCACCACACATAAGTAGTTAAATTCCCACCATTACGGATTCAAATTACAATGGTACTGAAATTGGAAATCATTTAAATGTAAGACATATAAAGTAATACCTGATTGATATTATAGGTCTGTACTCAAAACCTGGGCTCGCCTAGACGATTTTACATAAATTGTAGAAAAAACCTCATTACCTTCATTATTAATTATTTTATTTTGAGTTAGCCCATCAAAGACCGAGCATTCTTCATCATGGACATTTTCATGACGATTTTTAAACTCTGTCAACTTCAATATTCCTGCGTGAAGCTTCATGAAACTTAAGAGCGCACATGAAGGTGTCACTTTCACTACTTGTTATGAAATACTACTATTCCTTTCAAAATGTTGATAGTCTATTTTGTTTCCCGGCAGGGATCAAGAAGAAGAAGGTGTTTCTAGACCTTTTGCTGCAATATAACTCAGAAGGAGCTGGAATGACTGATGATGAAATAAGGGACGAAGTGGATACTTTCATGTTTGAGGTGAACCAATGATTCTTTATGTCCCTCATATTAGTTTGAGGATTAGCTTAATTTAGTTTGAGGTCTGTTCATATTTGTCTTCAGATAATCAATTTTTTTTATAAGATAATTTACATATTTGATTCTGAGAGGGTGTTAATATCATTTTTACCTACGACCATTTTTTTTTTAAGTAGCCGATTTAGTTCAGTTGTTAGAATTTAAAAGATTCACATAACAGCATTGTTTACTTACCTAACAGCATTGTTGTTTTAATTAAGAACTCGGTAATGTACCAATGAGGGTCAAGGATTGAGAGAGAAGAAGTAAAAATGTAATGCTTCAAATTTCAACAAAACAGCTGTTTTGACCAATTTAATTGTTGAGTGGTGCATTAGTGTTTGGTACGGTATTTACTCAAGGGAGGTACAGAAGAGCCTTCGATGACGTCAGCTGTCAGATCTCCTCTTGAGGGAACACCATTACCGCAACGATACGAAATTCAGTCATCGGCATCGGTGGTGTGATGGATAGCGTGTCGGGCTGATAATCCGAAGGTACCGGGTTAGAATCCCGCTGGCAGCACTAACATTTTGTCCACAAATTTTTCATATCAGCAAGTTTGGTTGGTTTGGTTAGGTTATGCCAGTTTAATTTCATAATAAAAAATTTAAAAATTGAATTTTTAGGCATTTATAATTTTATTTTATAAACAAAACTATATTTATATTATTAAACCTTCATTCGGAATTTTCATTATCAGCACGTTTGGTTAGGTTATGACAGTTTCATTTAATAGGCCTAATTGAAAAATTTTAAGATTAATTTGATAATTTTTCTTATTTCATAATTAACTAGGCCTAATAGTGAAGTAAATTACGCGCTGTGCTCTCTACTACAACGCTGTTAACGGAGGAATTTTGAACTAAGCTATGATGTCATCGTTGCCTCATTTGTACCTCCCTTAAGTTAGACCCGTTTGGTACAATCACTGAGCTATAATTCTAACTGGAGGTAGCACTGAATGTCAAAGATGCGTGTCGCCAGCCACCATGTTTGCGTGAGGTGTGAGTTATAAAGAAGCCATGTTATTGGATGAAAAAACTCACTGCTATACAGTCCTAGTTATAGAAGCCATGTCATTGGTTAAAAAAACTCACTGCTATACCAACCTAACAAAATCAGCGACACGCTCTTGACAGACTTCTGCCATGGCAGTGCTACCTCCAGTTATAATTTTAGCTCAGTGGATACAATGTTTTTTTGCATCACTGTCATGGGCAATGAGAGGTTATAAACGAAAACATAACCTCCCGTAGAAATAATGAGTAGGGTAGTGATTGTAAGTAATTAAAAAACTGTCGTAGGTAAAGTTGTATACGCAAGTTGCGTGAATAGTCTTAACAACACTCGCTGTTAAAAGTATCTTTACGCGATCGTTGCATAAACTACTATTAATGTTCTTTAATGTTCTATCGGGTTCAACAGGCTTCCGGTTTGCATTTGATGTTTTGGGCCCGAGAGATAATTGTGCCCCTTTCCTCCTTTTTCTCTTCATTGCGCCCCCAAAAAACCTAAAACCTCTTGTGCCCCTGGGTTCGGCCCCACCAGGCCCATTTATAAAAGCGGCCCTGGTGTTCAATTCTATAAGATTACCGTAATAGATTTTGGGAAGTTTTTTTTAATTAACACGCTTAGTAAGCTTAGATGAGAAAGTTAGAGTCGAGAGATTTATTGTACGTTTTAGATCTTCTAAGCTAACTATGACATTATTCACTAATCTCTATTATTTCATGAGGAAATGTCATTGTTTTCAGGGTTATGACACCACTACATCTACAACTTCTTTTTGCCTCTACGCTTTATCTCAGAATCCAAATGTTCAGGTAAGTTTAATCTTGATAATAAAAATTGATAAATAAAATTAATCATATTATCAGATTCTCCACTTATTTGGTGTTGGTAAAAACAAATGGTGTTACAATAGTTGGATTTTGATTTAAACATATGTTTTATAAAGCCTCTAAGCTGTTGATATAATCTTTAACTTAGGTTACTTATGTAATTATTCCATAATCACAGGTACAGGTTCCATCATCAGTAAAGGTAGAACATGTTTAGATGTCAAGACATCAAAGACACCATACAGTTGCCAAGTCCCTCAGCTGATGTCATTGTCAAATAGTTTAACACAATACATACACTTACGGATGACAAAGATACACTAATTTGACAAAAGATCTTAACTTTGCAAAATAAGTTGACAGTTATTGTACTGTACTGAATGAATAAAGTTTCCAATCTAGTTTTACGGTACGTCCAGAGTGCACGCCGATTCAGTTTCTGATTTTTGGCGCGTGGTTAATCTGGGTCAGATATTTTGTTGGTGGTCACAGTGGAAGCAGGAAATACGCTGCCGGTACTGACTCTGTTAGCAATGCAACAACTCTAGGTGAATGAGCGTAGCGAACGAACTTCAACCAGGACGTGTGAGCACAGCGAACGAGCTCCAACCTAAAGGTGAGTGAGCGTAGCGAACGAACTTCAACCAGGACGTGATTGAGCCATGCAAACGAGCTCACATATGAAGTTAAACGGGGCAAAGCCCGCGGGTATAGCTAGTCTTACTATAAAAACAAAATGTATTTAATTATATATAGTTTCTTCATAGTATTGCCAAACGGCTAAATCATTATAAAAAATCAACTATTCACACACTTTTCACAAATAAAAAGTTCTATATTTCGGCGTTGTATTAACTAGTAGTACGCTTATTCTGCGCGTAACGGGATGAGTGAACATGAGCGCAATAATGAAAGAGTCCACCCACACCTAGCATACTTACCGGTGTCACTGGTGAACACAATAATGTTATTTGTATGGGCAAATCAACCAAATCCCAGCCAACAACAATCCTAACTTCTCGTCCATTAATTAACCAAAGTCATTGGTAATATACGTAATGGATTTCCAACAATTATCGATAGGAGGTAAATCCGTTGTTCCTGTACAAAACGTCTTTTGATTAAATGAAGCCTATTACCATATTTGTTATGAGGCCTATCATAAAAAAAACTAAGCCAAACTAACTAATCTAACTTAAATAAATTTCCAAAGCACAGTGTGAGGAATCTCCAAAAAAATATCGTATTGCTTACAATGATGATTTATAACAACGATAGCGCTATTATATAATCTAAAAATGATTAAAAATCCAATAAATGTTCATCTAACTAAAGAATCTAAATGCCATAAACGGTTCCCACACTCCGCACTGCTTGAATTTACCACTTCCATCGCCGCTACCTACGTCGTGGACCTGTTACCCTCCCTTCCCCCAGTATTTTAGTATTGAATGTACATTAATCTAACTACCACAAACTGTTTTCACACTCAGAACTTCTCGCATATACCAAATCCTTCCCCACTTCCTACGAAATGGACCTGTTTTCCTCCCTTCCCATAGCCTTTTGGTATTGCAGATGCATTTATCTAACTGCCACCAACGGTTCCCACACTCCGCACTGCTCGCCTTGACTACTTCCTTCACCACTTACTACGTCATGGACCTGTTTCCCACCCTTTCTATAGCATTTTAGTATTGCAACTGTTTCATTGCAGATACATAAATCTAACTGTCACCAAATGGTTCCCACACTCCGCACTTCTCACCTTGACTACTTCCTTTATCACTTCCTACGTCGTGGAGATGTTTCCCTCCCTTCCCATAGCATTTTAGAATTTCAAATAGATTAATTGAACTTTCACAAAGGGTTCCCACACTCCGGACTGCTCGCCTTGACTACATCCTTCACCATTTCCTACGTCGTGGACCTGTTTCCCTCCCTTCCCATAGCATTTTAGAATTGCAGTTACATTAATCTAACTGTCACAAAGGGTTTCTACACTCCAGGATGCTCGCCTCGACTACTTCCATTACCACTTCCTACGTCGTGGACCTGTTTCCCTCCCTTCCTATAGCATTTTAGTATTGCAGGTACATTAATCTAACTGTCACAAAGGGTTTCTACACTCCGGACTGCTCGGCTTGACTACTTCCTTCACCGCTTTCTACGTCGTGGACCTGTTTTCATCCCTTCCTATAGCATTTTAGTATTGGAGGTACATTAATCTAACTGTCACAAAGGGTTTCTACACTCCGGACTGCTCGCCTTGTCTAATTCCGTCACCGCTTCCCTACGTCGTGGACCTGTTTTCATCCCTTCCTATAGCATTTTAGTATTGCAGGTACATTAATGTAACTGTCACAAAGGGTTTCTACACTCCGGACTGCTCGCCTTGTCTAATTTCGTCACCGCTTCCCTACGTCGTGGACCTGTTTCCCTCCCTTCCTTTAGCATTTTAGTATTGTAGGTACATTAATCTAACTGTCACAAAGGGTTTCTACACTCCGCAGTGCTCGCCTTGACTACTTCCTTCACTACTTCCTACATCGTAGACCTGTTTCCCTATATTTCCATAGCATTTAAGTATTACAAATACATTAATTTAACAGTCATAAAGGGTTCCCGTACTCCTTCCTTTTCACTGCTCACCTTTCCGCTTCCTTTACCACTCTCTACGTCGTGGACCTGTCCCCCCCCTACACATAGCATTTTAGTATAAAAATATATCAACATCTTTGAATATTTAATATTCAATGCCAACATTAAATTGAATAATGTAAAAAGCTGGTTTTTTCCAAATACATACATATCTATTTTTAATTTAAAGATGAATTTCAATACTGAACATAAAGTTCAATTTATTATTCTGAAAGCTGTGAAATTATAATGATATATATTCATAGACGCCAAACTGTTTACTCCATGAATGAAAGAGCTTAGAGTAAAAGTCGTTCTCTCTGTCTTAAGTAGACAACAAAATTGTTGGTCGCAAAACGTAAACAAATAAAAAGAAGAAGAAGGTAGCTCCTAATAGTCCTAATGTTATTCTTATGGGACAAATTTAAAAATTTTTTTTAAGTATTCTATAATTACAACTGGGCGGAATCGTCTAGAATTTTAATGGTGTCTTCCCACTGGTGTCATAATTATTTGTGCAAAATTTGAACGCTATAAGTGCGACGGTTCTTGAGTTTTTGGTGCGAACACACACACACACTCACACACTCATACACAAGCGGACAACTTTTCTCCGACTCCGCTATTTCACGATACATAGATTCGTTCACTTCGTTCACTCATCTATTAATGCCGATATATAGAACTTTTTGGGAAAAGTGTGTGAATAGTTTATTTTTTATTTAATTATATAGGTATTCGTATGAGCAAAATCTGAATTGGAATCTGAAACCAGAATGAAGAATTCATTCCGGTAAGCAGGTGCTTGCGCACGGGCTCGGAAACCGGCAGCTACTACGGCCACTTCCATTTAAATGCAAGTGCAATTCCTGCCGCCGAAAATCTGAATCGGCGTGCACTCTGTACGTACCGTGAGACTGTTGCCTGTTTAACTTAACCAGAAATAGTAAAACATTTGAGCAAGATATTTATTTATTTCTTTAAATAATTATTTGTCTCACACAATTTGTCAACGTGGGTAAATATATGTATACGTTAGTATCTATTCAAAAAAAGTTTGTATTTAATAATTTAATATTTGTCTAGGAAAGAGCTTTGGAAGAATTGAAAACAATTTTTGGAGATAGTGAAAGAGAAGCTACGTTTCAGGACCTGCAGGAAATGAAGTATTTGGACAAAGTAATCAAGGAAACCTTACGAAGATATCCGACGGTCCAATTTATAGCTAGAAAAAGTAGTGATGATCTTCTACTGAATAGTAAGCAGTTTTTTATTACCTCGAAATTCGGAATGTCCGATGCATTTATGTGTTTTATGGTTAATTAGCAGAGTGTTTTATGTTTTTCGTGTTCGTGTGTGTGTGTGTAAAGTTTAACGACGCCAATTCTGGTGGATATATGTGTATCTGGGGAGGGCATTTTGATGCCGAAATGGCCGTAATATACGTAAACTTCAGAGCTGTGACGAGGTTATTATATTATAGTCATGTCTATACAGGGTGAATTTTAAATAAGTTCCCCCCCTACATTTTTCTACATTTCTTAAGATATCATCTCCGGACCACGTCAGATCATTGTTGAGTAGTAAGTACTTCATTTTGACTGGGTATACATTTTTGGCCGCCGTCTTAAATCCGCCATATTGGATACAAAGTTTTTTTTTCAAATGTAAAGGTAGGGTTGTGACCCATTATTTCAAACTAGAATTTTACGCTGATTACAATGCCGCAATTAGTTTTTAAAAATCTTGATCCGTTCTAAAGTTATGAGGACTTTTTATAACTTTATTTTTAGCGCATTTAAACATTGTGCATTTACAAACTAAGACCATAATCTCAAAATAGTGCTAGATAAAGATAAGTATACACCACCAGTCATTGTCGACATATTTTCACTTGGTTATGACGGATGTAGTTTTTTCAGCCGCCATCTTGGATCCGCCATTTTGAAATGTGATCAAGTAATTTAAATATGAAGGTGGTGTTGTGACCCATCATTTTGAGCTACCTTTTTATGCTGAACTCAATGCCGTAATCCGTTTTTCATTTGCATCTTTGGTTTTTGAAATATTGAAATTTTAAATAAGACTATTTTAATATTTCATCAAGACAGCTTGATAATCAAAAACGGATTGCAGCATTGAGTCCAGTATATTAAGGTAGCTCAAAATGATGGGTCACAACACCACCTTCAGATTTAAATTAATTGATCACATTTCAAAATGGCGGATCCAAGATGGCGGCTGAAAAAACTACATCCGTCATAACGAAGTGAAAATATGTCGACAATGACTGGTGGTGTATACTTATCTTTATCTAGCACTATTTTGAGATTATGGTCTTAGTTTGTAAATGCACAATGTTTAAATGCGCTAAAAATAAAGTTATAAAAAGTCCTCATAACTTTAGAACGGATCAAGATTTTTAAAAACTAATTGCGGCATTGTAATCAGCGTAAAATTCTAGTTTGAAATAATGGGTCACAACCCTACCTTTACATATGAAAAAAAACTTTGTATCCAATATGGCGGATTTAAGACGGCGGCCAAAAATGTATACCCAGTCAAAATGAAGTACTTACTACTCAACAATGATCTGACGTGGTCCGGAGATGATATCTTAAGAAATGCAGAAAAAAGTAGGGGGGGAACTCATTTAAAATTCACCCTGTATGTTAATCGCATAACAGATTTCAGTTTAATCCGACCAGTAGTTAATGCGTGATTGAACTTCAAACAAACAAACACGCAAACTTTCACATTCATAATATTAGTAGATAAGATATAGTCTTCCTAACTCATTTAGAAACTAACAAAACTAAAATTGGTATTAATAATTTCAAAGGAAAATTAAATTATTATTATTCCTAGCTAAAGAATGAGCTGATCTTAGTTAGTAACAATGCGACACAGGCCAACTTCCTCTGTTATACTGTCACCTTGCATTCATATTTAGCGTACAATAAATATGTCACTGTCACATAGTGATTTTATTGCATGAGTAAATAGATAGAGTATTGTTTTTACAATAGAAGAGGATAAAAAGCACCACGGGCAAACTGGAAATAATGATGCTTTTCAGGCAATAAAGATTTGAATCCAATTATAAATGTTGGACGGTCGTTATATGAATTTATAAGGGATGTGTTTCCTTGTACTGTAGCTTTTTAACTGACAACAATCAGCTGTTCTTTAGTCACCACGATAACGTCGATACCAGTAACCACTCAGTTTGTTAAAATGATTCTGTTAAATGTGTGAATTCAAATTATTCTTATACATCCATTTTATGCAGCCTCATCAGAGTGTAGAATAAATGAATTAATATTTGTGAAACATGTCATGTATAATGGCACAAAGGATCTCCGTTACGACTAAATAAATAACCTATAATGTTACACTATTATCTTTGACTATTAATACAACTAGACATCCCATCTCCATGTTAAAGCTGTCTCCAGGTTTAAAAATAAAACCGTCGTAGTTATGTGAGCCACGACAGATTGTGCTGAATTAAATTACTAATTTTTGTAGAATACGCAGTTTTTTTCACCAAGTTAAATTAATGGAATGACTTATTGAGAGCTATAGCAACTGTTATGCTCTATCCACTTGGTCAGCAACAAATTTAATACCTAAATTTATTTTCCGACACTTGCTCTATTATTCCTGTCCTTAGCTTCGCCTCGCTTTCGCTCGTCTTTGCTTCGCACGTGAAATTTGGTTTGGACTTGAGTGCGCGTCGGAAAATGCCACCTTCAGTCATAGTAATGAAACATACTATTTATACACTGGTGCATTCTGTGAATGGCTCACAGAACTATGTTGTTTTTTTTTATAAAAAATTGGTGGCTGCCGGTCAATATAGATGGGATGTCTACTTAAGTATCCATAGTCAATGTTATTATTGTCAAGGTGGCTATACTCTACCAAAGGACATCTCAATAATGGTACTCATAGAGGCTATGAACCATGACCCAGACGTTTACCCGGACCCGATGAACTTTGACCCAGACCGGTTTGACCAGAAGGCAGCAAACCCGTACACGTTTGTCCCATTCAGTGCTGGCGTTCGGAACTGTATAGGTGAGAAGTGTGTGAACACATCAATAAGACTTAGGTTTTAATCCAATTTCTATTCGGCCTATTAGAAAACTAAGAAAGTACTTTGAGCAGTTATTTTTCTCTTTCCATTGTTAAACTTCTTGTCAGCAACAAAACTTAATCTTACACAACTACTTTGTTAGGTATATAAACTAATTGATTGAAATGTATATGGATTGATTTTTATACACTGCAGTTGGCAATATTGCTACCAAATAAAAAAGTCAAAATAACTGTTTTTTAACTTAGTACTGTAAATTAATTTGAATTTCTTGTTGATGTTTGAACAACTAAAATACAATCTAGAATTTATAGAAAGAGTATGTTCTTTTAGTAAAATACAAAACTTGGCCTAGAGCTTTTTCCGTTAAATTTTTTAAAATAACCCATTCATATTGAACTTCTTTATAGACATGTCCTGTTTACATTAGATTAGAAAACACGTTAGTGCTACAATTTACCAAAAGTATAAGACAACCTAAATATAATTACCCTCTTTTACAGGTCAAAAGTACGCCATGCTAGAGGTGAAGTCTGTGGTTTCTAATATTTTGCGGAGGTTCCGTCTGCTCCCGTCTGATGTTCCAATAACTCCATGGTTCAACATTGTTCTCAAATCAAAGACTGGGGTCTACTTGAAGCTCGAATCTCGAAACATCTGAGTGTAAAGGATTTCACTGTGGTTTTAATGGAGTTCTACGCTATCATATGATTGGCTAGACTGATAGAGTCAACAGTACTCAGGGAGGTTCGTGAAAAGTTTATATGAACCAATATACTTGGACAAGAGTTGCTATTATGAAATTGGTTTATAATTTTAACATGTCAGAATGTCTAATAAAAAAAATATTTAACAAAAATCAGGGGTGCCCTCCCCTCCACAAATTTTCCATCAGCACCCCCTATAAATTAGGTACCCCCCAAATGTGAAAAATCCTTCACATTGCATTATTTCTAAAACTAAAAGAAGATTTATATGGATATTTAAAAAATTCCAACCCAGTTAATAATATATAAAATGTATGAATATTTCTGGAGATTCCTTAAATTAGGTAACATTCTTTCGTTATGGTAAAAAAGAGTTTTCAATGAAATAAATATATGGACTTCTGCTCAATAAACTTAATTGCGATATGGTTAAATAAGATTGTGCCACTGAATGGACTACTGCTGCCACTGTAACTGTGTAGTGTGAAAGCTCTCATTCTATTCTTTACACAACTAAAAAATAATTACCCGTACGGAGAAAACACGTTTAGTGTGAACGGATGCACTCCCCTTCCCCAGATATAGTACAACAGTTCAGTCATTTTTGAAACCATTTTTGTCATAGAAAATACAACACCAAGCGAACAACGATGTAAAATTACGAACGATTTGGCAACCCCGCAATAGTGAAAGTTCCCTACCCCAACAAAGCATAGATTCTCAACCTGCAAAACCAACCCTTCTCGGCAGTAGGTCAGTGAACAAAAACAGTGCTTGTGTGATGCCCTACAGGTGTCCGTCGCGCATCCGCGCCGGCGCCCGCACTCACGTTCGCGAAGTCGCCACGACGCAAACGTACTTAGTTGTGATGTGTGTATATACATCGTTGTTTATAAACTGTATGTAATTTGTAAATAGTACTTCTTGTCTTCCTGATGATGCCACACACTGTGGTGAAATATATTGGAGGGTTGTAACATCTTTCTGCAAGAACAAAGGCTAAGGTAACAATAGTTCAATAATTAAATATTTTTTTATTTTCAAATTAATAATAGATTTGTAACAATTTTACACAGCGCAGACTGACCATGAAATGATTTTAGATTTTTTTAGATCAGTGGCTGGGAAGAATATTCATAATAATATGATGTCATAGTAGGTATTCTGTACATATCATTATGTCCTAGTCAAAATGTCAAGGTCAAGGATACATGATATGTACCTATATCATCTCTGTGTATATCTGTAAACAGGCAAACTTTGCTATTTGGAATGAAGAATGCCATGTTATCATTGTCACAACCCTTGTCTGTCAACAACAAGATTTTTTGGAAACTATTTGATCAATTTTCAATTCAGTGATAATTCTATGGTGCCAACACACAAAAAACATGATCCTAAAATGATCATTTCCTAAAAGCGTATCAGTAAATTAAAAAAAAAAACCAGTGGAAGTGGATAAATACAGTTTTTTTTCAGTAGGTGTATAAATATATAAGTTCTTAGGCGTACCAACCACCACGTGAGCACACAACATACAGCTGTCCGGGTGAAAAGCATGAATTTTCTAAATAAACCGACAATATTCAGGGATTGACCTTATGCCTAAATGGTTAATGCAAAAGCAAGACGAAAAGGAAATTGTATTCACTTGTATTCAAAGGGTAAATCAGATTAAATCATTGGTATTCTTGGAATTAAAGGCTATTTCTCCTTTAAACTTACCACTCGTAATTTTTGCTTCAATCAAGTTTGGTGTCATTTCTAATCGTCAGTCTGATAACGTTTCACAGCTTTGGTGGATGTGAGTTTCGCATTAGTATTATTGGAGTTCCTACTTTTAATGACAGTAATGGTGTGGGTTAATGACAAATTGAGAGGCATGAATACCTGAGATAGCACGCACGATTATTATTCACTTAACAATATTTATGTTAGATTTTGTGGATATAGAACTAAAGATAAAAGTATTAGCGCATTTCCATCCCTTTTTATTGTTTATAATTCTTGGTTAAAGGTTTTTACTTTTATGTTTATATATTTATAATAGTGAAGAATTTAAACGTTGAGTGCACACGTGTACTGCAATTGGGGTTCAATATATTTGGACTTATGCAAAAGTATACAGTTTTCTGTATTGCATTCTTTGGAAACAGTGTGGCACTATTTTAAAACATGACTATAGTTCGGCCGTTTAGAAAGCGACCTCCTGTAGCATTGGTTAGCATTAGTGTGCAGGTCGTTTTCTAAGCGGCCGAACTATAATAGAGAATGTTGTTATTATTCAAACCTACAAAACAGTTGGTGAAAGTAAACATCTGCTTTTCAATTGTATTTATTTGTAAACATTGTAATTCAAAAGGTCTGACATTGGCCCACTTAAAACCCTAAGGGGCGGAGCCCTTTTGACAGATCTGCACCAAAATCCACTCAAACAATCCTCGAATAGTGCTTAATAATGCCTGAAAGTTTTGTTACAATCTGTTGAGTGGTTTCGGAGTCCATAACGTTCAAATATATATATACAAACTTCCTATCTATATAAATAAAATTAGACTTTTGTCTGTACATTGCTCAGAATCATACATTTTTAGGTTATTTTTACGTTTTATACATTAAAGAAGCCGAAACAAGTCTCGTCTAAATTTCTGTCTGTCTGTCTGTCTGTCTGTCTGTCTGTCTGACACACTCAAGATGGCATTTTACGCAATCTTCTCCAGGAAAACGAGAGTACCTATCAAGACCCAAGTCATTTTAATGTATTCACTGGATTGGCGAGAGTGTCTTTAGCCATTAAAATATGGTCTCACTACTTTGTAATTAAAATTACGGCCGTTCAAAAATGCAGTTTTGTGCGATTTTTGTCAAGTTTTCTTCCAATTTGTATCACAATCATCTATGAAACAACGAACAGCTGTTCGGATCAAGATTATTTTTTCTAGCTGTCACTGAAATGTTTACAAATGTTGTTTACAAACACCACAACCATTTCCGATCACGTTTTGAAGGCAAATCCCATCCAAGTGAGATTAAAAACGTTTTTATTACATAAAGGATTTAATTAATCGCAAGTGGAATAATATAGTGTAACCGTAAATTAAATAACTAGGCATCATCCAGGTCAGGAACCAGAAATATGTGTATAAAATTGTTTTGGAGTTTTGATAACCAGAAAGAAGACATTGAATCAAGATTGAATCAGTGTTGTATACGGCTGGGAAACTTAAATTTACTAATGACCGTCGCCAATAGCTTAGAAACAATGTTCCACTCATTGACGGCTCTTCAATGGCGGTTGTGTAAAGTGTAAAGCAAAAAATTACAACTGCAGTGGGTGATTGTAACAGAGGTTTACGGATGATGCTGAACTCGATTTTCCAATGTGTCACTTTCTGTTCCTACCATTGACTATATAAAGTCAATAGTTCCTACTCACCGTGTGATGCAATCGCTGGACCATACAGCCAATAGGCCCATAGCCCTTCTCTTGGGTACGTGTGGTACGTATGCTTACCCAATTATTTATAACAACCCTTTCGACAACGATCCTTGATACCGGTACTTTTCCATAGATTACACGGCCTACCTAGGTACTTAAGAAATAAAATTATAAACGTCCAAAAACCCAACGTTGTGTGATTTTTGTCACATTTCCTTATAATGTTAATATATATACCAGCAACCATTGTTTAGAGAATACGTAATCTATTAAATAACAGAAAGTTATGTTGTATAAGGTTTTTTTTTCAAACTGACACCGATAAGTTTACATTAAGAGTTGTGTACAAATAAATCAATTAATGGGAAATAACTTTGATTGCCGATGATAACTTTTTACGAGAAAATCCAAAACCAAGAGATCAACAACCTTGATTAACGCATATAATTGGTCGGCTGTACTACAGTTCATAACTGTAAACGTTGGTTTTTGTTACGGTACTGGTTCTTTTCCTTTTAACCTTTAGTAGCAGCAAGAATCATTTTTACGTACCAACACATCACAGTAATTTACAAATTAGTTATCGTTGGTGTTGCACCTTATTTATTACAGGCGTAGGCCTATTCAATTTAATTGATGTCTTAACTGTATAATTTTTGCTTTTTCTGTCTGGATTCCAAAATGTTATGCTAAGAAAACTATAACGCATTTTAGTAAAACATTTATTCAGCAAACCATCATGAATTGTTCAAACACTTTGAACGTTGTTTATGTATCAATAGTTCGTGGCCTATTTTGGTAATATTTATTACAAATTACCAATCTAAATCGTCTATAGTAGAATTTATATATATAGAAGAGGTTGAGGTAGTACCTTAAATACTTTTAACCATTATGTTATAGTCCTTTAAATTCTGAACAAAATTGTACAAATCCCATTTCCGTATATTTACTCTCACCGCTTACACATGATAAAGGTTGTTGACCAACTTATGGGAGAAAGTATGTGTCAGAATGCTGATACCGTTTATTTAGTTTAATCATTGGATATAACATATGGACCAACAAGATCCGGGTGACATTTAATTGCGAAGCATTAGTTTTGGCTTGAAACTGTCAGATACTGTATTTGCGAAGGAATAGTTTTGTCAGCATATCTGAAAGTATGCAAACCAACTGCTGTGCTTTATATAAGAAGGTTTTAACTGACTATGATAAGATCCCCGTGCGTAGAACGGGCACACAGCTAGTTTTATAAATATAGATAAGAGTAAGTACTTTTAACAAACCATTTCTATTTTTTGGCTCTCCACTCGGTTGTGAATGAATGCCAGATCTATTAGCACAGATGATATCATTTATACTACTTCACCTTACGATCTTAGCTATTACTATTGAAAAAGAGGAATGGTAAGGACAATAGAAATGTCAAAGTAATTAGATAAAGTATAATTCAAGAAAAATTATATTGTGTCATGTAGCGTTCTATGATATTTCATCCTTTCCTAGTGGTCGTTATTGTCGTAGTTGTTGTTTCCGTTGTGGTGGTGCCATCAGGGTTTAAGGTGGTCTTGGTGATAGTGGTTTCATGAATTGTGGTTTCATGAATTGTGGTTTCGGATTTTTGGATGGCTGTCTCCGGTTCTAAATTAATGGCGAATTCATGTTGTCCCGATTCTTGAGGTTGAGTGAATGATAGGTCTACTTTCACTGTTTCAGCAGCATCCCAGTCCCACACATCTTTGAATTCTGATTTCTTTACTCTGATTGTGACGTCTTTACCCTTCTCATCAGTCATTGTTCGGGATATCCAATCATCCGAGTTAGTTTTGGGGAAAGCATGTTCAATACTTTTGAGGCATATTATCAAGCTGTAATTTTTGATGAACATCAGCTTCCCACCTTCTTCCTTGTTAAATGAAGCCATTCTATTCAAAAACGAGCCGTCGAAGTATGATTTTTCACTTGTTTTTTCTGTATTTTTAAAGAAGAATGTAACAACAGATTTGACTAATTTTTCTTCCTTAATGTCCAGTATTGCTTGTTTTGTTTTTTTTGTTTCTTCAGCATCATTAGCAGCAGCATCATCACTGTGTGCTATAACTTTGCAGTAGTATTTTATCAACTTAAGAATGTCTTCAAGTACGCCGTTTGGAAAAAATGTTGTCCAATTCTGATTGTAGATGTTCTCGATTTCCCTGAAACAGGTGGGACAATGAAGTTTAATTTCATTTTTGCTCATCCTGAGCATGGATGGAACGATGGAATGCTCATTGATGGATATTTCTATTGAAGACTTGTACCCATCTTGTATTGCTTCAGGATCGGCTTCCACAAAACCAAATGCCAAAACTGCAAACACCTGTAACATGAAACGTGGTTTATTTTGGCCTGTTTATCTGTTTAAATTGTTTTTACTCCGAGATAAGAAAACTGTCCTCTAGTAGGCCTATCTATCAATAATGTAGCCTTAAAGCCGCATTTACACGATGCCAGTTGGCGGACAGGTTATTTGGCTCAGGTAACTTGAAACACATTAGAGGCAGGTAACCTGCCTGCTCTACTGGCCTTGTGTAAACACAGCTTAACAGAGGTAGATGGTGTAAAATATTTAAGGTCTTACCCTTAACAAAAAATTTAATCACATCTGGTGCAAGAGACAGCAAATTTAATTGAAATTGTAAACTTTATTGGCTACTAACATTCTACTAGGTACAAAAATTCAAAACTTTAATTTGCTAACAAAATTTTACTTTATAAAGTTACTAGCTGTTGTACCCGTGCTTTGCAACGGGAAGAGGACACAAAATAGAAACATTTTAATCTATCTCTTGCATATAATAGTTACACATCCGCCAACGCTTTTAGAAACAAAATTAAACGTTTATGGCCTTAATAGAAACATTTAAGTTATGACTTTTAAATCTGGTAAGTAGTGGACACCACCATGTTGGTTTTGATTAATTTTAAATCTTGTGTAGGCTGATATGAGAAAAACTGACCAAATCTTTGAGTAAAACTTTGACATACATGATTTACCAGATTTACCTTCATCTCCATTAATTACACATCTTTTAATTTATTATTGACATTTTAAATTTCAATTTTGAAGTTGCAAAAATACTAATTATTAAATTTAAATATCTTTATATTAAACTCTTCTTTATATTAAATCACAAATCCTTTCATCTTCAGTTTTTTCACTCACAATAAATCATTAGCAAAACTAAGTCAGCTGTTATAAACTGTATAAATATTGTTGTGCCTTATCAATACAGTCTTTTGAAATATTAAAGAAACTATCTATAGGTACTATAAAAAAATTCAAACAAATAATTTAGCATTAAAGACAGCAGACAAAACTAATATGATTATCAAAGCATCAAGGACTAAAATAATTAATAGCAAATACAGTACCTGTATGTTTCATTGCATCTCTGATTCTACTCTACAAAAATATCAACAAACAAATTAATATACAAACCAGTTCTTTTTAATCAGTTCCATAGTCCATTGCCTTTTACATTTTCAGACTTTGCCATTAAGTAAACATAGTAACAGATATTTCATTGATTTTAGAAACAAAAGAACACGGTGTACTGCTTGGTTTTATTATATTTGCCTTGGTCAATTTAATCAGTGGTGTGGCAAAACACAAATAATAAATGTATCAAATAAAGTACCTAAATGTGAACTGACATTTAGACAACTCTATGTTAAGATAAAATAATAGTATTTTGTATTACCATTTAATAATTAAATATATACATCAGATTTTAGAAAACAAAAATCAACGACAATTTAGTTATTGATGATATTCTTAACTTAAGCATAGGTTTAGCAAAACACAACAACTTAATTTACCTAAATATACATATAAAAAACAATTTGATGTGCAAGTTATGTTAAGTTAATCTAACATGTTAAGCAGTTATAATTTATTTAAAGTAGCCTCCAAATTCATACAAAACATCTATACATTGTAATTTTCATACTGTTTCCATGAAAACATATCAATAACATTATTTTCACTTAAGATTATAAACTTAAGACGCTTTAAAAAATCTAAAGCAGAAACAGCAACGGTTATAAAATCTTTTTTTTCTATAATCATTGACATAGTTTTAAAATAAATAATCCATGATAAAAGGTTAGATTAAAATAAACCTTCCTCATATTTATGGAAAATATTATATTTAATTTCTTTGTATCAGCTGTCTGAAATTGTGAAATATGTAGTTGAGCACTTCTTCTTGTTTATATTTAAACGTTATATTTAAAGCAAATGTAAACAAACATTGTTGGTGTTCTCATCACAGCCATGGAGACCAATCAATATTTACTTTTAAAATGTTCACCTCAGAACTTTTAAAGCCAAAGGGGCAAAGCCTACGGTCAGTATCGAAATGTGAATAGTCCTATAATGGTCCTTGGTATGGTAGCTATATTTTTGTAAAATTTAAGCTCAGTTGGTTCAGTAGTTTTTGCACCTATTAGTAATACACATACAGACAGACACCATTAGATTTTTATATAATAGTATAGAAGTATAGATGATCAAACCAATTTGGACAATCTATATATATAATATGTGAAGCCGTTTTTTGTTAACACAACTCCTCCCTTATTGGTGGACCAATTTCAACGTTTAAGGTGTCAAAAGATTCGTCTCAATATTTAGTTTTGCAATAAGGTTTTAGAAATTAAAAATTCCTACCCTTAAGGGGGTGAGACCCTCTCAAAGGTCGGGTTTTCCCCATAAGAAATACAAAGAACAAATTTAAAAACAAAAATCAACTGTTTATAAAAAGAAACTAATTAGCTTTTTGGGAGTAAATATTAATGTTTGTAATATTAGGTTAAGACCAGGTTAAACAGTTTTGTTGGAAGAACAGAAAATGCCTCGAGTTCAAAGAAGAAATATTGAAAACGGGAGGAGGAGACAATTAATACTAAGATATGTTATGCGAATGAGGAGAGTAGAAAAAGAGAGGCCTGGTCTAACAGAAACACATTCACTTGGTGAGATGAATACTGTTTGCCAGTTCTACTATGCAACTTACTTTGGAAGTGAAAAAATATATGAAAGCACATAGTGTTGTCACGGTGGTAAAGTAAACTTGCATAATGTCAGATCAAATGAATACATGCAAGAAATGTTTACTTCTTCACTGACAGATCGAGATATTTCAAAACATCTTGTAAAACTATAATAATGCCTTGGCTATGTTAAGTTCAAGTAGTAAGATTATTCCAAATCTTGGCGGACCTTATGTTTTATTGTAAACGTTTGTTCTACTTGCTCTACTTCAATTTAATTGAGAAATAACGCAAATGGATTTTTTACTTATAAATATGTTGCCAGTTCCTCGGACAAACTTAAATACAAAGTTTTTTGACTGGATTGACCAACACAATCCAGGCATTTCAAGTAAAAAATAAGGAGTTTCAAAAACTCATTTTCTGTTGAAAGTTTTAGAGGCAATATTAGACCAAACATAATTGAAGAAATTAGTGTTGGTATTCAACGATCGATTAGTTACGGTCAAGTTAATTTTTATGATTCAGAAGAGGCAAAAACTATACGCTGTTCAAAAGGAGAAAATGAAAATTGCTATCCAAATCTTATAGATACAAAGTGTTATCCAACCTATTTCGACAAATGAATCCGCACTATATTTATTTATTTATTTCTTTCCCACGGTTGAACCAATTTTAAATATATACTTTAAAAACTTTGGGACAGGTATTAAGAAAAACTCCACTGAACAACGTGAGTATGTTCTGATGCGGGGCATATACTGTGACTGACAGACAACATGTTAACCAACTTTCAATGGTGTTGCTGCTTTAGCCTATTCAAGGCAGATTATGGCTGTCCAGTTGGTAACCCAGTGTTTGTGGGTAAAAAAATGGAGCACATGAAGAAATGGTTGATATCACCCCACTTTTGAGGATTCTCTACGGGGAAAATTTGTTGGTTTAGGGGATGTCTCAAATCAAAGAAATAAAATGATCCAACGTAAATTGCTTAACACAGGTTATCAGTAAGACAACAGTTTTCTTCAGTTCTAAATACTGGAAATACTATATATTTAAAATTAGTTTCTAACAAGTTTTCATACAACTCTAAGATGTAACTAGAATTACTCAAATTTAAGCATAACGTTTTCCTCGACGTTATGTTTCATACTATATGCGGCATGCGGCTTATTGAGCCGCACGGGTTCTCTAGTAGTCATATAATATGGTATTCAACTTTGGGACACTTTTGGATCTAATAAATAAATCTAGTAAACCTAATATTCAAATTCTTGAACGCTTCCAGGCTAAAACTCTTAAGATGAATTACAGTATTGGCAAGTCCTGGTTCATATTCAACTCTACAGTTAGTAATAATTTCAAAATTAAATCAGTAAAAAAAGTTATTTCTGACCATAGTAAAAAAAATAAAAATAAAAACTTGAAGATCATCCAAACAGTGTTAATCTGGTGGACAACAGTGAATGTGTTAACAAATTGAAAACTGTTGTTCTTGTGTTGGACCTAAAATACAGATTTTATTAAATAATTTATCAACTATTTTAGCGTGGCTTAACTGTCGATGGGCGCTTGCTCCCTGCCAGATTTTTAAAAGTGTTTTACTTATTGTTCTAAAAGTTGATTGAACAGATCTATATAAATAAAATTAGAGTTTTGTCTGTACATTGCTTAGAATAATGAACTTTTTGGTTATTTTTACATTTCATAGGTCAGAGAAACCGAATCAAACCTTATCTCAATTTCTGTCTGTCTGTCTGTCTGTCTGTCTGTCTGTCTATCTGTCATTCTCTTGGTAACGCTAAAATACGCACTTTATTACAACTACTCCTCAATAACTATAGCACTGTCCCGCCTGAAACTTATTTTCCAAATACTATACATATATGAGATGGTTTTAGACGTATTTCATCGAATATGAGACAGTTAGATATTTAACAGTAAACCCTTGAAAATCAAGTTTTTGTCGATTTTTGACGTGGAATTTCTGGAAGCCCATGTTAACCTTATGAGAAATGAAATTATTGAATCTTAACAGCTGTTTCAATTAAACAAGTTGGTTCTGTTCTGTGATGTTCAATAGCATTAAAGTTACAAGGATTACCAACAGGGTGCAGCACTAGCACTATTATTTCTTTTACATTTATGACAACAGCTAATTTGCAACCTGGAGGCGAGTGAGCGTAGCGAACGAGCTAACCTGAAGGCAAGTGAGCGTAGCGAACGAGCTAACCTGAAGGAAAGTGAGCGCAGCGAACGAGCTCCAACATACAGGTGAGTGAGCGTAGCGAACGAACTTCAACCAGGACGTGATTGAGCCATGCAAACGAGATCAGATAGTAAAAATAAAAGTAAGCCTACCGTTATAGGATCGACCGGCAGACACAGAGGTAATTTAACCTTTTATTGATTGTCATACCGATCCGGAACAACAAAAAACAACATAAAATGAAGCTATGTATAATAGTTTGGCCAGCATATCTTAAAATATGCAAACCAACTGCTGTTCGTTATATAAGAAGGTTTCAACTGAATATTATAAGATCCCCGTGCGTAGAACGGGTACACAGCTAGTTATAAAATAAATTCAGTTCAAAATTTTGGCCTGTTACTTATTCTGAAAACAACAACAATAATGTTTGGATTTTTGCAGCATTGGCTAATTTTTTGTTAAACCAAGTTTACAATAATCTATACAACTTTCACTTAGGTTTAGTTTAAAAGCCAAATTCATAATATAGAAATCCACTCGTCTTACAAAATCTTACAGCGTGAAAGAACTGCAGACTTAAAAATATCTACATTATTTTTGGTGGTTAGAACTTAACTTGATATAGTTAATAGTAAATGTAAATTTTTCTTAAAACATTATTCATGGATTATATATTGTGTCTCTCAAAAGTCATGAAGTCTTGCCTAACACTGGTATATTCACAACACGAGCAATGTACCTTTTACTAAAGAAAAACTTGCCGAGCAATAGTGTATTCATCGAACATGTAATATGTACTCTTTACTAAAGATGTGTTGTAGACTTGCCCCGGACCCCCCTCCCACAATGGGGGGGGGGGGGAGCCGTGGCCATGCTTGCCTAGACTTAGAATACCCCCAAACCCAAGATAGAATGGCCCCCTCCGAAAATTAGCCCTGGAACTGCCTTTTCCCTCTGGGGCGGAACCCTTTAGACGGATATGCGCCAAACTTCACACAAACCATCCTTGAAAGATGATTAATAATGCCTAAAAGTGTCATTACAATCTGTTGAGCGGTTTCTGGTGGGGAGGGTGGGCCAGGCTTACTGTGGATAGTCGTAAAAATACGGTTCAAAAGTTATTTTAACTTATGGTAGGTATTGTCCCATTAAAAACCCCATAAATTAAGAGAAAATCGTATTTTTTTTAAAAACCTGTTTTGATTGAAATTAGCTAGTATGTGATGGTCATTAATTCTTAACAACATAGTACAACCCCCCATAAAAAATCTGGTTCAAAAGTTATTGTAACTTATAGTATTTTCCTATAAAAACAGAAAAATTGTTTGGAAAAACCAGTTCTGATTGAAAAAAGGCTGTTTATGGTCTTTATAATCCCAACCAAAATAGTGCACCACCCATTTCCTGTAAAAATTATGGTTGAAAAGTGGATGCAACTTTTGTGATTTTAGCTATTAAATATCTCATTATTAGTTACACTCAAAGCTTACCCATGATAAAGGTTGTTGTCAGATTGCTGATGCCATTTATTTTAAGTTTTTTTATACTAATGCATTGTGAATGTAACCATGACCTAAGACTCAAAATGCATTAGTAAAAAAAAAAAATGATTTTAAAAAAAGGTTAAGGGTAATTTTTTTCTAACAATATATATATGAATTTGAACGGATGGTGTTTTTGGGCTCTAGGGAGATCAAAACAATAGAATATATCAGCCCCAGGTCCAGCTGCTAACATGAAACCTACGGTGATAGCCTATTCCCTATATGGGAAATTTGCTAAAAGCTAGTAAAAGTTTATGTACTTTATACTTACAAACCCTAGATATGCGAAAGGTGACATATTTGCATGATATGGTGAAACTGAACTCTGTTGATGAAATTGAACGATGGGATTGCCTCCAGTTGTTGTGCGATTAACGTAATTTTTTAAAGTTTAATTGATGGTACAGATCATGTCAAGTCATTAATCTCTGGCATAACACATGCTGCACCAAACATTTCTGATAACATATTGCGATGGTGTTTCTAATTATTAGTGAACATTTACTGATGCTATGAAAATTTTTCTCTGAATTAATGTAAAATATTGAGATAAAAATTAATAAAACTCTCGTAATCCATAAATCCCAAAGTACTCATGAACTTTTGAGGAAAACTACAAGTCACGCCCCCATAAACCATACTTAGAATGTTTGTCATGACGAGAAACCTTGCGCAAATATATCCATTATTTCATTGCCCTTTAAGGACGTAATTCCTTTCTAAAGGGAATTTTCCATATACCGGTACCTGTTAAAAATACCTCAGCTGTACTTGTTATTGTTTCAATTTATTACCTTATTAAAATCTGGTGTGATTACTTGTTTGTAATACTGTATTCTATTTTGTTTATTTCAGCTTAACCTAACCAATCAATAGTTTTATTAATACTTATGAAGGCAAACGGGGTGAAGCCCCTGGGTAACAGATAGTTATTTTAACAAGCTTTTAACACGCTCTTCGTTCAGTCATATTTTTTTGTAAAATAAATTCATCACGTTTGAAATATAGCTATAGAAATTGAGATTACGTTCGCTTCAGTACCAATCGCCACATGTATGCGCTCATTGCCACGGGCCGAGGTATACATTTTAATATTATACATCTAGACCAGGTGTCTCTTGATTCAGAGTACACGCAGACCACGGGCCAGTGATGCAGCAAAGTAATTATCGGTATCAGCAATCTGACCCATAATTTCTCCCATAAGCTTGTCAACAACCTTTATCATGGGTAAGCGGTGGGAGTAACTATTAAAATTTTGTAAGAACAATCACAAAAGTTGCAACAACTTTTAAACCGTAATTGTTACAGTAATGGGGGTTGCATTAATTTATTTTTATAATTATAAGGACCACAGATGCTTATTTATTTTTATAATTATAAGGTGGAAGAGGCTACACGAGGCGAAGAATCAACTGAGATTTGTGGAGCCACGGCAGTAAGTAAGTATAAGGACCACAACACATTAATTTTAATCAAAACCAGTTTTTTCCAACATACAGTTTTTTATAATTTTATGGGAAAATAACATAAGTTACAATAACTTTAGAACCGTAGTTTTTACGGAAATGGGATTTGTACCATTTTGTTCAGAATCTAAAGTACTATAATATACTGAATTTTTTTTAAACGTTCTGGCCATTTTCAAGAAAATCGATTTTCCCGTTTTTTATGGGTTTTATGGGAAAATCCCCCTTAAAAATTAAAATTTCAAAAATAAAAAAAAACTCCTGGAGATACCATGAATTAGTACAGTACCTACATACCAAATTTCATCAAAATCTGACAACAGGTGTGGTCTGTAGCTCTGTACACATCCACACACACAGACATACACATTTTGACGAAAACAATACTTTCTCCATATACTATATGTATAGGGGGAGAAATTAAAAAACAGTTTTGCCAACTATTATATGACGTCACTAATCATAATATCCACAGACCAAGAGATGCACATATGAGACAGACATCTCTGTAGACTACTGCAGAGAATTCAGAGTCTTCAAATAGACCATTACGAATTATTATAAGCTTTTTAATAACATTGGACACCAACTCAAATATGCGACGTCAGTCTATTTTAATGTGACCAGCCCGTCGATGGCAGTCCATGGGTAGAAACCAGCCGACGCATATGAAAAATTTATTACTATTGCGTAGCGAACGTGTTTATCATTGGACAATGGAAATTATCTACCAATTAAATGGTATACTTGTTGGGTTTGTTTTTTGCCAAAGCAATCTTGACACCTAGAAGTATCGGTTCCACCCTTACTTGTCGTAGGACTCAAACATATTTTTCAAAAACCTTTCCGAAAAGTGAAAATATACTGTAAAGGTTAGTTAAAATTGTAATAAATTATGAATAAGGCACTGTGGTGCTACACAGTAGGGTATGAGGATTTCTGATGGACAGTCCTATCATCCCGTCACCGTTTTTCTGAATTTGTCTGTCTTCATTAATTAAAGCCGGGGTTTCATAGGCGCGGAAGTGGAGCGCGGAACGTGTAACGTGGAGAGCGGACTCCACTTGTCTTAAGGCAATGTAATGTTACTGTTTTGTTTTGTTTTCCTAGAAGCGGAGCGGAACACCATGTTAATACCTTTTCCGGTCTCCGCGCTATTCTTCGGCGCCTAGGAAACCCCGGCTTAATTGCCTGTATAGCGATGTTTAATCTGTATGAAATAATTGCACCACTACTACATGAACGAATATTTTGATAAAGTTTTATTTACAAACGAATGAAGAAGTGTGCTAAATCATGACATAGTCAAAAGCTAAACATTTTAACAATCTAGCAACAGCTGTTACATAATAAATATTAAAATTAAGGAAAGACTAAAGGCATGACCACAGCTGTAGCTAAGTTGATGCCACATCAGCCCCCGCAGAGACTGGAAGTCCAGGAAGCTTGAGCTTTACATTTCGACCAGACCAAGTTGTATAGCTTTTGAATAATGATGCTGGGTTTGGAGGTTTGAGGGATGTGTTTGAAGGTTGTATATTTTGAGGCTCCTTGATTGATGGTGGAAATTTCATTTTGTTGCTCTCGTAAGTAGATTCACCATCAGAGGCAGATCCACAGGGGGGTGAAGGGGGTGACCGCCCCTCTCGGGCATACATATGTATTTTTCTATATGTAATACAGAAGTGCATACACATTGCGTAAAATAATTTGTCATGCTAACTTTGGGCAAAGATATGGTATAAAACTGCCATTTTGGAGACTTAGTTTACAAAACTTTTTTGGTACCCCGAACCCCCTGTTCTACTCCTCCCTGACTGTCCCTGTCCCCTTGTGACTGTTCTAGATCCGCCACTGTTTGCCAATAGAGCTTCGATTTCTCCTAGCGACATTGGTAATATTGAGGAAGGAATGTCGTACTTCTTGTCGTCGTTGTTCGGAGTCACCAATTATAGCAATGTTTAATCTGTATAAATTAATTGTACTACTACATGAACAAATATTTTTTTTAACATTTTATTTACAAAGGAATGAAGAAGTGTGCTTAATCATGACATAGTCAAAAACTAAATATTTTAATAATCTAGCAACAGCTGTTACATAATAAATCTTCTATATATATAAAATCCAATGTATGTTTGTTTGTATGTTTGTCCTTTATGGACTCCAAAACCGCTCGACAGATTGTAATGAAACTTTCAGGCATTATTAAGCATTATTCAAGGATGGTTTGTGTGAAGTTTGGTGCAGATCCGTCAAATGGCTCCGCCCCATTGGCTGTGGAGTTTCTCATGTTAACCTTATGAGTACAGTACTCATATTTAAATGGAATTAAAGAATCTTAACAGCTGGTTCAACTAAACAATTTGATTCTGTGGTGTTCAATAGCATTAAACAGTTAATAGGTTTACCAACAGGGTGCAACACTGTTATTTTTTTAAAGTTATGACAACAGCTAATTTGCAACCATAAGGTGAGCGAGCTTAGCGAATGAACTTCAACTAGAGGCGAGAGCGTAGCGAACAAGCTAAACCTGAAGGCAAGTGAGCGCAGCGAACAAGCTCCAACCTAAAGGCGAGTGAGCGTAGCAAACGAACTTCAACCAGGACGTGATTGAGTCATGCGAACGAGCTCATCTTGAAAATGAACGAGCATTTGACATAAAACCACATTAGGACAGGACGATGGGCCAGCAAGTATTAAAATAAAGTAAAGACCAAAGGCATTACAGCTGTGGCTAAGTTGACGCCACACCTGTATGTGTTCATATTTGAGTACAGACTAATTTTGAAATTATGGGTCTCAACACCACCTTCATATACTTAAAATAAATTATCACATTTTAAAATGGCGGAGGCGGATCCAAGATGGCGCTGAAAAATTACATCCGTTGGACCCTCATAACCAAGTGAAAAATAGGTCAACAAAGATTGGTGGTGTGTACTTATCTTTATCTAGCACTATTTTGAGATTATGGCTTAGTTTTAAAACGCATAATGTTAAAATTGACTAAACAAACATAAAGTTATAAAAAGTCCTCATAACTTGGGAATGGATCAAGATTTTTTTAAACGGTTTGTGGCATTGCAATTAGTTAAACATCTATACTGTAGTTTGAATTGAAATAAAGTGGTCACGCCCCGGCCCCACCTATACACTTGGAAAAATATTTTGCCTCTAAGATGGCAGCCAGAAAAGACCACCTTGTCAAAATGTAGCAGCCCCTGTAGCAGCAAACCTAGGTACTCGTCAAACCTAATGTTATTGGAGATATCTCAGTCAAAATACGTCTTGTATTAAAAATATCTCTCTAGCTCAGTGGCTTTGGCTTGAAACGACACTAGAATAGACTAGGAGGCTGGGTAGGAAGGAATACAATTACAAAACGGACTAGCCGGGCGAAGACTAGACCCGTGCTAGACCAGTACCAGATCGATTAGAATGATTAAAACGGACTAGACCCAAGAGCCCGAAGCCCAGAAGTACAAGATCGCGCCACTCATCTCCATACTTGGCTTAAAATACCTACTTTTCCTACAGTCACCCGACAAACTTGGCTTCCTTGTACTGTTTATAGTACAGAAAGCTGCTAATTTATACTTTGTCGTACGGTTTATACTTTGCCGCACATCAGGATTCCAACGAAACAACACAAACAGCGTGGTTCTATATTATGCACGTAATCCGTGTACGCTTGGAAATAGGTTGGCAACACTTAAAGATAATAATACTATGAGCAGCTGATTGACTATTATAACTACGATTTAACCTGTCATTTTGTGTTTATAGTTTCGGTATATCTGAACTTTCTGCACTTTTCTTTTAAACGTTTTTAAAACATTCCTACGATCTTAATAAACAAGAAAATACCTTTAAAGCATTTTTTTAGGCGCGGAAACCACTTCAAATTACAAAAACATACGGAACTATATTCTCAAAACGCGGAGCACATTTCTTGCCGAGGAAAAATAGCGGAGTGATACTGACCGCGGGTACTACATGGTACTACTCTCTAGGGCACCATTTGTGTTGCCAGCTGAACCTAAAAACGTACGTGTTGTATAGTGTTTGAAAGACTAATTATTTATATGCTTTATAGTGACTGTAGGAAAAATATAATGTGTAACACGAGTGCAAAAGGCCTTTGCTGTACTCGAGATCATTCCGCTAAACGCTAAACATTGATCTCGTGTGCAGCAAAGTGCCACTTTGCCCACTAGTAACACAAATAACTATTTCATGGTCGCCATAAGAAAGAAAGAATCAATCAAGAAAAATATGTAAAATGGTGTAACCGTTGAGAGGAAATAAATAAAAAAAAATTAAATAAGAATCAGATCGTACTGACCGTACTGACCCACTGCACTTCAGAGTGCAGGCACTAGGCAGATCTCTTTCTCGTTCTTAGCTCATTCCTCGCCTCGTCCCACGAATACTAGGTATTTTTCTGTAGTAATCGTGCCCTCGTGCCTCGCATTGAGATATAGATTACAACTGGAGTCACTACTCTCTGGTTAAACGTTAATGCCCCCCACACACTACCAGACCAGACCTCCAGACCAGACCGTCTGGCTGCAACCAGACTGTCTTGGACGGCTCTACACACTCCCAGACCAGACGGTCTAACATTCGTAATCGAGAGACCGTGGTGAGAACTGAGAACTCCAACAAATGGATGAAGACTGTCACGATGGTCGGCCGTCTGACAGACAGCGCTACACACTCACAGACCAGACAAAAATAGTGATGGGGGAACCTCAGACCGTCTGTGGTCTGAGGGTTCAACCATCAGACACGCAGACCGTCTGGTCCGAGAAAATCGGTCTGCAGACAGCCCTATACACACGATAAGACAAGTGCCAGACGCCAGACCAGACGGTCTGGTCTGTAGGTCTGGTCTGGTAGTGTGTGGGGGGCTTTAGAGAAAAACGTACCACTGTTTTGTCTGGTTTGTTTTTGGTGTTTCGTGTTGTTATGTTGGCCGTGTGATCGGTTGGTGGGATGCTGTCAAATAATTCCAATTCATTCTAACCTAACCATACTATTCATTTGGGGTTATGTTATCCGTTATTTCAAGGACTTGTATCAAAAACTTATTTAAGTTATTGCACGTTAAAACCTCTGTATTTAAAGTTATATTATAAATGGTTTTTGTTTGATAGTAAATAAATACTAACTTATGTACCTCTTTTCAAACTATGTGGTAAATATAGGCTAGTCAAGTTTCCTGGTTTGGAGATATTGGTTTAGGCCAATAGGCCTATGGCATTTGATTAAATAACGACCATCGGTTTAAATGGGTTGCTCTTGTTCGTAAAATAAATAAATAAACTTATATTGCAATCATAATGTTGAGTTGGCAGAGATTTTTGTTTACCACATATCAACAAAACAGGATGACGCCATCTTGATTTTGCCTGTAATTTGACAAGTCCCACCAACCCGATCACCCGGCCAACCTAACAAAACGAAACTCTAAGCCCCCCACACACTACCAGACCAGACCTCCAGACCAGACCGTCTGGCTGCAACCAGACCGTCTTGGACGGCTCTACACACTCCCAGACCAGACGGTCCTAATTCGTAATTGAGAGACCGTGGTGAGGACTCCAACAAATGGATGAAGATTGTCACGATGGTCGGCCGTCTGCAGACAGCCCCACACACGATAAGACAAGTGCCAGACGCCAGACCAGACGGTCTGGTCTGCAGGTCTGGTCTGGTAGTGTGTGGGGGGCTTTAAACAAAACCAGCAAAAACAGTGGTACGTTTTTTGAACACAGAGTGGTTACTCTAGTTATAATGTTATAGCTCAGTGGGTGGTGCCTCGTCCTCAGTCTCAGTCTCACTCCCTCCCTCAGCTCAGTCTCAGTCGCTCAGTGAGTCAGTCTTACTGTCTTACTCAACTCGGTGTCAGAACCTCAGCAGATGGATGAATTGAATTAAATAAATATAACGATTAGACTACCAGACTAGGCCTAATAGTATTATGTTATTTTTTTCTTAATGTAACAATCCTGATTAAATACCTTTTGACACATTTATTCTAAGCTTACTCGGTTCCTTTCAAAACTAACTGCAAATTACTGAGGTAACTAATTTGTATGTAACAAACGAACTTCAGCAAAAGTTTGGGAGACATCAGCAACACCACCTTCTAGATTGAGGTTAGTTCTCTGCATTTTAGCCTTAGCAATAAGCCCAGTTATAAATTAGGCCTACATTCTGATTACTAAACACTTAGTTATTTAACTAAAGCAATATACTTAGAAACATATAAAAAAAAAAAAAACAAGATCACAGATTAATGATGATATATAAACCCTATCAAAGGGAGATTAACCGATAAAGCCCAGTTAGCAGGCATATATCTATCGGCTGCACTTTTTTAGGTCTTAGACTCGCTCGAATGATCGCTATATCGCTTGTTCGATTGTTTCATTCGAACAAGGTCAAGGTTAACCTACCAACCTAACTTACCAAACGATATATCGAATGAAACAATTGATATTGATCGATATTTTCATTCAAATGAGTGTAGGACCTAAAGTAAAGTGCAGCCTATCTATCTATCCCTCTTGTAGGCCTGTTTAAACCTCAAACACATTAATCATTAAACCTTCCCAGTAACTTGTCGTCATTTAATCTTTAAATGATGCCTGAGCCCTATATCCATTTTACTAGACTCTAAAACCATAAAATTGGAACTGCTGAACCAGCTTCATATGCAAGCAGCACAATTAATTCAATATAAGGTAGTTATGGCCAAAGACTGCCTTCTATTTTACTTTAACCTAGAGCATGCTTAGAAGAAAATGGTTTTACAACCTTTTACTTACAGTAGACTCCCTCTAATCCGGACTCCTCGGGACTGAGGCCAGTCCGGATAAACGGTTTTTCCGGTTAAACCGACGACTTAAATTTAGGAGAGCATTGTCTAGACAAGTGATCACTGGTCTGAAATCTTTCCCAAAAGATCAGTCTTTTCAGTACCGCCCACTTCCTGCCGATCTAGTCCGGTTAAACCGATGTGCTGATAAAAATTGTCCGGTTAAAGAGAGGGTTAAAGAACCCTAGACTGCCAGCTCTAGGGTTAAAAGTTAACTTATTTATCATCAATTAGGTACTCTGTTACAACTGCCGACACCAAACTTGCTGAAGTGTTGCAGGCCTTGTCATCATTGTTTCCATACGCGGGATTATTATCCCATAAACGGGATTTTTAGAGCATGAGCGGGATGAAAATGGTACGCGGGATAAAACGGGATTTTTGGCTATGACGTCTGTTTTTATTTTTTATGCTTTATTTTAGTGAACAACTACAACCCCAATTGATAAAATTACTGTAACAAAATATAATAGCCTAGCAATGTTTAAACACAATATGTCTAATATAACGCTCAGAATGTAACAATAAAATCATGCAGGATAAAACGGGACTTTCATTATAAAAAAGCGGGATTAAACGGGTCTGGACCCAGTGAGCGGGATTATTCTTTTGGTCAAGTGGAGACACTGTTTGTCATCTCTGTGCCCTATGCTATCTAATTTTAGAAATCATTGAGCTTCTCTAGTTTTTAACTATGTTGAAATTTCACTAATAGGTAGCCTAAGTTAGTTGGCCTAGGTCTACTCGGTTCATCACTCATGAACTAGGCTGGCCTAAATGCATACAGCTAGACAACTTGTAAGCTGCCTATTACCTCTACATACCCTAGCTTACAAAGCTAACTTCTAACTTATCTCTCAGTCAGTTTTTTACCCCATTTAATTTTTTACTTAATGTTCTTTAAATAAATGTTAGTAGGCCTACAGTTGGCTTATTTGTATTTAAAGCATCTAAGTTAAATTAAACATAGCCTAACTAAACTTATTTAGTTTTGTCCTCCTTATTGATTCAGCTGAAGACAATTTTAATGATAGTTCTGCCCGCTGCCGCTAGGGGTGTGTTTTTGTTAACATTTAGTTTCTTTTATGGATAAAAATCTACTTGCCAGAAGGTGTCAAATTAGTTGTTTTATGTTGTACGTGTTTCTGGCTTCCTACAGCTTATCTTCAGCATCATTCATTTTAAGCTATAACTTATCTATAGCCTACCTATAAAATGAAAAGCCCTCACTGACTGACTGACTCACTCATCACTAATTCTCCTACTTCCCATTTACCTAGGGAGGCTGAAATTTGGTACACTGATTGATTCTTTTGGCATTAAGGAAATTAACTACCGGTGGTTTTTATTCTGATCAGACTGTCGGGCTCCGTCCCAGTGGCTCTGGAGTTTCCCATGTTAACCTTGGGGATAAACATTTTATCTGTTAAATGATCTTGTAGCTTTTCATCTTTGTGTGTGTATGTAAGTATCTGCAAATATTTGACAACATGCTTAATGTGATTTATTTTAAATAGCCTAGATATGAATGTTGCTGAGAAGCTTTAAACATACACCATGAAACATTACTAAAACACTAGCTTGCCTTCTTATTTTATAACCAAAAAGAAAAGTCACAAATCACAAAATTAACACTAAAATTAGATAAGCAAAACTTTGCTGACACTAGCACTCAGTGTCACCAATGTAAACTAGTTAGGTCTAAAAAATAATCTTGAAATTATACAATGGGATGAAAGTTTACTAGTGTATTCTGTCTTTCTGGTTAAATTGAGTTAAATTGTTATTTGTGTTTTAAAAGATGGAGAGTTGTCAGAAATGTAAGTGAATCCAAGAGCTTTACAGGTATGCCTCACCAATTTTGCATCTGGTATAAAATAAGTTTGTAAAATTTTAAGATACATTTTTAATTTTTACCATCAACAAATTAAAAAGCTATTTTAAATGTGCTTAATTCAAGCCTTTCAATAATTCAGCTGGTGACAAAAGTGTTCAAAATTACTTCAAATTGTACTCTTTCATCGGGATGAGCATCAACAGTCAATGTTTTTGAAAATCAATGTTTTTGGCCAAGTATTGAAATTTAGATGTTTTCCATGACTGAATTGTATTAGTTTTAGGTCAATTAGCTGTAGAAGTAGCCTTCCGGTACAGAGAACTGACAAAAAACTGAAAAAAAAACATTGATGTTTTAGCCTCAAAAACATTCATGTTTTCGCTATGATGTCATACAAATATATATTGTAATGTGCTATTATTATAAATATTAAATGTGCTAATATTTTGGTTTAATTGGTCATTGATTTGGAAATATTTCTTCAACTCACAAGATTTATTTGAAATGCATTGGTCTAGTTTCAGTGTTGCCTCATACATAAATTAGGTTAAAAGTTAGTTTATTAATACTAAATTAATAACTTATATCCTTACAAAACCTCAATTGATCCCGCTTTGGGAAACGGATCAGCCTAATTAACTAATATGGGTTAAGGTTTAGGCCTACTGGTCCCAAAATAGTCTACATAGTAAGCATATTGTTATTAATACCAAGCAAGATGAACAAGTAAATGGGTGTATTTTAACCCAAATATAAACCGAGAATGAATGTAGAATGGAGTGAGATGACTCTTGTAGTTTTGTTACTGACAATGCCCAGTTGTTTCTTTAGTCAATACAGTTCATTAACAGCCCAATGAACAGCTGGGTCCAGTTGTGATCCACTAAAAATCTACAGAGTTTTACAATTGAACCGGCAATATTCTTTACTAGGTGAGCGTAACCACTCAGCTCCCCAGCTACACCTGTGTGAAAATAAACTTACTTAAAAATGTATTTCAGGGCCATGCCGTCCGAGTATGACAAGATGATGTTAGACGATGACCAAGCGACGCTGGACTTGCTGACAGCTCGAGGTATTATCCACCTGCCGCCCGGTCACTCCAAGTATGCTCAGCTGCTGGCTGTCATAGAGGAGATGGGACGAGACATCCGACCGACCTATGCCGGCAGCAAGTCATCTGCTGAGCGACTCAAGCGAGGCATTGTCCATGCGAGGGTGCTGGTGCGCGAGTGCCTTCTGGAGACGGAGAGGAGTGCGGCCCGTAACTAGTGAGATGGCAAAAGAGTGACAACTGTGTTGTGCAAGAGGTTTTTACAAAAGTATTCTCTTTGGTTGTGTAAAAAAAGTTTTGTAACATCAGCTGGTCATCAAGCCCCCTTAATGTGGTAATTTATCATCTTTCAATAATAATAAGTTACTAATTTAGTGTAGGCTACCTTTTTGCTTTCTTGGTTTTAATTTTTTGGTTTTAAGTCAATTAAACGCTCAAAAGTTCAATTGATTTGTTATGCTAAGTGTTGTCCATTAAGTGTTTCAAACTTGTTTTAAATATCCAAGATTTTAAATATCGATAGACCATACATATATCTAAACAAGTTTCAACCTATTTAGTCTAACTCTTTTTATTCTTTGCTAGAAATTTTAAACAACGGTACACACACTATATTGATTTTGTAATCCTGTATGGGCGAAGGGTTTTCTTGAGATTTCATAGGCCTACAACAAATACATACAACTCCCTGCGCTGTTATATTTACTTATATTTTAACTTTGACTATGAGTAGAAGAAACTAGACTATATTTCTATTGAATATGCTAATTTTTTGAAAGTACAAAACGTATTGTCAGTTAAGTTATTGAATCTTTTATGTCATATGAACTATAAAATTAACAAAAACATAAAAAAATGCTCGACAATGTTATTGTTAAATGTAAATTGGCTAAAGCTGCTTCGTGTATCTACTTCATCCAAATGTCTATGGACATATTTATAAAAATTTGGAAAATGAATTATAAATAACAAACATTTACAAGGGCCTTATGGGTTGCCATGTTAGTGACAACGTATAAAAGAAAAAAATCAAAACAAATGGAATAAATTCAAATCACTTGTTTTATTTTACAGCATGGGGAGTGAAAATAGAGAAGTTTGCACAATACATGTTTTTGGTTGAGTTTTCAACTACGGGGCGACTTCTAGTATTAGGCTACTCAAAAATCAAATGGTTATTTTGAGACTTTGCTGTGCATTTGCTTCGTGTGGTTTTTGATTATTAAATACAATCACACGTACCAAATATTGCTCATTTGATAGTCAAGATAACATTAACCCAGCTCTGAATTAATATAATGCTTTATGTTACATGACTGGCTTTAATTAGCCTACATGTATTATTATGTGACCAGCTGATATTTTATACCTACCCAAAATGTGATGAACGAGCTTGGAACATTTGAAATTGAAGTTTGAATATTTTAAGAACACAAGTAATTTAATATCTTTTTAAGGGCAGACGAGTTTACCTGGCCCAAGTTGAAGGTTCAAACCTTAAAACAAAGAGAAAGATTGGTTCATAAACTTGACCCGAAAATTGTTTGAACCAGCTTTATGAATTATCAGTAGGCCTACAATCAATAGCTACAAAACAATTCAATAGCTAAGTATAGAACAAAGTTAAACCTTTCTATAAAAAATTTACCACTTCATAAAAAACCCTAGAGCCTATTGTAGTATAACCATGATTTACTAAGGGTTTATGTAATGATATGTTGTATTAAATTCTACTGTTCCTTTAGCACGTACAAAGTTTGTTTTTATATAACGGTACTGCCAGCATTTGAGTCATATCTGTATTTCCTATTTAACTTAGCTTAAGATTAGGAAATAAGCCTTAATAGTTATTGATAATTGCATTGGTTGTGAATGATTTACTTGAATGCCTTATTTGGCATCTGTAATTCCAAACTTGCATTAAATTACAATATTTTGGTACTAAATATGCGATCATTCAGTATCATCGAGGTTGTAGTGTTTTAGTACTAAAAACAAAATTTGTTTTGGTATTTCATTTCTATTATGTTTCTCTTATATCTTAGAACAATTTAAGAACAATCAATATACAGACAAATAGAAGTTAGATACAAAGAAATACAATGGTATGCTCAGATGTAAAGTATTGTATTGATTAAACAATTTTAACTTTGTATAATTAATATACAAAATACTATTTAGTAAAAAAATGTAGTCCAGTGTGTGATTTTGAGAACATTATTATGTGTTTTCATTGTGTTCATTATGATGCAAGTGTGTAACTACCTTTTGCGTACCGTACATATGATTATAGACGATGTATGTCTGCCTTACATAATGTTACTGCAAAGACTAGATATATATATATTTCTAAAGATTCAGTATTCATTAAAATATAAGAGACTGTTTTGTACTTAGGGTTTTGGGTTTTTATACTCAGCTCATGTATTTTGGAACTTTTACGATGGTGTAATGTATATTTTATAAATAAAGATGTTTTAATTTGTACTGGTTTTTTGGCTTTTAACCCTTACCATAGACTAACCAACACAAGTTAGTAAAAAACACTGATTTAGTGGTTTTTACCAAGAACTAAGCTTATCTCAAAAGACCCTATATACCTTTTCACATACTCATGAAGACAATTTCCAAAATTATAGCCAGGGAAGCATTTTTTACTATAATTAACTAAAAGACCAAAGCTACCAGTAAACCAGTATTACTCACAAACAAGGTATTATGTTTGTTGGGTTTAGCAGATTTACAACTCTGGAAAGAAATTATTTACTAAAAATAACAAAAACTAAAGCAAACAAAGGGACGGATACAATAAAGATCTGGTCCACAGGTATATCTATTCTGACACGTAGATAATTATTTTTGGTTTATTTAAATATTACGTTAATTTGTTTTACATTTTAGCTGTTTAGAGGTTAGAAATCTTCAGTCAAGTCCATCACAATTCAGTTAAAACTAACCATTTAAGTGGCTATTCAGCAAATGCAACAGTACATTTATCACACAAGTAAGATTTTTAAATAAGCTAAAACACTTTTAGAAGGTTTTAATCTGTACCATTAACTTTAGACATAAGTCGACTTCTCTATATAATTTTATATTTCAAAATCTCGGCCCTCTTGATGTGTTTCATGTTGGTGACACTTGTGTGTGCTGATGGTAACTGAATGATTATATTTTATTTTTTTATATTAGAGTACATTTTACATGTGTAGTTATAAATGTGACTAAACAACAACAACAAATTATTGTATGGCATTTATTGGTCAGCGTTCTTTAACACAGACCAAATTCTCCTTTCTGTTTCCTAGATGAATTATCCTACAGCTTTCTCTTCTCTGAACCAGGGCCACTGTATACATATAATTATGTCTAAAAGCGCCTCCAGCACAGAACAGCCTTCACCAAAATTAAAACATACCTTTAAATAATGTTCAGCGGATCCATAAGTAAGAAAAATCGATAAGGTATTATGATTACTCCATGGTTTAATTCCCAGTCTTAATTGACAATTAATTGCTTCATGACAATCAGAGAAAAAATCAGCTTATAGTATGAAAGCTGATCTTCATATGGTATCTTCAGCAAAGGCGAAAATACAAAGTATCTTCACCCAAACTCTTCCTTATACAACTTGTTATTTTTAGGTGAGAAGGTTGATAACAAATTTGTCAGCTGGAACATGGCACAAATCACTACCTTAGTATCGTGGGATACAGAGCTGAGTGCTGACTCTGTAGAGTGGTGTCCATTTCCCTCCAAGCATCAGCTGTTAGTCTGTGGCACTTATCAGCTGATTGAGGGGGAAGATCAGCTGACATCCTCCAGACAAGGCAAACTGCATTTGCTGTCATTTATGGACTCTGAAGTGAAGGTAATCATTTTTGAGTTGTAATTTTATAAAAAGTGAGAGTATTAAATACAGCTCTATTTTTTCTTTTGTTTCAAGAAGCTAGAAAAATTAGATGACCTTAAGGTTCATTTTAATATGTTAACAGTTTTAAGAAAAAGTTAATTTCTTACTTTTAAGTATGTTATGTACACTAACTGTACAGAATTGATAGTCAATATTTATTAAAACAAATAAGTTAATGCCAACTTTTAAGGTTGGTAAAGGTTGACTTTTTAGACCTGTTGTTCAAATAATGTGCCTCAAAATGTGACGCAGCACCAAAATAATGCCTCAAGAAACATTTCATACTGTTCAACAAAACAATAATCCTATACTCTAATACGAGCAATGTTTGCTTGTATGTATGTATGCTTGCTTGCACAAAGATCTCGAAAACGGTTCCGACGATTTTCTTCAAATGTTGTAAATAGTTTAATTCTGGCCTAAAAACGAGTTTACTGCAGTTAGAACTGCCAACAAAAATCTAATTACGTAGAAAAATGAAACTGAAAATCACATTTTTTTTACAATAGTCTTATGGGTTGCTAGGTAACCTTGTTGGCTGAATTAAATAACAAGGAAAAAGTAAACAAAAGACTTGAAGTTGTAGCATGTGTTCATAATAAGCCAACTACCCACAGTATACTAACAAATTACAAATACAGTACAAAAGGAAAAAAAACATTTAGCAAAGATTATACTTAAGATTACTCGATACATTGTAGTCAAGGGTAGCAGTGAGAAGTCTGGGATCTGTTTATGACGATTAGATAAGGGTATGGGCAATCCTAAAATGCTATGGGAAGGGAGGGAAAGAGGTCCGTGACGTAGGAAGTGGTGAAGGAAGTAGTCAAGGCGAGCTGTCCGGAGTGTGGGAACTGTTTATGATGATTGGATAAGGGTATGGGCAATCCTAAAATGCTATGGGAAGGGAGGGAAACAGGCCCGTGACGTAGGAAGTGATGAAGGAAGTAGTAAAGGCGAGCAGTCCGGAGTGTGGGGACTGTTTATTACGATAAGATCAGGGTATCTGCAATCCTAAAATGCTATGGGAAGGGAGGGAAACAGGTCCGCGACGTAGGAAGTGGTGAAGGAAGTAGTCAAGGCGAGTAGCCCGGAGTGTGGGAACTGTTTATGACGATTAGATTAAGGTATCTGCAATCCTAAAATGCTATGGGAAGGAAGGAAAACAGGTCTACGACGTAGGAAGGTGTTAAGGAAGTAGTCAAGGCGAGCTGTCCAGAGTGTGGGAACTGTTTATGACGATTAGATAAAGGTATGGGCAATCCTAAAATGCTATGGGAAGGGAGGGAAACAGGTCCGTGACGTAGGAAGTGGTGAAGGAAGTAGTCAAGGCGAGCTGTCCGGAGTGTGGGAACTGTTTATGACGATTAGATTAAGGTTTCTACAATCCTAAAATGCTATGGGAAGGGAGGAAAACAGGTCCGCGACGTAGGAAGTGGTGAAGGAAGTAGTCAAGGCGAGTAGTCCGGAGCGTGGGAACTGTTTATGACGATTAGATAAGGGTATGGGCAATCCTAAAATGCTATGGAAGGGAGGGAAACAGGTCCGTGACGAAGGAAGTGGTGAAGGAAGTAGTCAAGGTGAGCTGTCTGGAGCGTGGGAACTGTTTATGATGATTGGATTAAGGTATTTGCAATCCAAAAATGCTATGGAAAGGGAGGAAAACAGGTCCGCGACGTAGGAAGTGGTGAAGGAAGTAGTCAAGGCGAGTAGCCGGAGTTTTGGAACTGTTTATGATGATTAGATTAAAGTATTTGCAATCCAAAAATGCTATGGAAAGGGAGGAAAACAGGTCCGCGACGTAGGAATTGGCGAAGGAAGTAGTCAAGGCGAGCTGTCCGTAGTGTGGGAACTGTTTATGACGTTTAGATTAAGGTATCTGCAATTCTGAAATGCTATGGGAAGGGAGGGAAACAGGTCAATGACGTAGGAAATGGTGTAGGACGTAGTAAAGACGAGCTGTCCGGAGTGTGGGAACTGTTAATAACGATTAGATTAAGGTATCTACAATCCTAAAGTGCTATGGAAATGGAGGGAAACAGGTCCATGACGTAGGAAATGGTGTATGACGTAGTAAAGGCGAGCCGTGTGGAGTTTGGGAATGGATCTATGTGTCTCCAATACAGTACTAAGACTGCTTTCAGAGTGGACTAATGATTTTCCCCGAGCAAAGCTCGGTCCCCAGGTACTTATATGAAACAAAGGAAAGTTAGTTTTGCGGCTTGCAAGTTGGAATTGAAGAAAGAGTTGAATCATCAAAACCTAAAACTCTTGTAACTGATCAAGTACTTGGTAACTATTATAAACTATGCATTTTTGTTAATTTTATGTGAATCTATGAACATTTTCAAGTAGAAATTAAAAAATACAAGAGTCCCAAATGTATAGAAGCTCACGAATGGTTAGTGTTTGCCTTCATCCAAAGGTCACTAATTCGATTCTAGACTATTAAAATAAAAAATGCCAATGGCGTAGACACACACAATTAAAATATTAAACAAATGAATTTTTCCACAAGGCTATCTGTAATGACCTACATATTGTTTAGGAACTCTCACTCCTGCAGACTGTTCACATGCCTGCAGTACTCGACTGCAAGTGGGCTCCTCAGCTGATCCAGGATAAAGCTCTGCTGGGTGTCGTCAATGCTGCAGGACAGCTGGTTATCTACAAACTGATTGAAGGTAACATGCTCCTCATGTGGTTAAACAAACAAAAAATGTTGCAGACACTTTCCATAACTGATATGTCAAACTTAAGTTACATTTTTATGATAACTTCTGTTTTATTCAGTGACGGAAAATTTTTGCAATATCACTTTTCAACAACAGAATCTCATCATCACCAAAATGATTTTGAAACAAAGATTCAGTGGTGTAACAGAAGGGCCCACAATGCGGGGGGGCCCGGGAGCTGAGAGGGCCCGCAAACCGGTGTGCGGGAACTGGTGAGCAGAGAGGCCCGTGAGACGAGTAGGGTCGAAAAATTGAAGTTCATTCTTATTGAAATGTATTAACAATAATTCAATAAAAAGGGGGGGAGGGCGTTTGATTTTGTTGTATCGGTTGTCTAAAAATAACTCATTGAAGGGGCCCAAAAAATAAGTTTGCAGGGGGGCCCTACAAAATCTGTTACGCCACTGCAAAGATTTGTAATGTTTTCAAAGTGTATAGTGGTGTGTCTGTTTCCATGTATGAAGTTGAATAATGGTCAGTGATAGGTTTTGTATATTCTATAATATTAAAATTCTAAAAGTGAATTGTAATGTGTTGTAACAAGGTATTTTTTTTTTGCATAATAAATTTATCAAAGGAAAATGCGAAAAAACTAAAACAACATTATAATTGTGGCTGCAGTTTTACTTAGTTGTTTGTATTTTAAACTGCAGACTATCATAGTTTTTTCTCGAAACACATCGTCTGCTTGAATCATCTTCTCAAAATGTTTAACTTTACAAACACGTTGATTCCTCTACAACGACTTTTGAAGGATGCTTTTTCAATTTAACTACTACCAAATCTTCGATTATAGGAGATGAAACATTACCAGCCAAGCTCGTAGAGGAACTCAGCATTAATCTACCTAGCGCAGAAGACAAAGGAGAGGTCCTGGCTTTGGCTCTGGATTGGTCTGTGAGTTGTGACGTGAGGATTTCTGTCAGTGACTCAAAAGGTCGGATATCCATCTTCTGTCTGGACACTGCAGGTTGGTCAACTATGACAAACTAAACCTTGCTTGGACAAAAAAAACTGACTGCTTTAAGGTCGATTCACACACATCAGTTACGGCACGTCACAGTAAAGTCACTTCAGGACGTCACAGTTAACAAAAATATTCTTTGATGGATTTTCTATTGCGCTATCTACACTCATCCGTTGCAGTCCCGTCAGTCACTCTGCTGGCATCCGTCAGTCAATTTCAGATTTCTTTCCAACGATACTTTTTGATTCTTCGGACGCCTGACGGAACTGTTTAAGGTTAGAAAATAGTGTTATTGTTATTTAAACGGTTGCGTTTGTATTTTGAGTACTGTTTGTAACAATAAACAAGATGGACAATGATAATTTAATAGAATATAGGTTTAAAATTTAAATTTTTTGACTGTAAATTACTGTAAATATTAGAGACGGAAGACTGACTGAAACCAACTGACGGACAATTGACTGAGAAATTGCGGATGCAACTGTGACTGGACTGTAACTGGACTGCAACTGGACTGTAACGGAACTGTGACTGGACTGATGTGTGTGAATCGACCTTTACCCATGCTTTACAACATTGACGACGCTGAAGACTGAAGAGAATAATGTGGTTTTTAAAATCTACTTTAGGAAACACTACTTATTTAAAACAACACTAAATTTTACCACTTGGTTTAACAATATTTTATTTAGTTTGATTTAATCAGGCATATTGTCATAGAATAAACTTAATAACTTGATCGAACGGTGACTAAAGTAAGTTGAGCAAATGAAAACCTTCTGGATTTTTTGTTGCCATGAAAATAAATCAGTATTTATTTATCAGTAAAAGCTCCGCCTAGAAACTTTGGGCTGTGCAGGAGCAGGACATAGCAAGAGGGAATTTTAAGAACTTGAATAGGTTGACGGTTTTGCAATCTACCTTTGTGTAAAATTTCAACTTAGTGGGTTCAAAAGTCTTAAAGTTCACTTGGAACAAAATATAACTTCACAATGATAACTTTTACTTGTATTATTAGATGTAAAATTTCAGAAACCGCTCAGAAAAAAGCAAATATTTGTTTTCCAGGTCTAAAATTGGAACACAACTGGACAGCCCATGAATATGAAGCTTGGACAGTTCATATAGACCGTTTTTGTCCAAATACTATTTATACAGGTTAGTGATTGTCATATAATCTCTTTAAAACTAAATTGTGTTGGGCTAGGTTTGCTTTCGTAACCATTCTCATTATCAATTGAGATGGGGACGCCCCCTAGGTGTGTTTTTACCTAACCCATTATGATCGTGAAGGTTGGAGTGATATGATCTGTGTAGCTTTGTTACTGACTGAGATCAGCTGTTTCATTAGCCAGGATTATTTATTTATTTAGAGCCAAAAGATCAAGGATCCAGTTTCAAACCATGTATTGCTACTGACTAGTAACTTTTAAGGATCGAACCGGCCAACCTTTTGATTGCTAGGCGAGCGAGCACTATAACCTTTCAGCTACCCAGCCAGTTAAATTCCGTTAGTATTACCTTAAGAGTCTGATTTTCTATTTTTGTTTTGTACCATTTAGAGTTGAAATTTCATTGTCAACTAGTGATTGGTCCATGGGAAGATTGATACTTGATTTTGTAGGAGGGATCAATGTTTTTCTATCGATGTTCGATGTTTTTCCATCGATGTTTGATGTTTTTACATTGATTGTAGGACACGGATGTTTTATCGAACATCGATGTTTTTTCTAACCATCAAAATAAATATCGGCATTTTTTTTTTACTAAATGTACTAGTTTTTTAATTAAAATTTGAATTTTGGTCTTAGAAAGGAAATTTGTGTAATCATTCTATTGAAAGGCTGATGAAATATCTAATTCAAAAATATCGCACACTGGACTAGACTTAGAGAAAATTGAGGTAAAATATGTACATTTTGAATGTGCGTTCCTAATCCGGCCAGAAAAAATTTCAATTGTAATAAATTTCAGAGGAAGCACTCCCTGCTTCAGCATAATAAATTAAGACCGGTAATTCGTCTTGCGAATGTGACAAAGAAACTTCCAATCCAAAATGTCAATCTAATAGCTACGTTAATTAGAACCTGTACTGAGACAGAGATCAGACAAAAAACTGAAATTTAAAAAAACATCAATTATCGATGTGTTTGTGAAAAACATCGATGTTTTCACTACGATGTTATCGGTACATCGATGGTGAACATCATAAATTTTTCCTATGGATGCTCATCCCTATTTTGTAGTAGCGGTAATGTCAGATTATAAATGTCAAGACAAAATCAACTGGATGATATTGTATTTACTACCATCCTTAATACCTACCTGACAGCAAAAATATCTATATGTAACAAGTAGCTCTTATGTTTCAGGCGGAGATGACGCCAAGTTAAGGGCGTATGATCTAAGAACAGACCTTCACTCAGCAAAGCTTACCTCCACTCGACATTCTGCCGGAGTTACAAGCTTCGCTCAGTCAAGCCAGGAACATCAACTATTGTCTGGAAGGTATGATTGTTTCATATTTTAGAAGGAAATTATATTATAAGCACAGGGGTACACTAAAATGTTATCAAAAACCAGTTTGATTTTAATCAATTTTGTAATTTAAAAAATCTGTTTATTGTATTTACAGGTCGCAGGTAATTTATGGAGGAAAATAAAATTTTGAAATGTCTATGGATAAGAAATAGACAGATCGGCTAGTCCTTGATACAGAACTTTGATTAACAGCATAATGATTTAGGACAGCTGAATACAGTGTCAAACCACAAAAAGTTATCACGACTTAGCAGGATTGAACCAGAAACTTTGGTATTACCATTTGAAAACCCAAATATCAATTAAGTACCTTAAAATGACTCATTTACTTGTATAAAAAAAGTTAAATGATATACTGTACAACAAAGAGGTTTTTACTGAAGACCCTTTTTGGAACCATACTGGAGGTTTTATTAACATATTTTTTTTCTATAACCTATACTTATGTTGCATTGTTAACTGTCTTAGTTGAATCTACTGAAATTTTCTTATCCAACCGTATACAACTGTGGTTTTTGAACATTCTAATTCAGATTGTAATTTGAGGTTGTTCAAGTCTAGAATTCCAGACTGAGCAGCCAATTATGTTTTTACCCATCACTACTGTTTTTGCTGTGTCCTGATCATAACATTTACTTTATCCGCTGTGTAGCTATGACGAGCACATACTACAGTGGGACACTCGACGTATGCAGCGACCTGTTCACTCGGTACACACAGGAGGGGGTGTGTGGCGGATGAGGTTTAACACTACAGAGGACATGCTACTGGCTGCCTGTATGTACGATGGCTTCCACATATATGACAAGGACCTTACAGGTACTATCAGTCTAGATGTAAAGCCTTGTATTAGTTTGTGAATACCGGGAAGCAGTGATTTCAGATAATAGGTGCCAGACGATACCGCCCCTTGCGTTTGAGGCAAGCTATTTTTTGTCTACACTTCTCCTTTGAACGTATTAAGCTGATTTCAATGTTTGAGTTGTCAAAAATTCTCCGAACTTTTATTTTGTACTAAAACTATGATGGATTCTCCTGACCAACAATTTACCGAATAAAGGATTATAATATGGTACCTGTGCTACTGTCGGAATGGTCCATTAGTGTAAAACTGTTTCATGCTGCTATTTACAATGAGGGATTTTTAATGTTAATTTTCCTCAGGTTAAAACAACTTAAGTTGACTCCTAAAACGGATTGTTCCAACATTAAGACAAGTAACACTATCCTTTCTTGTAGGAAAATGTTTCATATTCATTTTTTTTTTATCATCAAGAGCTTGAATTCCCTCAAAGATTGGATGTCACATTTTGTTCAAACTTTGTGCCAAATAGCTGGTTGTCGAGTAATTGTATTTTAAATACTTGGTTGTTAGCACAGACACAAGTGTTAGTGATACATGCTGTAATAATCGTACACATGATTAGGCTATACTACTTATCCAACCCATCAAAACTCAAACTCTTTATTTGCCATAAAAAACATTACAAATTTGAGCATAGCTCATGTAACAGATGGCATGTCAATTATAACTAGAGTGTAAATTAATTGTTAAAAATCAAATATAATGGATAAGATATATATAGTCTAACAAAAAAGAGAATATATACAGTACAACCCCTGACTCAGGCAGATGTGCTCATTTAAAAAAAAAATCATCCACTTTATAAGGACATGTTGCAGCTAGATGAGTTTCCAGTTTTTTTTAAATGTGTTAGTTTTTTTTTTTTAGTGAATTTCCCCTATAGGGAATAAGCTATTACCGTAGTACTCATGGTAAGACCTGGACGCGGGACCGATTTACTTGTTCGTTTTGAGGTCCCTAGAGACAAAAAACACCATCCGTTCAAATTCATATATATATATTTATATATGTGTCCGTTAGCGCGATAACTCGAGCAAAAATCATCCGATTTTGATGAAATTTGGTACAAACGTGTAAAACTACGTTTATTCGAACGAGTTCGCAAACCAGCATGATTGGACTATGGGAACAGGGGTTTATGGGGTAAAAATTGGTTTTTCCCATTTTTTAGCCTAAAAACTTAAAATTTAGCAGTTTCTTTCCAAACCATTTTGTAGAGCTTAAAAAAACAAATAATTTAGTATTATTGAAGCGTTAATATGCGCCTATGGTTACGGAGAAAATTCCAAAAATCTGTATATTTAAAATTCCCATGTTATTCTTATGGAGAATAAGTAAACTGTTGTATAGTTTGCTTGTTTATGAACATATTTTGATCAAATTTGGAAAATGCATTAATTTCATACTAAACTATTACATTTTACAAAAAAAAACACCTTTTTACCCTCCCTGTTGCAGCAAACCTAAGTACTCGTTAAACTAATGTTATTTAAATAGGGAATAAATGTGATATTTTTAAGGAGACATTTTAGTGTAAATCCTATCAGGTAAATGGAAATTCGCTTAGTCTGCAGGTTTGCTGCGGCGGGGGTATTTTATCTCTTGTGGAAGGTAATTAAATAGTTTAATTGCCATGTAATATGGACCCTTCTCCAAAAGGGACAATCTATGTTTAGGGTACCGCAGAGTGTCTGTGTTTCTTGAACCCTGAGTCCCCAGACTGTTATTTGAAAAATATTGTTGATGTTTTTTTAAAGAATTTTGGAACTTCAAAAATATAAAGAGCTGGTACAGTTAATAGTTTATAATTTTTGAAATATTGTTTACATGATTTTCTAAATTTTAGTTTAAACATTGCTCGAATGGCCTCTTTTTGTAAATTGAATACCTTGTCAATTGAATACCTTGTCAATTACTGATGTTCCACCCCAAAGGATGATTCTGTACCTAACAATTGATAAAAAATAACCATGATAAACCTGAAGACATGTCTTTATATCTGAGATGTTGGCAATAGTTCTAATAGCATGAAGAGATTTATTAAGTTTTTTTTTTTGTATGGCCAGAATTTGATCATGCCATTTTAAGTTGTCCTGAAGTGTAAAACCTAAAAAGTTCACACTAAGCGAATTTTCACAAAGTTCTTCAGTTGGCATGAGGAATTCCTCATTTATTTGTTTGTTTCTATTGTTAGAAGTGAAAGCTAAGATTTTTGTTTAGGAGCAATTCAAACTAAGACAGTTTTTTGATAGCCAGTCAGATATTTCATGGAGAGTATTTAAAAGCTTTACTTTTGTTATTTGTTTGTTTTGACCCATAATTATTGCTGTAGTGTCGTCTGCAAAAAGGTAAAGTGGAGTATTAATGTTGATTGGTAAATCATTAATTTAATGTACAACAGAAACAATACTGGCCCTAAAATAGATCCCTGCGGCACCCCACAGACAACCTCCCTCCAAGTTGAGGAGTGAGCAATTCTGTCATCATCGAACATTTTAAGCAGCAGTTCGTGGCTGACACAATCAAAAGCCTTGGACAAATCACAGAAAACTCCAAATGTTTTCTGCGATTCATCCAAGGCCCTCAACAAGTCACTCATCAGCTCAAATACTGCCATCTGGGTTGATCTTCCCTGTCTAAAACCGAATTGTTTTTTGTTAACAAGATTATACTTTTCTAAATGAGTGACCATTTGATTTAATAAAATCTTCTCCAAAATTTTTGAAAATGATGGAGAACCCATCACTGACCAAACGATGTAAGTATCACTGCCCATCACTGACAGAAGAAGCCCTTTGGGCGTAGACAAACTTGGCCTAGATCTGATGAAGTGCGACAAGTATTCCCAGGCTAGGGTTTGAAGAGTAAGAGGAGGTTTTTAGTGGGTAGTCTTTGGGTCTTAAACCCATTGGAGTCCCACACCACAGACTAGCCACCTGTGTTCGTAAACATATTTTCCCACCTCTTTCTCTACCAAAAAATAAATAAATACAAACGCAAGATCAGTCATTGTGTTTATTGCTTATAAATGTGCATGTGTTGTTCTCCCACCAGCTGTGGCCAGCTACAGAGAGCACAGTAGCATAGCCTATGGAGCACATTGGAGTCATGCAACAACACACAATATCATGGCTACCTGCTCATTCTATGATCACAAGCTCAATGTATCTTGTTGTATCTAACGTTTGTTGAATAAACGTTAATAATTTACATTTTGTCAGTTAATTTCCCACCATTATGTGTCCAAAACAAATATAAAATAACACAGTAATCATAAATTTCAAAATACAGCTTAAAAATTTAAAATCTAGACAGTGTGTTATATCAGTCATGTGACTTAGAATGTCTTAAATATTGAGTACCGGTATAACAAATTTAAAAAAAATTTTGTCAGTGTATACGGCAGTGGTATTTTGTGTAAAAGTAATTCAAACACAGTCCAAAGTAAGAAAAAGTAGTCCCAACCCATAATATGATTTATAGATAGGCTGGGAATCGAACTGATCCCTCCCGCATCAAAGTCTGAGACGCTAACAATATACACACTTCTTGCTACAAATAAAAACCAAACAGTTTCAACAATAGGAATTAAATGCTACTTTGGAGTTTTCATCGTATTATTATTATTTACAGCTTGACATAAGAATCTTAAAACTAACAACCAAATATAAAACTATAATACAAAGAGTATAAAATCTTGCAATATATTAAATAAGAATAGTTTGTCTAAAGTGTACATTAAGATTGCACAAATACACTTGAAATAGCAGAAACTTCATTCAGAGGTAGTAAACATGAATGAAATGTCCTTTAAGATGTATAAAATTGAGCACTAATACAGCCCAGGAACCAATGACTTTGCGGGCCAATATGTAAATAATTTTGTAGATCTTATTGAAACAGTTCAAATAAATTGCAAATACGTTTGATCATTGACTCTTAGCTGTATGTATTTTGGCACTAATATCATTTATAGTGCAGTTAATCAGGAGTATATGAATTGTACCACTATTTATTTACAATACAACAAAACTATGGATTATCTAAATGGTACCGGTAACTAACAAATTTATCTATATATTTCCAATATTTTATCATAACTTGAATAAATCACTGTTTATTATATTACCTAGAAACAAGATTGCAAATAAATTTACTCAACTCTTTAGTGATTCTAAAACCAAACCAATGTGTATTTTTTTCCTTCTCTGTATTTTTTCCCTTCTTATTTTTTTAAAGTAATCTTTCATTAACACTTAACACATAAAGGGACTTCTATTCTTCAAAATGCACTAATTTTCTTTTAGTCATAAATCATAAAATATGCACAATAACATTACAAATGACATACAGCATATGGAAGACATAAATAACATCCTTTATTTATAACTAATATTAAGTCTTATACAATGGTAAACACAAGAAATAATTGTTGGTCTGGGTCTCAATATAAAACGCTAAATGTTTTAATTGTAAACAATTAATCTTTAAGAGGAACGTTTAGAAAATGCATGAGTTAAATCAAAAGTGTTTATCAAATAAACCCATTAACCTCACTTTTGATGAAACAGAGGATATTTGATGGATGGACTTTAGATACTTAGTAGACATCCATCCAATAATATCAATATCATTCATGATGGCAGCCTTTAATCTTCACCAGTTTTTGGTAAAACAATCAGAACAGATCTCAAGTTAAGACGGTGTTAACATACCAAACTTCAACCAAAACAGGGTGATAATTGTAGACAGGGTGAGTCAGTAGTAGTTTATAGTTTTATAGTTTATGGATAAAAAAACTTTGTTTTTTTTTAAGAGGTTGGCGGCCTCTTTTGACCTTGCATTTGCCCGTCCACATAGACTAAGCGCCTGTGCGTGGAACGTTTACAGCAAAGCAAGGAGTGAGCCGGTACAGTACAAAAGTGAACTGTACTGATAAATTTTAGTGGCAGTGACCAGGATCCAAACCCACGACATCGCTGCCTTGGGCCCAAAGTCTGCGACGCTACCGACTGAGCCACCGACTCACTTAAACCACAATCAGGATTTATTTGTTACAATCAGGATTTAAATCAACAACATTGCTGAAGAGATCAGGCGATTTAGGCATGCTCTTTGTATTATTTTGTAAAGCTATTTAGAGTGATGTTTTACTATTTGATATTTGTATTCACCTTCAATCTGTACTGAGGACAAACGATAACTACTTCTCAACATCTACAAAAATCTTGGATGAAAGTCTACTTTCATGTTTGGAATATTTTGTGAGACAACAAAAATGTTATGTTTATTCAACAAGAACTGTTTGGCAAATTTTAATGTGGTGTCATTATTTTCAGGTAGTCTGATTATTCATTTCCCATACAAGATTCAAATGATCACATAAAGTAGTAATTGCCGCAGCTCGTCTTCAATTTGGCCGGTTTTAGATTTATTTCTTACTGTTCATCTTCTACGTTGACGTAGATTATAAACCATTATGGACTACCGTACTCTCTTGTGCTATGAGGTGTTGGTTAGTTGAGGTTAGGTTTGTTTAGCCAAGTCTTTGTTGCTCGCCGTGACGACGGCTGATGGTGTGTATGCTCGTAGTTGTCTGTTCATGTTCTCTACGAGACAGAACGTCAGTGTCCCTGCAGTCCCCCAGGCAGCCAACATGTACAACTGCATGTAAAGTCCCACCTAGGAACATTCAGCATGTTACAGGCTAACGTTTCTAGAGGTTATATGTTAATTACAAGGGATTGTTATGGCAGTTAAATATTTATTCAGGACAGCAATCTCGTAGATTATCAAACTAGAGGGGAATGATTGCAATTTTAAACGAATAATTTTAAACGAAATGAAAACATTTTTAGATTTCCAAGGCACCACTTGACCCTTTATGAAAAAAGTCCACTATATGCTGGGCTGAGGCTGTACAATGTGCTGCCTGCAAACTATAAATTGCTAAATTAAAATAATTTTAAAGATAAAATAGGTGAACTCTTAATTGACAGAGCCTTTTATTTAATTGCAGATTTTCACAATGCCCCTTTAGTTTAGAATAGTTTTATCATTCAATTTTGTTAATTATATTATCATCTTGATTACTATTTTATTTTTTATATTCTGACAATTCGAACTCTGACAATGCACCTATTCTGTATGTAACACATGTAAAGAATGTTATGTGCAAATAAAATATGTCTATGTCTATGTCTAACTATGTTACATTCAAAACTTTTTTACTTAAACGGCTACAAAAATAATATTTTTTTAAACAGTAAATTTAAAATTCATCTAAACTAAAGTTATTTAAATTGAAGATAAATCTGTAAATTTTAAGTGAATATAGTGAAAATCCAACCTCGTAAATGGAAATTCGCTTAGACTGCAGGTTTGCTGATGGGAGGTGTTATTTCATATATCTAGGATAAAATTCTTGACACTCGATAGGTAATAAATTAGAAACATTAATGTCACCTGGTTGCTGTAGAAGAAGCTGCCGGCAGCAGAGAGAGACTGGGTAAACTTGAAGATGGCGAACGCTGGAGCACTGTCATCAGGATACATGCCTCCCAAGATGGACAGGATCTGGGTGTTGAAACAGCTGTCTCCTAGACCCAGCATCAGACTGCCCAGAATCGCCAGGAACGCACTGTGGAGAATATGGGAAAATTTTAAACCAAGAAATGAAAAAAACCAAGTTGGAGAAAGGTGATAATGCCTTTCAAAGCTTTTTACTGACTAAGAATTATTATTATCATCAATTGAGATGGGGTCGCCATCTAGGAGCGTATTTTAACCCAAATGTAGGTGAAGGATGATTGTAGAATGAAGTGAGATTATTTGTAGCTTTGTTACTGACTTATTAGCTGTTTCATTAGTCAGGACCATTTATTAAAAGCCCTCCGACTATCAAAAAGCTACACACATTTCTCAGGATGAAACCGACAACCTTATGATTACCAGGCAAGCAGTATACTTCCTGTAGGCAGTAAAGTTTTATAAAAATCACACACCTACAACTTCAAAAACTTTTTTTAATAAACTAGAGTTGTTAGCATAAACTCTTGCAGAACCACAAGTCTTATCAAAAGGTTTGAATTAATTCATCCTGAAAACTATCCATTTCAATTGTCGTCAAAAAATGACATTTTTCATTTACTTCAATCGCCTGTTTTAACATTTTGATTCCCAATAACTTTTATCCATATTATTCTACTCTTTAGCTTCTAAACAAAACATCAGTTTAATTAAAAAACCTTTCACTTCTTCATCACTGGCAAATCTTACATCTTTAACAAACAATAAGCGTAAACTTTAACCAAACCTGCTCTGAATATGCGCCTTATCCACTGTTTCACCGAAGGGGGAAGTGTTGGGAAGGTTGAGGTAGATGCTGAAGAAAGCGACAACGTGGATGATGAATCCCAAGATGACAATGGGATCTCTGCCCCAGCGGTTTGTGCGAGAACCCATCAGTCCAAACACAACGCCACCTGGAGCAAGACAAACATACAACCTCTCATACCCATCAGGACCAGGACTATTATGTCATGAGGTGATAATCAGCATAAACAAGGGTCTAGAAAGTAACTTATTTTAGTCAGGCTAAGGCAATATTAATAGTGTAAATAAATACCCTGCAAGATGTGTTAAACCATAGCCTTCTCTAATACAAGGCCGTGGCATTGGTGTGTGGCCACGTCGCACTGGCCGGCTTATTGCCATATAACGTGTAAACACAAACATTGTGCAGATGCTCCATTGTGAATTAGTGCAACAGCTGTTTTTGTAGGCCGTAACTGAGGCATTGCCATTTTTGTCTTGTGTTAGGCTTAGGCTATGATTAAACTCAAAGTATTTAAGATGAATACAAGGCAATAATATTGATAGAAGACAGGTGAAACACAACACACTAATACAAGCAGTCAGATATTCTTCTAAAGTGTTATCCTTGAGGTGTTACTGAACAAATTACGTCCACGTAAAGCAAGTAACGCTCACTCTCCTTTTTATAATGGCATTATAAGGCTTAGCAGTTAAATTTGTTTAAGCTTTTGATGAAAACTAAACTTTTTAAAGCAGAAAATTACAATGAAATCTATCTTAATTTACTAGTTACTGTTTAAATTTTGGATTAAAACTTTACAGGCATTTTCTGATCAAGTAAAATATTTTCTTCACACAAATTAAATATTGCTGACTGTTCCCTTATGTACCAAGCCTTATTTAACCTTTAATTAACCAACCCAAGTAAATTAGCAGAACTAAATCTTATTACCAGAAAAATGCAAATCAACCAAATGTCTCTTATTTTGTTATTAAATTGAATCTCAAGACAGATTGTTTTCCTTTTTTCTTAACCCCTTAAGGCCTGATTTTTCCAATAAACACCAAGTTTGAGTGAACTAACCAAGCACTTCTCCCACTCCTATGAAGATGCCGGACATGCCCACCAATGTCTTGGCACTGTCTCCAAACTCTTTGGTAAACCCTATACAGCTACTGTAGACGCCACAGTAGAAACTCAGCTCAAACCCTGCAACATATGGAAATTATACAACTTGCACTTTGATATTGTATTGAACGACTAATTTAGTTTTTATATTACTTACTTACTTACTGCCGTGGCTCCTAAAATCTCAGTTGATTCTTCGCCTCGTGTACCAGCCTCTTCCAGCCTTCTCTGTCTTCTGCCAAGTTGACATTTGTACCCATTGTCCTGATGTCGTTGAATACTTGGTCAGTCCATCTCAATTTCGGCCTTCCCAATGGATGTTTTTATATTAGATGGTTAAAAATACTAACAGCCTATACAACTCTTTTGTGAGTTACAATTTAAAATTCAACTCAAAGATTGAAATGAAATTAATATGTAGTGCTCACCCAGACACTTATCAAATATCTCTTTGTGTAACATAGTCTATTAGACTGACCAGTGTACAAGAAAGTGACACACAGCAGCAGCATCTCCTTGGTGACAAAGAGCGAGCCAGCAGACTTGAGGGCGTTCAGAGGCCCCTCGTTGGTCTGTGGCGTACACTCGCCATCGTGTGTGCGTGGCCGCGGTAGTACTGCCAACACAACAACACCCAGGCCTGCCACCACGCACAACACGGTAAACACGAGATGGCGTGACCCAGCGTCTATCTCAGCCTTTCCTTGGAACACCAGTGAGACAAACGTGTTGCCCAGGAACATGCTGTAGAAAGACATGTTGTATCAAACAGAAACTTTATAGTGTCCAAAATTCACTTAACACGTTGACTGCGCGCGCCGACTTTACAGGCGCTCCCCAGTGGCGGGCGAAGCCCCGGCGCGCAACCGAATCAGCGAACGCAATTGGCATTCAAATATTTCAGTCTGACGAATCACAAAAGAGCAGTGGTGACTGTGCTGCGTTACCCCGAGAGTGGATGTAGTTCACTGAAACACCCAAAGGTAGCAGCACTGCATGGATCCGTATCCAGTGTCTTTGTAATGTGGGTTGAAGAGAAAAAATCCCCGAAACCGGGACAAAAGCATTGCCGGACGGGATTTTACGGGAAATTTTAGTACCAACCTACACCAAAGTAAAGCTCGCATTCTAAGCTGGCAGGCTGGCAACGATTATAACGTCTCCGTCTGAGGCTAAGCTCACACTGACTCAATATATTACTGTTGGTCTGGTGCCGACTGTAGTCGGCGCGCGCCACCTGGGAGCGCTGGGGACGCCGACTAAAGTCGGCACGCGCAGTCAACGTGTTAAGTTTCTTAAAAATAAAACTTTCTAGTAGAAAGGTGTGGTTAATTTACCCGAAGCAATTTTAAGCATTGTGTGGTGATCCAGCTCAATTATGACATTTACAAATTGAGTTTATTGTTGAATTATGGAATTTGAAACGTGATGAGTTAAGCTAGCTCACCAGTAACTACATAAGGAAATAGAAATGGGGTCCATTGGTAATAGATAAACACAAACAAAACACAACCCTAAAGCATTGTTCTAATGTTTAACTTCTTCAGAGAGAGAATTATCTTGACAGTTATCCCTTTTGAAAAAAAATCTTATCAGCCGCTTGACTTTCCTTTAAAATATAACCTTTGGTAAAAAGTATATCTCTACCATTACCCATTTACTGCCTAGTCACACAATGTAATATTGGGATTACATGGAGTCGGAGCAACATTTAAAGTCACTGAAAATGATAGAGTCATATTACGACTAGGAGTTAACAACTCACCTGCTTTGCAGCATTGCCCAGAAAATGCCAGAGTTACGGGATATCGTGTTGGCATCACTGTTGAGAGTGAGGTAGCAGCCCTGCGCCGTCCAGATGGCAGCTGCCCCAGCACCTAGCATACCAGATGCGGCGTACAACAGCCAGGTTTGTGGGTAGAGAAACGAGGCGATAAACAACCTGTGAAAAAAGAGTGAGATAGTAACTGGTGTTGTGGAATTAGTGCAATGGAGCAGCTACAGTGAAACAGTTACTTTGTAACAGGTACTGCAACAGTTGTACTCACAGGTATATGATCCCTCCCAGCAGCATAGTGACTCGTCTATACACTGATGAGACTAGGTGCCAACCAGTTACACAGGGCAAACACTGGGTAGATTATGGAACAGCTACTTTATAACAGGTACTGTAACAGTTGTACTCACAGGTATATGATCCCTCCTAGCAACATGGTGACTCGTGGTCCTAGTACACTGATGAGACTAGGTGCCAACCAGTTACACAGGGCAAACACTGTGTAGATTATGGAACAGCTACTTTGTAACAGGTACTGCAACAGTTGTACTCACAGGTATATGATCCCTCCCAGCAACATGGTGACTCGTGGTCCTAGTACACTGATGAGACTAGGTGCCAACCAGTTACACAGGACAAACACTGTGTAGATTATGGAACAGCTAATGTTTAACAGTTACTTTGTAACAGGTACTGTAACAGTTGTACTCACAGGTATATGATCCCTCCCAGCAACATGGTGACTCGTGGTCCTAGTACACTGATGAGACTAGGTGCCAACCAGTTACACAGGGCAAACACTGTGTAGATTATGGCCAGGCTAGTGTAGCCGTTACCAGTGAACGTAGGATCATCTCGAGTAATGCTGTCCAGTACTGTTTTCTGCAAAAAATATACATTTTACTACATGGTGGTCTTAAACTATTTCTCTTGAAATTTTTCAGGTTTTCATTTGTTCACAATTATTATAAACCTACTTTTTAAGCCAGTTACACACTTTTAGACTCTATAACACAACAAACAAGACATTGAATCAAGCATGCATGTGGAGGGAGCATCCAAACAATGGAATAGTTGTTGTATCGTGCACAATGGAACTGCGCTATTTGGTAAAATTGCTTAAGTATATTTAGAGCATTTTGTACCTCATGTGAAGTTACAAGTAAGAATCAGAATTCAGAATCAGCGTAAAGTAGTCACCACTACAACCGGGCCTTGGGCTTTAGATTATGTGAGATTAGAAAACGGTTAAATCCCATAACCGTTGGACCTTATTTTTGAAAATTTCAGGTAATTTTGTTGAAACAATTATCAATAATTAGTCATACACTAAATTGCATGAGGTTCTATGTCAAAATTAACAAAACTAAATTTAGAAGTGATTTGTATACTTATTTAATTAATTGAAAAAGGAATTAGTGGTGGTTTTTCACAATGTGTTACAAGATATTGAAGGTAAAACAAATAATAAATATATATGACAAATTATGTTAACAAAAAACAAAAATTATGATGTTATATGACGTACTGCTCATTTCTTCCTTGTATGCTATTACTGTGCCCGTGTCATAATAAGACCTAAACCCGGGACCAATTTACACATTTATTTTATTGTCCCCAGAGGCTAAAAACACGATCAGTTTCAATTCATATACAGTATGTGTCCGTTTGCACAATAATTCTAGTAAAAATTATCTGATTTTGATTAAATTTGTCACAAACGTGTAAACCTACGTTTATTTATAGGTCAAACTATGGGAACCTGGTTTTATGGGTTAAACATTTTTGTATCCCATTTTTGACCTCCGAAACATAAAATTTTGCAATTTATTTCTAAACAACTTTATAGAGCTTGAAACAAATAGCCTATGTAATATATTGAAGAGTTTTGTTGTACATCTAATGGTTAAGAGAAAACTAAAAAAAACTGTTAAACTTTAAATTTATATGTTAGTCTTATGGAGAATAAATAAACTGTTGTAAATACTCGTTAAAATTAATGTTACTTTAAAAAATCTTACAATTTTAAGGCAATATTTCAGCAAAAATCCAAATTGTAAATGGAAATTTGCTTAGTCTGCAGGTTTGCTGCTGCGTATTTCCAAATTTGTCTTACCGATAAGCTGAACTGAGTCAAAAGTTCATTAGGTAAGAGAGACCTGATGAATAAAATCACAACTAACCTAACTCAGTTAAAATAAAATGTATCCTTTAATACTTTTTAATGAAATGGCAACCATACAAAGTACAAACGTTTACTGCGGACATTTTCCATCACGATTGTAAAAAACAATACACAACGTTTCGGGATCTGGAATCTGATCCCGTCCTCAGGTGAAAAAACTTAACTAACACATCCAGATCCCGAAACGTTGTGTATTGTTGTTTACAATCGTGATGGAAAATGTCCGCAATAAACCTTTGAACAACATTAACTCACCATCACCAACAATGAACTTCATACAAAGTAGGTATTTTAAGCCAAGTATGAATGGAATAGAGTGTATACTCCTCCCCCTCAAACATGTTTAAAAACATCAAATTTAAATTATTCATCAAACTGGTTTTATTTTCATTATTAGTCCAAGTTAAGTCTTTACTTGCGACCAGGTTCAAATTATACTCATTTTACTTTTTTTTTTAATCGATTTGAGATTTTGAGGAAAGATTTGAGATTGCGAAATAAAATTTGCATTTGGCCGCTAGCCATTGGGACAGCCTCGTTACACTTAGAAACTTTACCTCCTTGACTTCAACGACTTATCTTTCAGTTTGTAAAGTACAAGTTGTCCTTTCCTTGCTTGCCTTTGTGATACACCCACAATGTCAAATGTAACACTGTGATCATTGTTTTCTGGGCAAATACTGCCAAATCAAGAGAGGTACTAAATGGTGTTGCTACAATCTTGTACTATTAATATAACTAGACATTCCATCAAATTTTTCTTCAAAATGGATGTACAGTAGTTGAAGTGGGACACTGACAGTTCGCACTGATAAAAATTCTTGACTTCTGTCACGTACACAGCCTTTTTAACCAAGTCGAACTGATACCTTCTCTTTGTTTGAAGTTCATTGTTGGTGATGGTGATTTAATGATGTTCAAATGTTATTTTGTAATGTTGTTTGATAGCTTCTTTTATGTCACACGAACTATCTCAGTAACAAAAAAAGTAACGTCTACTTCAGTAACAAAAGTCAATGCTACAATCCTATCAACAGCTTGCCAACTATTAATAACAATCGTAGCCAATATTTACAATAATTGGTGAATGTGGACAAAATAATGTAAAATGGAATCCAGGATTATTATTGTTAAGGTTTAGAACTGTTCTTTTTCCTGGGATATAAATCACAATACTTAACATTTTAAATTTTCATGACCGGGTCTGACTGAAAACTGTTTGTAATAAATAGTAAATAATATGCAAAGCAAACACACATTATTAACATTGGAATTGGAATTTTTAAGATGTAGTTAAAAAAACAATTATTTATTGAAAGAATTGTTTGTGAACAACTGTAATTTTAATTGGACTGTTGGTTAATTAACAGAAGGTCTTCAGGTTTAATTGGATTCAACTAAGTTAACAGGAGTTAAACAACTAACAGCTTTTGATCAAGCATATTACTTTGAAAATACAATTGATTTGTAATATTTGTTTAATGTTTATTTTGTTTGTAATACTGTACATTTAATGTTTATTTTTTTCTATTTAGGCTATAATGTGAAAAAAGAAAGTCTAGACTCTTGCTCTTCTTTGACATGTTATAGATTTTTTATTTGTAAACTGGGCACGAAATTGCAAACTGATATAACCCAAGGCCAGAATTCATCAACGCAATTGTTAAGCCATTGACTGTGCTGTAGACATCCAATATGTACACACACATTACTCGCCAGTTAAGTAACACTGTTGTATTGGCAGGTTTGCCGCAACGGTGTAAAATATTACTCCTTTCTCTTTAACCTCTGTCGCAACCTGGACCATGCAGTTTCTTATAAAGGATACAATCACCAACTATTTAATTGCTAAGAAAAAGTTCTAAATGACTTGCTGGCTGCTCGGGAATATCAATTCCTTGAGGAAAAAGTGAATTTTGCATCCGAAAAAGAAATTTTCTCTGAAGAAATCCTAATGGATGTGTAATGAGGTATACTCCTTCACTTAGTAGAAAATGGGGGTTTTAAGTCGGGTATTTTGAATTATATTGGAGTAGTCTCCAGAGCAATTAGTCTTATTTTTAAAATTACTGGGAAATTAACAATAATAAATTCGGGTACATTATTTAATTCTAAGCAAAGTTTCTTTACTGTACACACAGAGCTTTAGCTTCAAAGTACTAATAATATTGAACATTGTCACAATGCTCAATGAATGTAAGAAGCTAAACAAAGGTTAAAGAGTTTAATAAGGTTTAAAGAAAAATTTCTTTCATCGTTGAACATGTATTTAAAGAAATAGTGTTATATTTTGGAAATATTTTCCAAACAATCTTTGACTAACTGATTTTATAGTTACAACATATCTTTACTTTATCTCTTTTAAGGTGATTTAACTTTTAAATTTCAGCATGCCAAGTAGGAAACAACGTGCAGAGGAACACAAACAAGTGTGCAAAGCATCAACAACAGCCGAATAAGTAAAGTTTGGATGACAGTCTGAGTCATGTTCGAGTGTACACTGTTTTGAGTAGGTACTTTATCCACTGTATTTATTAGTTACATTGCTAATAACTAAATAAATGGATGAGATTTTATTTTAAATTAAAACCGCAAGTTAAAAGTCTGGTAGAGTTTGGTTAATGTCAAACAGATTTTTTTGCATTTTAGTATTGTTTTATTTGGAGACCAAACATGAAAGTTTTTAGATACTCTCATTGTATACAATGTATAGAAAAATTATATATTATTAATTCTTTTAAATAAAATCCTATCCAACTCTCTTTGTTTGTGTTGAAAGTATTCAAAATCAATTCAAAATCACATATTTTGAATTTCAAGAATTTTTAGACAATTGACAAAAGACAAATATTTAACTGGAGTCAAACTCAAGATTGCCAATTTTTATTTGAAGTACTCTAGACGTTCACCGAGGACCGTAGAAAGTTAGGAATGAGGAAAGTAACACTTAATTTGGTGTTATGGTCGTTACTCGCTCTACATGAGACTCTACAGGCTTCATTAGTCCTAGTCACTGAATCACTGTCATCTCAAACGGAAGTTTACAAATATTTCACAACAGAAAATTACAGTCTTCGTTATTCGGGTGGCAACGATTAAGAGTATTAAAATTACACTAGATCTTGGTCCACTGATCTTTTGATATCAACCTCATAAAATTGTAAGATGAAATCTCTCTAGTAGGTACTCTAAGAAATTCTTTGTAAAAAAATTAAAAAAAAAAATTTAAATAACTAATTGGGTGGATTTAAATTTTAAAACAACCGCAATATTACAGGTGGATATTAGTAAAATACATATGGTACTTAAAAAAATTTTAATTATATGCTTAAAGATTTTTATAAGTTTCCAAATATTTTCAGTGTATTTGGTTAAAAAACAATTTATGAACTTCAAGAGTTACATGAGTGTCTTAAAGCAAACAAGAAATATCATTATTGGGTTGTAAGCTTGGTTTTATATCTTATCCGCATAATTAGTCCAACTTTAGATAAAATTTTAATCCAACAAAATGAAAAAAATTTGACCTGACACTCTAAACATTTAATTTTTAAATAGCCTAGTTAGAATCGATATGTGTTTCCTAATCATAAATGTTATTACCACTGCTCTCACATTTTAATATTTTTTCTTAATAATTTACAATACTCAAACGAATTTCACAATCCGAACTTTTATAAACCTTGAAGTAGTAATC